GACTAGTTTGTCTTCTGATTTTAAAGTGTTATATACTGTTTAATGACGTGTTTATCATCTAATGTTTTATGATGTCTACTATGATTGTGTTATCATTTACCATCCTTAACGGAGACCGAAAGGACAAAATGTTGTCTGTCCAACTCACCTGATAATTACAGTATTATTGTAATCTTACCCTAGTCTGATGCCATCTCTAATGTAAGGGTCTATGTGATTTGATAATATTTCTGTTAATAAATCAGACTGCTAAATCAGATATCTATCTATGTATCTATCTATTTATACATACACACACATGAAACACCTAGGTCTGGATGAGAAGACCAGCCTTACAGTCAGGGTATCTCACTTTTCAGGGTGAATTTTACAGCCCAAAGTCTAACTCATCCAAGATATAGCCAAAAGATCTAGAATGTTTGCCATCTACAGTCTATTGTGTTCCGTGAGAAAGCATTGTGGATAGGACTCTAGTTGCAGTATCCCAGAGGGGTTCTGGGAATGTCATATAAGGCTTCTGAGGTTGATACGATGAGTGCTAGTAAGTTGGATGTATTTGGATTAAGCTAAATCGCTTCCAGTTGAATATTTTCAATATTATTTTTTTCCCGATACCCTCCAAAATAAAGGCAGTAAGAAGCCAAAAGCTTGATATGCTTGAACGTTTATGTGTCTATTCAAATAAAAGGGGTTTTCTGTTTTTAGAGCCACTTTTGCATACCTTCCAACATTTCAAATGTACAAAGAGGGATACTTTATCATTAGGGGTGTGAGTCGGGGTATGGTCATTGGCGGGGCTCTTCTGAGAATCTTTAGGTGACTTACTAATAACAATTTATAAAAAGTAAAATGTAATTTAGAACAAGAACTATGCATCGTACTGACACAGACTGATTTCCAAACACATTTATTGCAGTATAAAGACACATTACTGGGAGTATTATTGCTGTGGAGCTCTGTTATACACTCAGACACACTACTGGGAGTATTATTGCTGTGGAGCTCTGTTACTGGGACTACTATTGCCGGGGAGCTCTGTTATACACTCAGACACATTACTGGGAGTATTATTGCTGTGGAGTTCTGTTATACATTCAGACACATTACTGGGAGTATTATTGCTGTGGAGCTCTGTTATACACTCAGACACATTACTGGGAGTATTATTGCTGTGGAGCTCTGTTATACACTCAGACACATTACTGGGAGTATTATTGCTGTGGAGTTCTGTTATACACTCAGACACATTACTGAGAGTATTGCTGTGGAGCTCTGTTATACATTTAGACACATTACTGAGAGTATTATTGCTGTGGAGCTCTGTTATACACTCAGACACATTACTGAAAGTATTATTGCTGTGGATCTCTGTTATACACTCAGACACATTACTGAGAGTATTATTGCTGTGGAGCTCTGTTATACACTCAGACACATTACTGAGAGTATTATTGCTGTGGAGCTCTGTTATACACTCAGACACATTACTGAAAGTATTATTGCTGTGTATCTCTGTTATACACTCAGACACATTACTGAGAGTATTATTGCTGTGGCGCTCATAGAAAAGAGGGACATTAGGGTAGAAAAGGGAGACAGAGAGATTTAGACTAAAAAATAGGGACTGTCCCTCTTAAACAGGGACACTTGGGAGGTATGTGTATATTCCATACATAAAGTAACTGAGAGGCATGCTTGCATCAAAACATGCATTTCCAGAGCCATTCCAGAGTAGATCTGACTTGGCAGACATCCTGTAGTCAAGTGTCCTGTGTCAGAAAGGTTTGATAACCTTTGCCCTTACAAATCTTCCAAGCTACTGCTTGTATGACCTTTGTTTGAGAACTGACCCTGCAAAACTGGAAGCTTCAATGGACACCAGAAACTGGCGTGAATTTAAAACACACACATGCACACACACACACGCAAACACACACACACTCACACACACACAAACGATTATGTGCAAATGGACAACATAAAAAATGCAATATACAATGTTGCAGGAGGCATTAAGCATAGGCATTATTTTTATATACATTTGCATTTTTGGGTGTGATTTAATATTTTTATTTTTTATTTTCATATGTTGCTCCCTTTGTGCGCCCTAACTGTCATTTCTAAAATATACACCTGTTTTTCAGCAATACTACAGATGTATTAATAGGTCCACCACTTTCTCCGGCAGAAAAACGTTTTTTATTTCACTTCTCTATTTTTCCGTGACAAAAGTTTACTATTTTAGGATTTAGCATCCATTTTCAAATGAGTCAATAGTATAAGATATAAGAACAAATAAAATAGCTATAACGCAGCAAAACAAAATATTGGATTGTTTGGTAAAAAAAGAAAAATTCACAGCACTGTCTAAGGACGGTATGTAAAACAAATTACTCTGGTGTCCCACCAGTCTGACACAGTGAGCGGCTTCTGTGCACCAAGAGGTATGGACAGAAGCATTCCAGAATGATGACATCATACCCAAAAATGAGAACTGCATCCTCGGATTGTGCCCGTGGGACCAGACTGGGCTGTGCAATATATCTGTGTCAGGACATGAGGCCAAGAGAAGGCTGATGCTTTATGTTTTAGGAGAGGCTTGGAAATCTTTCCCCTAAAAAAAGCCTGTTAAATCCCCATAGCTATTAGTTTAGCTTTACAGCATCAAAAGGAAAGAAGAGAGACAAGAGATGTAGATAGAGACAAAGAAAAGAGAGTAAAAGAGACAGACGAAGTAAAAAAAAAAAAAAGAGTGAAAAGACGTAGAGAAAGTGAACGAGCCAAAAAGAGTAAAACATAGCAACCGCAATAAAAAGAGATTGAAAATGGCAATATGGAGAAAGACAGACGTAGGCAATAAAAGGCAACGAAATATAATAAATAAATTAAATAAATAAAATTAGTATAACGCATAGGAAGTCACTTCAGAGCTGATAAATATTCACATATAAACAGGAGATTTTAGTCACTAAACTACAAATTTTACCGAATGAAATGCCGAATGTAAAAACTGAGGTTAAAAGAGTCAAGCTGTGTCTAAAGTAGAGTCAGAAAATATTTCAATATCAGCTATGTTTTCCCAAATGTTAACATTTAAATTGTAATTGTCACAATTTGGAGTTTAGTGGGTAAACTCCGAGGTGTTTTACTGTCCAGTATCTGTATCTGTAATAGCTGGGATAGTTTTGGTATCATTTGTAACCGTGAAATAGGAGGGATGGAGGGATCTATCTAAGCAGTCTGGAGCATGCTGGTAAAATCATTGCAGTCTCAGGACAGTAATTCATAGAAACATTGTTGCAGTAGTGAATGTGCTGTGTGTGCTGGGATTAATGGTACCTGTGCTGTTTATTGTGTCTAAGATTGTGTCTAGGAGTTAGGATTCTAGGAGTTAGGGGGTTTATGGAAGTTAGGGTTAGAGGTCACGGGAGGTATTTTTCTCTTCATCCCCACCTCTTTCATGTCTCGATCCACCATCACCTTCTCCCTATGTCTTGTCATTACCGCCATGTTTCACGTTATTATTATTATCATTTATATATTATGCAGAGCTTCACAATTATAAATGTTACATATGGAATATAACTTACAAAGAGGTTAGAAAGGCCCTGCTCAAACCAGCTTACAGTCTATGAGGAAGGGCTAAAGATTCACAAGAGAAATAACATGTCAGAGGGGGTAGGGATTGATAGATGAGATACTTGTGTCGTAATAAACCAGTGAAAGTGATTTGTGGAAGAACTGAACAGTGGCAGGAGAGAAAGAGAGTGTGCTTGGCTATGGAGGCGAGGGAACTGACGAGGGCAGTCAAATGATAGAAGCGTCACCCAGGAAGATTGGAAAATCTTGATGAGAGTTGACAATTATCACAGTTGTGTGATAACCCAACACGCAGTATGTAAACCCACAGAAAACGAAAAAAACACCTATTACCGAACCTTAGAATGGTCGGATTTAACGTAAGTAAAAAAGAGTATTCGAAGAATAGCCAAAAGTCAGGATACAAGAGATCAGGAGAACGATACAACAATATCCAGGTCAGGACACCAGAAATCAGGAGGTCAAAATACAAGCCGAGTCAGGGAACCAGAAAACAGGAAAGTCAAAAGCAAGTCGAACCAGTACACAGGAAAAAACAATACAAATGCAAGGAGAACTAAATAGCACTAAGGGGAACTCGAGGAACCACAATAGGGCAAGGGACAAAGCAAAAGGCGCTCCTTTGATAAGGGAGCGTCTTTTGCTTTAAGAACACCCCCCCAAATTGTTCTAGGTCGGTATTCTTGACGTGGGGTCGCATCATTGATGTCATGACGTCGGCATTTATGCACCACCTCATGAAAAGGGACGTGATTCCAGCGTCCGGCGTGGGACAAATGCCGAATGCACTGAGAGTGGAGCTGGCGTTGGATCCGACTCCATGTAGGCGCGATGGATTAAGGTAAGAGACCGTGACAGCAATTTGGGAATGAGCAGATTACAGAAGAAGGTCATTTACAGAGTGTAGGGAACTAAAAGCGGTGTACTTATTGAGTAAAGAGGAAATGTAGTGAGTAGTGGAGTTAGTGAAGGCTTTGTAGGTTGGTGTTAGCAGTTTGAATTGGACCCTGAAGAGGGGCAATGCAGATATTTGGAAGGTCGATGAGTTGAAGACCCCAACCCAGGCATCAGCCATCAAAGCTCCCCCCTAGCAACACCTATGTAACCAAGGTATTGGAATAAAAAGTTATGGTTTAAAACAAAGTGACATTGGTACAGAATCTTGCTGAAATGTGACTTTGAAATGTAAAACAGAAGTTGTAGTCACCAGGTGCCACAGATTTCATCTGTTTTTCAATCTGGATCATATAAATAGGAGAGAAAAAAATAAGGAGTGTGCAGGATAGAAGTGGGTGTGCAAGAGAGAACGATCTGTAGGAACGAAGGGGTGTGAGAGGGGTGCGCTTGTCACAGATGAATGTGGTTCAACTGGATTTCTGGTGTCTAAATCCTTTCTCCAGGCATCATATATTCAGAGCACCTGGTGATCGACATTGTATTCAGACCTTAACAAAGCTCCCACAAAGACAACTTTCAACTTGTACATCTGTAACGAGTGATCTCTACACAATGGGGAGAGGAAGAATGCTGCCCTGCAGAGCTTACACTCAAAGATGCAGCAATATGAAGGTGCTAAATAGTCAATGAAGGAAACTACTGAAGAAGGAATCCCAGGCATATATATAACTATACAGAGGACCACAGATACAATACGGACAATGTAAGAGATAAATTCTGAACTGCTTACAGTGGTGTACGTGAATCCACAGGTAGAATACACGTATCACAGATATGTTGTGTGTACGTGCCAATACACTAGTAGTGCAGGAGTTTAGTTATAAGGACCAGAACAAGGAACATCTAGGCTGTAGAGCTAGCACTCTAACATACAGAGCTTATACTGTGCAGAGAAGGGATATAGCATGTGAACTGACTTGTAAACTGTAACCCAATGTGCTTACACTCTAATACATAGAAGAAGAAGATTTATAGTTGTAGCAAGCGGTACTATATAGAATAAGTATTCATTGTGAATGTTTGTGTTAGACTTGATAAAGGATGTTATTGGCATTGAAACATGTCTGCTGGTCAAATAGAAAAAGTATAATAAGATAATGCAATATATTATCTTACAAGAAACTATTTGTGTGCAGAGAAGGGTGGAGATATAAGAATAGAATTCTGATGATGATAATAACATTTTTATATATAATACTTTTATGATCAAGGAGACAGAAAACACTTTATCAGATTTTACCTGAATTTAACTTTCAGTCACAAAGAGACCCAGATAGAGTGTGATTTGGAGTTTTTACACTATTTGCGAATTCTGGGAGGCGGACATTTTAGGGCAAACATCACAGACAGGAAAAAGTAATTTTTTGTTATTTTTTAACACAGATATTTTGTTCTGATATTTGTGATTTTCTCATTGCTTCTCCACAAATCCTGACTTAGTTAAAACCCCAGCCTTTGAATGAGGAGACATATAAAATAATATACAGGGGAGGGACAGACAGGTAATTTCGTGCCTTTCAAAGAGTGATTCAGGCAGCCTATGTTAATTGTTTTTTTGTGATGTAAACAAGCTGAAGTTGTCTTGGATGAGTGTTTTGTGCCCTATAGGTGTGAGTTAAATAGCAATTAACAATGGCTGTATAGCTACTGAACATCTATTCAGAGAGGAGCATTTACTGAATAAAAAAAAAAATCTTTGATGGTATTTTCTAAAAAAATGTCTGTCATTCATTCGAGGTTATTCGATAAACTGAGAATTGTGGGAATGTGACAAGGTAATGGCCAACTGTAGGTCAAAGGAGATGTATCAGAGGAGTGCCCATACATTTACACTGCTGATCTGATCTAAAATTTACGGTACCCTTTTACCAGTTCTCTAGAAATGTGGTTTTGTTACTATAGTGTATATCATTGTTCACAAATACACACAGAAATGAATAAAAGAACGGTAATTCTTCACAATTTTGGGCTATTGCAAGTGCAGGATTAAAATGTGCGGAAACAATTCTGGGCAAAACTCCAATTTTTATTTAGTAATCAGTTTTGAAAGGATTAACCCTTTGCGAAAGTAACACATTGCAAAAGACACCATTTTTGTAAGACACCATCCTTGCCCATTTCACTTTTTCTGCCCGATGTGGGCAGCTGCTGTGATATAAGATAGGAGTGGTGGATGGAATCCAAGCTATGCTTCCATTGGCTGATCAGGATTCTAAATTTAATTCTGCAATTCATATACATACTAGTTGGTTTGTTTTTTTTAAGACAGGTGGCATCAGGACAGTGATAACTAACCTTGGCACTGCAGATGTTTGGGAGATGTATTTCCCAAGACGCTCAGTCAGTCCAAAGTTCCAAGGTTGCTGGCTATCTTCTAATTAAATAAAAAATAGACAGTTGTACTCCCCCAACCTCCTCCAAGAAAACACCGACCAAAACAAAATGATATCATCCAGAACTGAGTGTGGAGCATGTTCATTGCAAGATTAAGTAGCACCATATTCTCATGACCTATAAAATGACATCGTAATCCAGTTCAGACATGGCAAAGCCAGGGCAAGTAATGCAAATGAGGAGGAGAACTAGAAACATTGTTTCATTTTGCCTCTTCTCAAAATGCTATCTCTATGCTGACTGCCTGGTGCAAAGGACAGAACTTAAAGGAACACTATAGTCACCTAAATTACTTTAGCTAAATAAAGCCATTTTAGTGTATAGATCATTCCCCTGCAATTTCACTACTCAATTCACTGTCATTTAGGAGTTAAATCACTTTGTTTCTGTTTATGCAGCCCTAGCCACACCTCACCTGGCTATGATTGACAGAGCCTGCATGAAAACACAACTATGCTATCCATGAAAATGTGTGACATGTCATGACTCCCTTTTATTCCAGAAGTTTGGTCCTTAAGGGTTTAAGGAGTTCCAGTATATTTGATACTTGCGCGTGTATAAAAGTCAGGGCCAGATTTACACAGGAGCTATTGGAACGTCCGCGTTGAAATAGGCCCAAAGCAGCCACAGTATAAATGTTCAGTTTTTCCCATTTATTCCAAGCTCCACTTGTGATTTATTAGAATTGTCTTTTTTATTTAATTGTTCCCCAGTGACTACATGGTACTCAGACTGTATTGTGTGTAGTGCCTGTATTTCCTGTTGTGTGCGTCAGGTGTTTAACAGAAGAGAGAATTCAGTGTTGATGTGTATCAGCGTTACGCCTGCTACAAGCCATTTATATAAGCTATAACAGCTACCGTGACCATTAAAATGTGTATAAAATTTCTTTTCTTAGGCATATCAAACTTACAGCACTAAATCAAGCAGTAAACAGCGCTTTACCACAATGAAACTTGCGATAATGTATTTAAGCTACAATAAATGTGTTTAGAAATGAGTCTGTCTAAACAAGATACTTTGATCTTTTTCTAAGTTTAATATAATTTATTTACCCCACCTCCAGACACAGCCAAACTGTTTTCTTAACTAAACACCAAACTATAGAGAATTAAAAATGGAATTGTAAAAACAAGACTACAATTGTAAAAATATAATTGTAGCTGATTAACTATTTTAGTTTCAGATTTTCAATTTCGATTTCTGAAGAAGGGGTAGATTGTGTACCACCTTAGTGTACATCCTTGAGGCTGTAATTATATTAATACCAAGTTCACCCAACAGCAGTAGACATTACACCTCAATCCAGGTTTGAGTTCTGTTAAATATACCCTATGGGGATAGCTACACTAAGGTGAGGTTCAGTATGAATTTGGAGAATTTGCAACATTTATACAGCAAATATGCTACAATCTCACTTTCTACATCACAATTCTGCTCAGCCACGCCATAGTCATGGAGGGGTGTTGATCGGGAGCCCTAAACTTAACTCTCATACCCAATTTTGGCTCTACTCTCCCTAAATCCCTAACGCTACTTCTCCTAACCCTACATTACCTAATTTTCCTAACCCTAAAAACCCAAATTATTCTAAGCGTAATTATCCTAACTCTTAATCCCCTAAAAGATTGTGAAGACACATTACAAAGAAGAGTGTATTATGAAAAATGATTGTCATTATTTTCTCATCACGCATGTTACATGTGCCAGGGATTGTCTGTTCTCTTACATTCCACACACACTCTCACTAGGGCTCCCTTCCTAGTACAGCACTATGACATACATGGCCAGGGCTGCCTGAGAGTGATAGGAGTTATGTTCCCATGCTACCGCTGCGGTTCAGGTCTGCCATCATAAATTCTGTGTGATATGAAGCGCGAGGGGGCCGGGGGTAGAGAGACGTTGCATTTTATATGTTTTATATGCTCCGCCCATTAAAAAAAGCGTAATTCTTTGGGGTAAATCTAGTAATCAATAAATTGTTACAAACTGACACTGCGTTTGCGCAAAAAAGTATGGAAACTGGAGACATTGTTCAGTTCAGCTAACGTGGCCTACATTTTCTTTGTTAATTAAGCAGAATTCACACTGTTAGGTGTATAGATCCGCTAAGCTCTCTGTAAATAATTTCTGAACCAGGCGTCTTATATCATTAGACTGTGTCTGGACACATGGTTTTATTTTAATACTTGCGGAAGGAACAAGTGGAGGGATATAATGGAAAGACCAGGAGGGGGGATGGGGGTCTGACAGGGTGAGTAGGGGGTTATGCTGGTGACACAGATTGGGAATGACTGAATATGAACAGATGAATAATGAGGGAAGATGAGATTTAAAGGTAAGAATGTCTCAAAGAGGGTGAAAGAGTGTATTAATGTGATTAGGGAAATACTGATAGTGAGAGAGGAGGTAGGGGATGGATTGGATGATTAGATATGAAGCAGAGTTAGAACACAGAATGGGAGGAGGTTGACAGGGGAGTCAGGACAAGGTGAAACAGAGGTGACCTATCCAATCGGATTCAATATGAAGCTGCCACCAAGGGCCTTTGGTTTAGCCTGGAGCCCAGTGTTTAGACGGGGGCCAAGCATTTAAATAGAAGCCCAGCGTTTAGACAAGGGTCCAGAGATTAGACAGGGGCCCAAAGTTTAGACAGGGGCCCAGGATTTAGACAGAGGCGCAGGATTTAGGCAGGGGCCCAGAATTTAGACAGGGGCCCAGCATTTAGACAGGGGCCCAGGATTTAGACAGGGCCCAGGATTTAGACAGGGGCCCAGCGTTTAGATGGGGGCCCTGCATTTAGAATGTATCCCGGCATTTAGACAGGGGCCCAGGGTTTAGAGAGGGGCCCAGGCACCATGAATATCCCCTTAAGGACCAAACTTCTGGAATAAAAGGGAGTCATGACATGTCACACATGTCATGTGTCCTTAAGGGGATATACTTGGCCCACATTCATTGTCTTATGCTAGGAATAAAGGGGGCCCCAAACTGGTAATATGCCTAGGGCCCTATGGAATTGTTAGCCTTGTCTGCGAGGAGAGTGTGAGAGAGACAAGGAAATAGAAAGGAGAGCGTGAGAGAGAAACAGAGAGTGAAGTGTGAGAGAGACATGGAGATAGAAAGAAGAGCATTCGAGAGACAGATATAGACAGGAGAATGTGAGATATAAAAGAGAGCAAGAGAGAGACAGGTAGATAGAAATAGGAGTGTGAGAGAGACAGGAAGATAGAAATGAGAGCGTGAGAAAGACACAGAGAGCAGAGTGTGAGAGAGACACATAGACAGAGAAGGGGGTGTGAGAGAGACACACAGAGAGCAGAGTGTGAGAGCAACACACAGACAGTGAAGAGAGTGTGAGAGAATTACAGAGACAGATAGGAGAGTGTGAGAAAGACACAAAATATTGAGAGACACTGAGACAGAGAGGAGTGAGTGGATTGAGACCATAAGAGAGAGAGTTACAGAAGGATATTGAGAGAGGAAAGTGTGAAATAAACACTGAGAGAGTTAGGGAGACACTACGATAGAGAATGATAGAGACCCTCAGATACAGAACAGAGAGAGACACTAAGATAGAAAGGAAAGTGTGAGACACAGAGACACTCAGATACAGAACAGAGAGAGACACTACGATAGAGAGTGAGGCAGAGGAGAGGGTGAGAGGGGCGAGCCTCTTAATAGGTAAAAGCAGAAACACGAGTAAGAAAAGATGAGATTTATGGAGAAGAGATAAGGAATGTGAGAGATCGGAAACAGCATAGAAAGGAAATAGCTTGTGTCAGACTTGGGTAAGGAGATTGAAAGAGGGAGAGTGAGAGGTGAGAAAGAGAGAGAAGCATAAAAATGTGGAAAAGAAAATACCAGAGAGCAGAGACAGCCAACCACAAAGACTTGATACAGAGTACAGAGAAGTTGAGAGAATATGAATGGGGTCACAGAGAAATGAATGTGTAGTATAGACAGACACAGAGGTAAGAGTGTTAGTGTGTACTTTAGACAGTCATAGAGGTTAGAGAGTGAATATGCATGTTAGACAGTCAAACTGAGCAGTTCTAACAGTAACATTCCACTGGTTTCCATGGTGACTGCTCCATTTTAGAACGTTTCTGCAGCATGATTCTGTGCACAGAGAGGCAGATCAGAGAGTGTGTGAGTCCTGGCAGAAAGCATTGATATGTAAGTGTGGGCTGGGCAGAGCAGGCTGGAAGGAGGTCCTTGTATTCAGTGCTCACTGTAACAGACTGTGAATGTGAACTCTAACTATTCCCATCTGGACTTATCTCTCCACTTACATCTCAAGGTAAGTCCACTAACCCCAGCCCACATTGTTCTTCCCTGGCACATCAGCAGCAACAAAGTCTTTATTTTTTTTTAAGTTTTTGTAACATCTACCTTACTTCCTTTTTTTTTTTTTTTTGCTGACAACAAAGATTGCAAGTTACAACAAATTTCTTAATTTTTTTTTCTAACCTGATATTTGTTGTGAAATTTCCGGCCATGAATTTTGGATTATTTTTTTGTACATGTTTTAACATCTGTGATTGGGAAGTTTGTCCACTGGGGATGAGCTGCGTGTGAGGTTAGTAGATGGACAGACAGACAGACAAACAATGTGTCAGGAGCACAGAATCCCCTGTACTTGTAGATCAGTACAGGATAGTGTATGGTCCCTCTGTATTGTGTCTTTGTGCTCTCCCTGTTGTAATGAATCCGTCCCTCTTTTATATATACTGGAATTTGAGTTATGCACATATTTGTTCTCAGTGCATCATGCCCTTCAGTCTGTTAGATTGCAAGCTCTGCTGCACAATAACTCTTTTCCCCTGTACTGTATACCGTATATCCTGTATTTTCGATTGGAAGCTCTGCGGCACAAGATCCTTTCCCCTCACTGTATTGTATTAGTTATATCCTGAATTTTAGAATGCAAGCTCTGCAGCACAAAATCCTTTCCCTGCAGTGTATCAGTAATGCACGCGTTTTAGAATGTAAGCTCTGCGGATCAGGATTTATTTCTCCCTTACTTCCTTCTCTCTGTAAATTTGTATATGTTTCTCAGATATTTGAATATATCTGCTGGCAAGATTCGCTTACTCTGAAGTACTTTGCCCTTCTGTATACTGTTTGCATTGCACCCATCTTAATATTGGTTCTCCCCATCCCTGTGTATTTGGATCTATGTACATACGATTATGAACGTTTAATTGTACTTACTAACCCCCCAGCCTGCATTTTGATCCATGCTGCCCCAGGCTACCTTTTTCCCTGCCTTGCATTTGTTGTGACCTTTACATATTACTGTTTCTACCCTAGGACTGCAGATGGGTCTGAACTACATGTTCCATTGATGCTCAGCAAGCATAAGTTAATTTCAAAGTTACTGTCATCACTGTATTAGATTGTAAGCTCTGTGGCTAACAGAGCTTGTTATTTTCATATTGTTTTTTCTAATTTATATTCTCACACCTTACACCTTTCATGTTTGGTTTATAGACACACAGTAACCTTCCACCTGTGCTATATAGTTGTGTTGAGTATCACTGTACCCACTTGTGCTATATAGCTGTGTTGAGTATCACTTTATCGGCAGACTGAATATGTGATCTGGATTGCATTAGAGCTGAATAATGTATCTGCAAATTCTTCACAGAATGTTTTGCTACCAAAGGCTGAAATACTTCAGTTCAACCTCCTTTTTTCATTATTAGAATATTTCTAATTTCTCTGGTTCTCCAATGAGTAAATGAAGCATTATGAGGTGCAATAAGGTCCCTCGTTAATTTAAGTTTTCTGTTTGTGTTGACCTGTTTGTCATAAATCGGAGGTTAGCTTTATATTCTTATTGGACAACGCTGCAGATCATGTTGGCGCAATAATAATAAGTATACAAATAATGATATTAATCCTCTATTTTTGTCATGTAAAAAAAGCTTTAGAACTAACAAAATTTGCAGAAGAGTCTTATTTAAATATTCAAGCTTTGCGACAGTTTTATTTCACTTTGCAAGGTAATTTTTTTGTTTGCTCTTTATATAATGTTACGTAAGCGTTATACAATTTTTATTCAATAGTTCCCAAAACATACTTATTTGTCATAGTGGTGTTTTACAACCTTGTGTTTCAAAAACTTTTAAGTGGATCGTGACTTTATGCACTAAGCAGTAAGTTGTGTCATATTAGTTTGTGACTTAAAAATATTTTAAGCCATACTGATTGCCAAGTTGGGAAAAAAGTGTAAATTAGTGGAGTTCAAGATTTATTATTTAAGTTGCAAAAAAACATATCAAACACACCGGTATATACTATTTAGTGAATAAACCCCTATGGGAAGATTTGGTAATGGTCACGGTCAAATATGAGGTCATAGGCCATCTGCTGTGCAAAATCTGTCAGCAGCTGTACCTCACAATTGCCCCCTGGCAGAAAGGGTTATTACATCTGCCACTCAAAATTAGTCAAGTTGATTATTTGTTTTTTTTTTCAGCGTAAAGATATTGACGTAGAATTTGACGGTGGTATATGAACTGCCTACAATGCGCTATTTAGTAAATAAACCCCTAGGAGGAATTCGGTAGTGGTGGTCAGATGTAAGGTCATAGGTCATCTGACAGGCAGAGCTTGACAACAGCTGTATCTCAAAATTGCCCTCGGGCAGACATGCTTGGCACATATGCCATTTATTTTACTATAGTCAAATATTCTCTGTGTGCTTTCTGGCGAAATGTATCTATAAACGCATATATGACAGAAATCAGGGTATATCCTGGCCCGCAGTCTGTAGAAAAACGTTATCTGTGCTAAATTTTTCCCCATGACCATGTTCGATTTGAATGGGTGAAACCAGCACGGAGCTCATTTATTCGGATGCCGGATTGATGAATGTGCACTAGATGATGATCACCTGCACAGTCTTTGCTTAAAAAAGCATTGTTTCTTACGCAAGAAGCCCTAAAGATGGGTGCCCCCATGGAGCCACCATCAGCCGAGATATGTACTGAAAGGAGGTATGTCCTTATAGGCATACATTACAAATGTATCCATAAAATACTTGTAATCTTTTATTTTAAATATTAGTGCCATTGTGGCAGCTGTTCTTTAAGGGTATATCCGAGGCAACACAGGTGAAAATGTACCTCCTATACTTACCATCTTTCTCCGAAAATAAGACCAGGTCTTATATTATTTATTTATAAAATATTTGACCAGGATGGCTACATTGAGATTTCTCTCGCTTTCAAGTATGTCCTGGGTCTTTGTCCACAAAACATTGCATTGTTACAATAGGGTACAATATTACAAAAATACAATATACAAACTATATATTTTTATATATATACACACACACACATATATATATATATACATATATACACATATATAAATTTATTACATAACAGGTAATAAATATATTCAACCATGACAGGTGCCTTCTGTGCTGAAGTATATTGCCATAGATTTCTTAAAAGATTTTAGATTGAATGAAGATTTGACTGTTTTCCTGAGGTTATTTAAAAATTTAAGGTGCTCAGTAGGAAAATGAGGATCAAGCCACTTTATTTCTGTATTGCGGTATGCTAAGTATCGTGCTAGTACTGAATCGGAGGTTATAGGAGGTGGGAACAGCCAGGGAGAGCATTCTACTCAGGTAGGGTGGGTGCTTCCCAGAAATGCTCTTATGCACAAGCATATGCTCTTATGCCCCCGAAAAATGCACTAGCGCTTATTTTCGGTGGAGGTTTTATTTCGGGCAAAAACAAATGCTTTTTAGTTATTTCGTCAATCCAAGCATATTGTTACTAAATATATGTAGACTGACTTCACTGCATTTCACCCCAATAGCTATTGGCATCTCAAGCTAAAGCTTCAGTGAATAAACCTCAAAAGGATTTTGTCCATGAAGAATAAGCCCACATGGTATCATGTCATATACAAATTGTAACCACAGGGATTATGTACAAAGTAAACCCACAGTGGATGCTGCCTGTATGCCTGAGGCTCTCCACCTAACTTTTCGAATACTCCTTCACTTGGGCCAAAAGTTTTTTCCCAACTTACCCCACTTTTTCTGGACCTCTGTATCACATGAAGGCTAACTAGACTTGCGCACAGCGGATGAATTTGGTTTGTCCGAATCATAAATCGTAAATGTGTTAGTATGGCTTGTACGAATATAGTTCAGTGCAAATATATTTGGGAAACCGTCAGCAATGCGGATGAACCAAAAAGGCAAGAAAATTGGCCAATCAGTGTACTGCAAAGTATAAATATATTTGCATCAGTAATTTATCAAATGCATCGGTAGGATAATTAGTATGCCGAATAGGAAACTGTGCCCTCGGTTATCATCTTCATAATTCTAATACACACTTTTGTTTGCTAAAATTTGAACTGGAGTGCATTGAGAATTAGATTGCAAAACTTGGTCAGAAGTGAATGATTTGGAAAAATTTCCAACTCAGCTGTAGTCAAATCTCGGCTTTTTTTTTGCCATAATTTTGCAATTCCTTTTCCAATTAACTACAATTCGAAGTTTAGTGAATGAACCCCTTTGCGATTCCCTGCATTAACCTTAAAGGTGCCACATGAGAATTCCACGTCTGTGTGCACACACAATGCAAGATGAATTATTTGCTAAAAAATTTTCAAAGAACTAGATCATCCAGCATTGCAATCGTTTCTCAGAAGACCCTTGCATGCAATATATTATAAGTACAGGGGAGTATTATACACGTTGACAATGCTAGTTCTGCAGTATGCCGTTTTAAAAAATTATAGCAATTGTTCGGTATTATTCTTGTGAAACAGCATGATGAAAGGCTATATTAACCACTCTTATGTGCAGTGCTTTCATTTTGCAAAACCAACTGTTTAAAGTGAATTATGTACATAGCAGTAATCATGGGGATTATCTTGTATTTTACAGTCCAGATCTGTATATAGTCCAATACATTGAATTTAGGAACACTGTATCCCTTAGGTACTCTTCAAATGCTGAAGCTCTGAGGGGTAGTAACTTTTTTGTTCTATAGTTATTAAGCTTATTGTACATTCTATGATCTAGTTTGGATATACTTAATTTTCCCAGAGTGTAATGTCTAGGTGGAATTTCCTTTGGACTATGGAAAATCTCCTTTTTACAGTTCTATATAAGGTTAGTTGCCAGTAGTAACAATTATAGAACATCTTGTCTCCTTTAAATCTCCGTATAATACTTACAGTATCTATATTTTCTTTTTATATATGTTTTTTCTTTTTATACTTTTATAATCATTTCAAATTATGAAGTATCACAGAGTCTTGCAATATTGCTTTTATTGGACTAACAGTATTTTGCAATGACAATATTGCTTGGTTTCGCAATGGTTTTTGGGAAACCCTCCTTTATAAGCAATTCTCACCAAAATCAAATACGGAACTCAAACATTGTATATCACAGCTAGAACATTTAATCAAGAAAACATACATACTAGTCAGGAGGGTGATGTATTCAGATCCAGAGAGGGGATGAGACTGTGGAAAAGTCCTCCTACCCATTTGTTTACCATGAATGGCTATTGTGGCCTCAACTTTCCAATTCTCTTGTAAATTCACCACAATAATAGTGAATGTGTGGCATTGTGTTACATTAACATTTGCATATAAAGGCTTGTGTGTGTGTGTAAATGAACATTTGTGTATATCATATTGTGTTTTCATGGTCTGCTGAATTAACGAAGGAATTACTGCTGAGTTCCAAATCAAGTCATTATTTTCCCCCATGATTTTAGTTTCTAAATATGCCAACATTCTGCGTTTAGTGACTTGCTCTTTGTAGGATAAACTAAATTGTTGGGAATTCAAAGTGAATTTTAAAATTAAAGAACCACTAATTGCACCCAGGACATATAATCTCAATGAAGTTGTCTTGGTGTGCTAAGTAGTTTTACTCTAGCGATATAAAACATGGTAATTGTATAGAAACAGCAATGTTTACATTGCAGCGTTAAACACACTACTGCTGGCTGTCTTCTTGACAGACGCTAGATGCTCTTTCTTTGCAACTACTAATTGAAACCGGAGAAAAGCATTAGTATACATGCGCAGTGCGTACCATGCATGCGCTTTAGTCCTCCATGGTCCTCTTAAAGGAGCATGGAATTGTCCGTCAGCAAGAGAGCTGTTGCAGGAGTAGGAATGAACGGCAGCGCTAAGGGAATCTTGTCACAGGAGAAAAGCATTTTTTTCAAGGTTTTAAGTCCAAACGGGAGGGGGGACCTAAAATTTAACAGGCACTAAGACACCGTAGCATGAGAAATGCAGGTTTGTATTCCTATTGCTATGCATTCCTTTAAGGCAAAAACAATCAAACTGGGAAAAATCCTCCAAGAAAGCTATTCTTACAGTTTAGCTACTTTGGCCTTAAATGTGAAATCCACTTTGAATTCCTGACATTTATCACATTTTAGAATGACCCCGAGACTTGGGCGACACATACCCTTATGAATTAAGGCTAAATTGCTGAGCTGTGATTTCTAGATTAAAACGTTATGTTGAGGAGTAATCCTTTCAGATTAAAGATGAGGGTTGGTGTTTTGTTGTGTCTTAATAATTGTGTAAATGTTCCTTGAGATTGCATGTAAAGCTATTGAGATTTGTAATGTTCACGTTCAAACACTAAAAGGGGAACTAAGAATAATTATTGGTAGAAGATTTGTGTGCTGCAACCAATGTTAAAGGGACACCCGAACAAACAATAAATAAATAAATAAAAATCATTGCTTAGTGTATATATATCCCAAATGAAAACATTCATGCATTTAATTATGCATTTTTTTCATTAGGGGTAAAAACAACTTTGCAAGTCCTCCCCTTCTAACCCTCAGACTTTCTCTGGCGGTCCAATCACAGACTTTCAAATGCAGCTCATTGAGTAGTCTTTGCAAGGCAGCTGCTCTGGACGATTGCTGCCTCTTGAGTTTAGCTCCACCTAGCTAAACAAACCAGGAAGTACAGGACAAAGTTGTGTGATTGACAGCCAGAGGGGTGTAACAAGGTCATTTTATAAAAGTGCCAATTTCTTTTTGTAAACTCTCTTCTATAATGAAGAAACGAGTAGGGGAAAAATAACATTTAAACACTTGTCTTGAACCTCTTGTTCCCTCTGTGAGCAGAGTCGCATGCCTTAATGTATTAGTTTTGACATTTAAAATGACAAGGAATTGTACTCTTATTGTTAATGGGATGTAATTGTTGTGTTGGTAATGAATGAATGCAACCCCTAGTGGGTAGTTTTGGGCACTACATCTAGTTTTTAACAACCACCTACTAACTGCCGTACTAGCTGCCCAATTATAACACCCAACAGTGGATGGAGCTAGAGATATGTTGATAAATATACATTCATGGATTTCTGTGACTGGATGTTAAGCACAAGGGCGAGCATAGTGTGCGAGAATGTGTATTGTGAAATCATCACACGCGATCAGCATCAGACACACACACATATATACAAAAAAAAGCGTACACTTTTACAATTACATGTTGCTTTCGCCAGGACTAAAAAAATTACAAATACGTTGTAAATATGATCATTAAAGGTTCACCTGGATTATTTTCTACACCATAAAACCTACAGCGGGCTGTAGTGGTTATGATGCTAGGCGTACCCCGATTCCTGGCAATTGGGCAAAGGGTTTTGCAATGGTTTGCCCTCTTATCTTGCTTCCCGCTGGACTAGGAGGGTCTATAACGTGCATCCGGCTTTTGCAGACGGCAGCGGTCAATCACCTTGGGTGTTCAATTGCTGAGAGTGACAGCTGACTTGTCTCAGCCAATTAACACAACCCTGTGCATAGGACTATTCGCAGAGCTGATACTGTCAGAGAGGCGTTATTTAATACTATTTTCTACGCAGATGTGAATTTAAACTATTGAAGAAAACCTTGAACATCACCTCTAGCTTGTGTTAATCTTTTTTGATGAGACGGTCTGTTTTCTTTTAAAGTCATATTAAAAAAACTAAAATTATATGACATCATTATCCAGTTCAGACAAGGCAAAGCCTGGGAAAGCATTTTAAATAAAAAGGAGAAATAGAAGCATTGTTTAATGTATGCTTTCTCTATGCTGATTGGCAGGTGCAAAAGACAGAGCTTATAACAATGACAGACAGAAATCCAAGATGGAGGCGCCCAGTTGCAGGATAAAGAGGCGTGGGATTCAACATATCATTTAATTTTCATACCTCACAAGTCCTGGGAAGTGACAGTACCTCTTTATAAGTAGGTCGCAAGTCTCGGAATCTTGAACAAACACATTCGACTAAATCCATAATTTAGCCAATTTCACATCAAGATATAGGCAGTTTCTATTTTGTAGTAATTAGTAAACTTGTTTTCGATGATAAGTCTATTATTATATTACAGCTATCATCACTTTATTCTATAGATGTTCCGTACCGTCCCCTCTGCACCTCCCTCTACGTACCGTACTTGCCAGTTTTCATGAGATAATGTCTAGCAATACTTCCCCTGGGTGGTCCTGTTTCGAACTTGACAATTTCTGTGCCCGGTACGAGTAAAGGGTGGAGTGAACAGGAAATCTTGTTCTTGCAATCTTGCAGTGCAGATTTCAAAATATGCTTGTGAATAGTTTTTTAAAGAATAAACCTCACAGAAACCTACTAATTACAGCAGCGTAATCTCATGTACTAACACGATGGCTACATGCATTAGGAGTTTAAAAATTAGGAACTAGATGTATTTGAGTCTGGGAATGTTAAAAGACGCACCTTTTTTTTTTACCCAATTTTGAGAGCTGGTTTGACCAGGGACATAATGCATACTGTAGGCCTTTGCATTGGCTAAACTAAGCACACCACACTGATCTATTCAGCCCTCTTACTGCAACCCTGTATTATGTATTTGTAAAAAGCATCACTAAGAATTTGAGCCATGATGACATTGTGCTATTCACAAGCAGCAATTGTTTCCTCTCTTCCTCCTTCATACTCTGTTTTTCTTTTTTTTTTTTTTTATTTAAGTCTATTTCTAACTTAAAACGTAAGACAAAGTAAGGACACATAGCCATTTATGTTAAAACAAATATTATGTTGGAAATATGCCAAAGTATTTTATTTACACAGAATTAGTTCTAAACTCGGTCTATTATAGTTTCCAGACTTTTTTTTTTTTAGAGCGTTTTATTGCTGTTCGTGTTCTGTTACAAATTCAGACATGCCAAAACTACAGAAGTTTCCAGAAAAGAGGGACCTTAGGATAGAGAGAAAGAGACATAGGGATTTGGGCCGAAGAGAGAGAGAGAGTGCATCCAAAGTAGTGAAGCTTGTCTGTGCTATGATTCCCTGTGCTTGTAGTAGTGAGTAGATGTAAAATGTGTGCCTGCAGGGTCGATGTACAAGTTCCCAAATCTTCAAAATGGCTGCTCCATAAGTCTTTGCAGATTTGTGTCTAAGTCCATTAATAACAGGATAGAACATATCAGAGATCTGATTATTTGTGGAAGATGGACATGCTTGAGCTGTTAGTTAATGATTTGTATGGGCTGAACAGCACTAATGAATTATCAGCATTCCGTCAAAAGGATTCTGTAAATATGAGGAGATTTTAAGAGATTGGCCGTACAGCTAGAACTAATTATCCAATAGAAAAGGTACAAGCAATTTTAGAGATACAGAATACTTAAATGGACATTCCGAGCACCATACTGTAATCTTTATCATGTGACCAAAAACATAAAAAACAGTTCAGGCAATCACTGAACAGAGCACGTTAGTGAATGACATTTGTATACAAGGTATTTACTAACGTGAGAATTGTTGGGGATTTACAGGTTTGTTTACTAAAGTGAGAATTCAAGGTGAAAATCAAATTTTCAGCTCAAAATAGCTGAACTGGAGAAAATATCTAAGTCAGCTATGCTTCCAGTTTTGCTACGTTGGTTGTAAATGTCAAATTACAGACCATTCTCATTTTTGTGAATAACCCTGAGAGTGTCCAGAGAACTGGGGCATAGGGCAATATACATAATGTCACTCCCCCTGCCCCCACCCTAACATTGGTGTCTCTAGTTGCAGGGGGGAACAGGGAGAGGAGACAGATCAGGAGCAGAGCAAAACACAGCCCTGGCCAATCAGCATCTCCTCATAGATATGTATTGAATCAGTTGTATCCCTATGAGGAAAGTTTAGTGTCTGCATGCAGAGGGAGGAGACACTGAATGGCAGCACTGCACAGTGTGCAGCACTGCCCCAGTAAGCACCTCTAGTAGCCATATCTGAGGAGTGGCCAGTTGAGGTATCATAAGGCTGCAATGTAAACACTGCCTTTTCTCTGAAAGGGAGTGTTTACATCAGAAAGCCTGAAGGTAATGATTCTACTCACCAGAACAAATACAATAAGCTGTAGTTGTCCTGGTGACTATAGTGTCCCTTTAACCCCTTAAGGACCAAACTTCTGGAATAAAAGGGAATCATGACATGTCACACATGTCATGTGTCCTTAAGGGGTTATATCATTTTATATCTTTATAAAATTAAATGTCCCCACATCTGTTATTATTTCTGAGGAAAGGCCAGAGATATGCAGCAAGAAAAATCTGGTCAGTTGTGCACACAAGATAAGTGGACATACATGTATGTTCTCACACAAAAAAAGGGAATTTACATGCATGTGCTCTAAGGAAATAATGTGTGTCCCTCCCCAGTGCAGTTATTTGGTAAAGGATATAATCAGCAGTTTATACATTAATTTTTACAGAAATTAACAATAAATGTCGATATCACATCAAAACTTGAAGTAAATAAAATGTTTACTTCATTCATTTTACAGTGATCTCATTTTTGGGGGGTGAGGGAGTGTGGGGGATGACATGGTTTAAGATATATTGTGGGATTGTGTGCCAGTCTCACTACCCCCTCTGTTCTCTGTTTTCCTTTACCCTCTGTCTCCTTCACAGGAAAGGGAGTCTTTACACTGGGATGTGAAAAGATGGACCCTCTATCTAAATGGAAAGAGATAAACTTTCCTGTTTGGGAAAAACAAATATATTTCTGTCACGTTTCAGGAAGCTCTAAATCTCCCATGGCCTGTATAAATACCCTGAGGGAAATATGCTCAGCATGTACACACTACACTGTTACAGAATGATACTGAGTATCTATACACTGATAATGAACACACTGCACTGTATAATAATACTGAGTATCTATACATTGATAATGAACACACTTCACTGTATAATAATACTGAGTATCTATACACTGATAATGAACACACTGCGCTGTATAATAATACTGACTATCTATAATGAACACACTGCACTGTATAATAATACTGAGTATCTATACACTGATAATGAACACACTGCGCTGTATAATAATACTGAGTATCTATACACTGATAATGAACACGATGCGCTGTATAATAATACTGAGTATCTATACACTGATAATGAACACACTGCGCTGTATAATAATACTGAGTATCTATAATGAACACACTGCGCTGTATAATAATACTGAGTATCTATACACTGATAATGAACACACTGCACTGTATAATAATACTGAGTATCTATACACTGATAATGAACACACTGCACTGTATAATAATACTGAGTATCTATACATTGATAATGAACACACTTCACTGTATAATAATACTGAGTATCTATACACTGATAATGAACACACTGCGCTGTATAATAATACTGAGTATCTATACACTGATAATGAACACGATGCGCTGTATAATAATACTGAGTATCTATACACTGATAATGAACACACTGCACTGTATAATAATACTGAGTATCTATACTCTGATAATGAACACACTGCACTGTATAATAATACTGAGTATCTATACACTGATAATGAACACACTGCACTGTATAATGATACTGAGTATCTATACACTGATAATGAACACACTGCACTGTATAATAATACTGAGTATCTATACACTGATAATGAACACACTGCGCTGTATAATAATACTGAGTATCTATAAGCTGATAATGAACACACTGCGCTGTATAATAATACTGAGTATCTATACACTGATAATGAACACACTGCACTATATAATAATACTGAGTATCTATAATGAACACACTGCGCTGTATAATAATACTGAGTATCTATACACTGATAATGAACACACTGTATAATAATACTGAGTATCTATACGCTGATAATGAACACACTGCACTGTATAATAATACTGAGTATCTATACACTGATAATGAACACACTGCACTATATAATAATACTGAGTATCTATAATGAACACACTGCGCTGTATAATAATACTGAGTATCTATACACTGATAATGAACACACTGCACTGTATAATGATACTGAGTATCTATACACTGATAATGAACACACTGCACTGTATAATAATACTGAGTATCTATACACTGATAATGAACACACTGCGCTGTATAATAATACTGAGTATCTATAAGCTGATAATGAACACACTGCGCTGTATAATAATACTGAGTATCTATACACTGATAATGAACACACTGCACTATATAATAATACTGACTATCTATAATGAACACACTGCGCTGTATAATAATACTGAGTATCTATACACTGATAATGAACACACTGCGCTGTATAATAATACTGAGTATCTATACACTGATAATGAACACACTGCGCTGTATAATAATACTGAGTATCTATACACTGATAATGAACACACTGCGCTGTATAATAATACTGAGTATCTATACACTGATAATGAACACACTGCGCTGTATAATAATACTGAGTATCTATACACTGATAATGAACACACTGCGCTGTATAATAATACTGAGTATCTATACACTGATAATGAACACACTGCGCTGTATAATAATACTGAGTATCTATACAATGATAATAAACACACTGTGCTGTATAATGAGTATCTATACACTGATAATGAACACACTGCGCTGTATAATAATACTGAGTATCTATACACTGATAATGAACACACTGCGCTGTATAATATACTGAGTATCTATACACTGATAATGAACACACTGCGCTGTATAATAATACCGAGTATCTATACACTGATAATGAACACACTGCGCTGTATAATAATACTGAGTATCTATACTCTGATAATGAACACATGCGCTGTATAATGATACTGAGTATCTATACACTGATAATGAACACACTGCGCTGTATAATAATACTGAGTATCTATACACCGATAATGAACACACTGCGCTGTATAATACTGAGTATCTATACACTGATAATGAACATGCTCTATAAAGTTTTAGTTTATTTTTTCTGTTTAAAGAGAGCTGGGAGTCTACTTGCTTTCTGTTATTGATGAAGATCTGCTCTGTCAGCAGTAAGGAAGGTTTGCTGGTCTTGTGTATGAATACCCATTAGTTACTTTTCAGAGGTCAAAAGGAAGACTGAATTTCCTACTCTTGGAGATCATTGTTTAGACTAAGAATGTGACATTAAAGGGAAGGGAGGATAAATGGACAGGACTCCATGGGTGACGTGTTTTAAGAATCTAACCATCTGCCTGCTGAATATATATATATATATATATTTTTTTTTTTTAAATCAATGTGTCCCTTTAATTAGTACTACCAATTCCTATTACACACTAACCTTACTCTCACTTTCTCCAAAATGTTTTGAGAAATCTAATTCTATAAGTAATTTAAGTCTTTGAAATGTTTGAGACTAAACCCAGATTTTTCAAAAATTTTTTACACGTTAAGTATTTTCTGTGTATCAATTAACACTGTAGTAGCTATTGTTATTCATGTCATTCCACAGGTAAATGATGAGATTCTTACTGGTTATATTTTAACCCCATATGGGCTATTGCAGTGCAGATATATCATAAAATATAGTCCAGCAGAACTGGTCATCTACCCATACAGAGCACTGACGCTCCCTCAGCTCTGTAACTCGCACTGTAATTAAAGGGACACTGTAGTCACCTGAACAACTTTACCTTAATGAAGCAGTTTTGGTGTATAGAACATGCCCCTGCAGTCTCACTGCTCAATCCTCTGCCATTTAGGAGTTAAATCCCTTTGTTTATTAACCCTAGTCACACCTCCCTGCATGTGACTTGCACAGCCTTCCATAAACACTTCCTGTAAAGAGAGCCATATTTAAGCTTTCTTTATTGCAAGTTCTGTTTAATTAAGATTTTCTTATCCCCTGCTATATTAATAGCTTGCTAGACCCTGCCAGAGCCTGTGATTAAAGTTCAATTTAGAGATTGAGATACAATTATTTAAGGTAAATTACATCTGTTTGAAAGTGAAACCATTTTTTTTTTTCATGCAGGCTTTGTCAATCATAGCCAGGGGAGGTGTGGCTAGGGCTGCATAAACAGAAACAAAGTGATTTAACTCCTAAATGACAGTGAATTGAGCAGTGAAATTGCAGGGGAATGATCTATACACTAAAACTGCTTTATTTAGCTAAAGTAATTTAGGTGACTATAGTGTTCATTTAACTACAAACCAATGATCTAGTTACATAGTTACTTGGGACAGGAGCAGTTATGGTCAGATCCCTACGGAGCGCTGCGCACATAGGAAAACGCTCTGCAGGTACTGACAGTTATGGTAAATTTGCCTATTTCTGCAGGCCAAGCCCCCTCCTCCCCCCTCACTCAGAGCAACCTGTGAAATCAGCAGTATAATTCATTATATTATTTTTTTAACATGTGGTTATCGCATTGGTGCTGATACTATGTCATGCCCTCTCTTAACTGGAATAAAACATGCACAGCTCTAGAGGGTGAGAGTTTGTGGTGTGCGTATTGCTTTAGATATTTTTCACAAGTGGGCTGCCACAGAGTATGGGTGTACAGACTAACACACATATATATATATATATATATATATATATATTTATTTTTTTATTTTTTTACTTGTTTTTATTTTTTTAATGCAATTGCATACATTTTGTTTATAAATACATTTATGTAGTTGCTTTGAATAAGTCCTGCGAGTGTTCTCTCACGAAAAAACGTGTAGCACAAAGATCAGGGGAGGGCAAGGGAATAATAGCTTCCTGGACCACTAGTTCTGGGCCTTGTTTTTCTCCTTATTAAAAGCAGTGATGGGATGTTTGTTGACAGAGCACGACAAGTAAGACAGCAGGCAGGAACTGTGCAGAACCCATATCTGGGTCGTACCAAGCTGACACACTATGACTATTTAATGTACCCCGAGTGACATATGCTGGTCGTCATTGAGGGCAGTTGAGTCACAGGAAACAGAGGCATGCGCCTTTGTGAATGCCCAGATCTCTGTGAATGCTTCCTTATGCTGCACTATCGGATTCCAGCGATATTATAATTATTATTTAAAAAGCGCCAACAAATTCTGCAGTGCTGTACAATGGGAGGACCAACAGACATGTAATTGCAACAAAACAAGTTGGTTGGCAGTAGAGGGTGTTGAGGGCTCTGCTCAAATAAGCTTACATTCTAGAGGACATACTTGAAAACGAAAGAATCTCAATGTATCTTTCCTGGTAAAATATTTTATAAATAAATATAGGAAGTGGGGTAAAGTGACACAAAAGGTAAGGGTAGGATGCATTTCATGTACGGGATAAGTAGGTTACTAGAATGGTTTACAGTGAAGGCTTAGTTTTTGATTTATGATTGGTGGGTTACCAAGGTTATGGAGAGAAAAAGGTATTTAATAGATTATTTTCTAAAGAAATGAGTTGTCAAAGAGGAAGGAATGGAGACTGGATGAGAGTCTAATGGAGCAGGTTAGAGAGTTCCAGAGGAACGGTGCAGCCCTCGAGAAGTTTTGAAGGTGGGTGACAGAGGTGCTTGTACGAACAGGGCATAGAAGCAGGTCTACAGCTGAGTGTAGTAGCCTCAATGGAACATACTTGTGTATTAGGGAGGACAGGTAGGTAGAAGCAATATTGTGTAGAGATTTGCAAGCAAACACCAGAATTTTAAATTGGCCCCATTTCTTACGAAAAGCTAGTATAAGGACTGACTACTGCAGTAGTCAAGGTGAGAGAGGATAGTGGCATGGACCAGCATCTTAGCCGCATCCGTCATTAAGTAGGGACAGATGCCTGCTATGTTTTTGAAATGGAAGCGGCAGGATTTGGTGATCGAAAGGACATTAGGGGTGAAGGAGAGGTTTGAGGAAGTGAGCCTGCACGGTACAGCTGATGGTAGTGCCATTAACTTGGAAGGAAACAGACACAGGAGTAGCAATGCTTGGGGAGACAAGAAGTTTTGTTTTGCACAGGTTAAGTTTAAGGATGTGAGCAGCAACAGAGTTAAGAAATAGCAGAGAGGCAGTCAGCGACATGAGTCAAGAGGGACAGCGAGAGTTCAAGAGAGGACAGATAGATTTGCATGTCATCCTAATAGAAATGATATTGGAAGCCAAAAGAGCTGGTAGGTTTACCAAGGGAGACAGTATAAATCGAGAACAGTAGGGGACCAAGGACAGAACTTTGGGGAACACCAACAGAGAGAGGTTGCAGAGAAGTGGAAGAGCCAGAGCAAGCAACACTGAAAGAGGTAAGAGGAGAACCAGAAGAGATCACCCAGTCCAGAATTTTAGGAGGATGAGAAGTTGTTGATGATCAAAAGTGTCGAAAGCAGCAGAAAGGTCAAGAAGAATTAGGAGAGTAGCGACTTAAATAATGGGACACTTTGGTAGGACCGTTTCGACAGAGTCACTAGCACGGAATCCAGACTGAAGTGGGTCAAGCAGAGAGTTGGATTCAAGGAAGTCGGTCATTGTAGCTATGAGATGTTAAACCACGTGACTCCAGCAGGCGCCATCTCTCTGACCCATATATTACATGCTCCGCGTTAGTAGAATGTAGTCACACAGAGATCGGATACATTTCACACGTGGGCTGACACAGGAAACAATATGTGTTTGTAATTCAACACATGAATATATTTATACTGTTTATCATGGGAAAATATTGTTATCAAAAGGTTGTGGAGACATAAAAAAAACCAATAAAGACATAAAAACTACTTGGCCAAAGATCAAGTGATTCATGAATTTCCCAGAACGACTATGATAAGTGGGCGGCTGGCTAGTCAGTAGAACTTTGGGCAGCTAGCATACTGGGAAGGTGGGTTCGCAGAACTACTACTACTGATTAGCAGATTAAAGTGTGTTGGTGGTAAAAAAAATAAGAAGCTATATTACAGATACCCGTTGCTAGACCCAGTAAGGTCTTTATTATATGACTTGATTGTTACAAGCTGTTCTGTTAAGCAGCAGATATTCCCTCCATGTTATAAAGCAGTTTATTGCGAGAATAACATGATTGGACGTGTTCTATAATCCAGTAATAGCAAACCAGTAATAGTGTTGAAGTGTTGCCGCTGCTTATTATTTATTTATTTATAAAATATTTTACCAGGAAAGATACATTGAGATTTCTCTCGTTTTCAAGTATGTCCTGGAATTACTGCTGTTGTACACATTTATTCTTCCTCTTTTTATCCCGATTCCCTTACATCCAGAATTAATCTGCTCCGTATCCTCTGCTAATTTTATTTCAGTTTCTTAACCCTGGATTCCATGTCTGTTTTATTTCATATTCATATCAATTTATCATTTATTTGTTTTGATCAGTTTAATGATCTCTTTTTGCATTTGAATGAACGGATAGCAGCACTCGCTGTGGGAAATGCCTTGATATATCTCACTTTACTTCCCTATACAGCTAGGGCCTTGATTTAATATTTTTGAATGAGCTTTTCAAATGATTTATTCGCAAAAATTCCAATAGACTTAAAATTCATTGGAAAAAACTAATTAAAAAAAGCAGCAGCCAAGTTACTGTTTGGGCTGTGACTTCCTAATGGCCTTTTTTTTAGGTAGGCTATCTATGATGGAGATTGCAGTATTACTAATCTCGGCTATTTTTGTAAGGTGCAAGCGAAAATTCCACGAGATATATTCTATTTTGCCTATGTATGGCATACATGCAAGATGGTGGATATTTCATGTGCCCACCATTTTAAGGGGTGAACAATACTTATTTTAAAGTGTATCCTCACATGCAGAAATGGTGCGGCCAAGAGGGTTGCTAAACGTTTTATTTTTCTTTCTTTTTTGTCTACAACACTAAAGAGATTTGAGAATGTGAAAACAAAATACAAAATGTGTATTAGGCCAAAATGTATTAAGTGCACAACACTGTAGGCACTATTCCTATTTCATCTCATTGAATTGGTTGAATGGGGTCCCAGGCTTTCCACAGCCGGCCCCCACTGGAGGTGTGGCTAAAGCAGTGATTACAAACTTCCTTGTATCTTTCCACAGAGATTTATACCTGCAATGGGCACTGTGATAGACTGAATGCAGTCAGCTGACACCCCATTACTGCTCAGGCTATTGCTTCCGCATTATCCCAAACAGCACAGAGGGGATGGAATGCTAGTGGGGACTCTCGTATAGCTTTAGTACTGTAAAAAAGGTTCAACACTAAAAGGAGAATGGAGCCAGGGTACTCCAGACACTATAGCCACTTCAATGATATGAAACAGATACAGTGTCTACAATGTGCCTTTAAGGTGTGTTGGCACCCAGAGAATTCCTTCAACTTTTGTATGTATGTCAACTTTATCTTGTTCATTTATGTTTACTCCAAGCAAAGAAATGTCTAAAAATTGTTGTAAAAAAAGGAAGTCTTCAAAATAAGAGGTAGCAGAGTCCTGCTCTGTTTTCTTTGGTACTGGTTCACCCGTTTTATTGATATTTATTTTATTATTAGAGGGTAAGCTTATCGATTTAGATTTTTTATCTACTTTTCTTGAATAGTGGCATTTTAGTCCAAATTCTTTAGAACATAGGAATCATTCTTGAAATGTAGCATGAGATGTAAAACATTCCCTTTCCAAGGGAATATGATCAGAAAATATGTTTAAAAAAAAAAAAAAAAAGAGAAGAAAATAAGAAATACAAACCAAATTGGATCCCGTCCGAAACTAATCAAAAAAGCTATTCTTTGGATGGTTTCCAGCGTAAGTTTCTGGACATTCTTTCTAAACATACATACATTTAAGTAGCATAGGCTGAAGTTCAGGGCAATTAATCAAGCATAGGATGAAAGATGGAGCAATGAGACGGTCTACGCAGTGCCAACTACTGCTATGAAACAGGCTCCTAAACTGCCAGCACAAACTGTATCATTTCTTAGCTGGAAACGGTGTGCATAGTGCTGTGTTTCAGTTTAAGTCTGTTTACAGGGAAACTATAGTGCCAGGAAAACAAAGTTTTCCCGTGGTGCAGAAGGAGTTAAAAACGTCAGCCGGTGGGGGGAGACCTAATGCACATGCACGGCGATGTCCGCGCTCTCATTTGGAGTTCCCCTATAACAAAGAGTTATACAATTCTTGTATATGGTGTTCCAGGTGACGCTGGAGGTCCTCATGCATAGCTTAAGGACGGCCAGCGTCAGGCGACCAAAAGTTGCCTAACCACACAGAAGCCCCTCTTATTGCTGTCTGGTAGACAGCCACTAGATGTGGAGTTAAACCTCAAAGGTAATTATTGCAGTTTATTAATAGATGCAATAATTACCACTGCAGGGTTAAGGGACCAGGGACACTGCACTCAGATCACTTCATTGAGCTGAAGTGGTCTGGGTGCCTATAGTGTCCCTTTAACCGCTTAAGGAAACATGACATGTGACATGTCATGATTCCCTTTTATTCCAGAAGTTTGGTCCTTAAGGGGTAAAGCTTATTACAGGACAGATGCCATGATGTGAAATAGCATTGTGGCATACGTTTAAAAAATGTATTTAAAAAAAAAAAATGTTATGCCATTAATGAGTCACTTTTTAACGCAGTCTGTTTCTCATAGAAATGTAGAAAGAAGGAAACAGCGCTAAAATAGACCAATCCTATAAATAGATAAAGTAAGAGGCAGCAACCTAAAAATAGGCTTCCCTCTAAACCCTATGAACAAAGGTAATATAGAAGACAAAACAGAAGAAGGTTGCGCCAAAGCTGGCTAAAGTGCAGCTGAAATGTTTCTCATAGCATTGCTTAGGAAATGCTTTCTGCTTTCCCATAGATTGCTATCAGTTTTTGATTAGTGACAATCACATGTTTTTAGTCTATGCTAAGCTGGGTTAAATTGTGTTAACGAGCGTCATTAGCGTGCATTGCCCAAATGAACAGTTTAAAAGTTACATTCTCAAATATACCTAATAATCTGCAGGGAAAGAGGGAGAATTTAATCTGTTTAGTCTTCTACTAAGCCGATAACTATAATAAGAAAATTTACTTAATTACTTTTTCTCGGAGCAGAGCGTTAAAAAGGAAAATGTTCTCTTTTCCTATAGATTGCTATTTATTGAATAGTGGTGCATCAAGTGGTTTTAACCTGCATCAAACTGTTTAAGTGGGTTGGTAGATTAGGTCAACTGTTGACAGTTTTAATGTTGTGTGTTTTTTTTTATTTTTACCCGTCAGTGGCATTACAATTACAGTTATTTATATACAACGTAAACATATTCAGCAGCGCTGTACAACAGGTAAATAAGACAAACACTTAATTCTAGCATACTGGAATTCTGGAACAGTACGTCAAGAGGACCAAACCCAAACGAGCTTACAATCTAAAAGCAGTAAATAGACTTACAGGGGTTGTCCAATGACCCCTTTCATCTAGAAGGACGTTACATGCCTAATTCCATCCCTTTTAGGGAAAGATATTTATCGAGTCAAAGACTTGGATACTGATCCATTGTAAACACCATAAAGGTTTATCTAAACCAGCTCGAAACCCATGACTCATTCCAATGGTAACAATTTATCAGAGCATGCATGGAGGTTGGAGGGCGAAGGTGCCCATTTGATAGATGTTATGTCTTGATTTAGGGCTTTGTTAATGAAACATGATACTCTCCCTACTAGAAAAGAGGAATATTTTCAGTGGGAGATTAATGAAAGTTTACGCATGACTCAAACATACAGATTAAAAGTTATATACTTAGATATACTTAATAATCTACAGGGGGAAGAGAGAGAATTTAATCAGTTTAGTCTTCCACTAAGCCTATAATTACAACAATTCCTTGTACAGCTATTTTTCATTTTCTGAATGAAAAATGTCTTCATAATGTAAAAGTTAAATGAAATTTTTTTTATTTACTTATTTATTTATACAAGAAATAAAGTGAAAAATTTGAATGATATATCTTTCAAGAAAATAAAATTGTAAAGTTGAAAAATTCACATTTTCTTTTACTTTATCATGCAGGTTTTACGTACCAGGGACACTGCACTCAGATCAGATTTTGCTGGTTGTCGTGGACATATGAAAAAACACTGCCACTTAGTGGCCACACTCTTGGAATGCACCCCAATCTATGGTTTTGCTGTTATTCCTTAAAGAGTTAGCATTGCCTCTTTACTGGATATAAAGAACGTATTTTCTGCAATTATATTATTCTATTTCAAAATGATCCTCTGCTGCAGTTAAGTTACGGACTGGAGTTTTTGAAATAAAAAACGAACTATAGAGGAGAGACATCATGGATTTTGTGACGCATCAGCATCGATTGAGTCGATTATACAGAGAGTACCAAAACAATGACATTATTTCCCTACATTATAATTATACAGGAAAACTCAGCACAAGCAGGTACAAAGGAGGATTAAAAGCAGAGGCTGTGGTCTTTTTGGTGGTCTGCATCTTAATTGTTCTGGAGAACCTAATTGTCCTCTTAGCGATCTGGCGCAACAAAAAATTTCACTCACCTATGTTCTACCTCCTTGGAAATCTCACCTTGTCAGACCTTTTGGCTGGAGTGGCTTATATGGTGAACATTGTGATGTCCGGTGCCAACACCTTGCGTCTTACTCCGGCCATGTGGTTTGTCAGAGAAGGAGGAGTCTTTGTCACATTGACTGCATCAATTTTCAGTCTCCTCGCCATAGCCATTGAACGGCACATCACCATGGTTCGTATGAAACTTTATAGTGGAGATAAGAAGGGTCGAATGGGCTTGCTCATTGGAGCAAGTTGGCTGGTCTCCATACTTTTGGGGGTGTTGCCCATAGTGGGATGGAACTGCATCAATAACCTCCCTTCATGCTCTACCATCCTACCTTTATACTCCAAAGAATATATCCTGTTTTGCATCAGCATATTTATAGCTATCCTTATATCCATTGTGGTCCTATATATACGCATATACAGGATAGTAAAGCACAACAGTCAACGACTTGGAACTCTTCGAAAGGGGGCATTGAAGAAATCCCAAAAGTATATGGCACTTCTTAAAACTGTAACCATTGTTGTGGGCACATTCATTGCTTGCTGGCTTCCACTCTTCATTCTGCTCCTCTTCGATGTCTCATGTGAGGTCAATGCCTGCCCTATTCTTCTGAAAGCTGACTATTTCCTTGGCCTGGCAATGATAAATTCTTTCCTGAACCCTATCATCTACACTTTGACCAGCAGAGACATTAGGAGGGCCATTCTCAAACTGGTCTGCTTTTTCTGTTTGGCTTCTGAGGATGGCGAGACCAGGTGGAGATTTGGTATCTTTCCCATCCTTGAAGGAAGCACTAGTCGGTCTGAGAAGTCATCTCATAAACAGGAAGGGCTGGAGACCACTGTATCTTCAGGAAATGGAACCCCACCCCAGTAAAGCCTCTTGTATCCAAACCTGCGGAGTATTAATTCTATTCCCTCTGGTGCCCTCAATAACCTTTGTCATGAAAATATCATAAACAATCCATTGTTCTATTTTGTTCCTAAATTAGGACGATAAACTGCAGTGATACATTGCTTGTTCTGCCATTCTTTTGATACATTTTCCCGGCAGAAGAGGATTTTACACTGTGCCAAAGTTACGGTGAAAGCACTTCCAAGCATGGGACTTGGGTGTTTCATCCATATTGAAAATACATTGGTTCTAAGAACAAATTGGTTTTGCAGCAAAAAATAAAACTATTATAAAAACTAAATGTGAAAAATTTAATATGGTAAATATGTAAACAGAGGCTAGCAATATTGTGGCTCTTGGCTTCTGATATAGTGCAATACTCACAACCCCCTGTGATGATATTGTACAGTTCATGGGAGTTGTAGGTTATCAACAGCTAGAACACTGGTCAACCAATCAATTATATATTAAAATAAAATATGCCTTAAAGGTGCTCCAGAGGTGTTTAATTCTGTTTCTTCATCAGCAAGCCACACCACGTCTATGATGACATCATTACTAGGTAACATTAATGATTGACTAGGTTTTCAGTAGAATATGATTACAGATAATCTATTGTCTTATTGCCAAATGTTTTGCACGCAGATGAAAGTACAGTACTTAGCGCTCATGCGCCTCTTCATAAACTCAGTGACTGGTAGGTATCAACGTGGGACGGGGAGTAAAACGAGGGGTGTGTTGATAATGTAATGCCATTCTTGCAGTGTTAATATTTTAATTAGGACCCAGATTAAATATAACGGTCTTCAAAAGCCAGCATAAGATGGAAAAGGAAATGAGTAGTTTATGGTAAAGAAGTGTCAGTGTAGGTAATGTCAGTGATACACCAGCTGTATAAACTGTATATAGATGTTTATAAAACTTAAATTAAGATGTTATAGTAAATGCAAACCGCATTAACACATCAGTGCTCAGCGATAAGGCAACTCTCATTATACTTAGACATGCCCAGCCTGTCACTTGTCCTTACCGGGGTCAGGGTAGTTACCTTCAATCACACATTTAAAGTTCCATATTCAGTCTCGTATTTGTATAGAAAGTGTAAGTTTCATTTATAGTTAATGCAGCAATCAAGGCTAACGGACTATCGGTTTGCCGTGAAAAAAACCTAGCATGATGAATTGCAGCGGAGGTAGGCTGAATCAGTAATTCAAAATAACTTAAATTTACATTAATCAGAACAAAAAAAAAATTGTGTTTCTTTTTTCATTTTAGTACTTTATGTCAAAGACACATCAACCGTCTTCTGCTTTGAAAAGGAAAAGGGTGTACGATATCATTTCAAAGATTGCAGCGACCACTAGTGGTATATATAAAAACTGCAGAATTAACATGCAGGGTTATTCAATAAAGTGACCGTTTCAGAACAAACTAGCCTAACTGGAAACATTCTCTAAGTCAACTATGCTTTCATTTCAGCTTTTCTGGCCTCAAGATTGAAATTCACTTTGAATTCTCACTTTAGTATATAACCCTAATAGCCTTCGGAAAGTTAATTTTCCAAAAGTGCATAAAATGACAAATTATTTCAGAAAAAAACTCTCAAATCACATTTATTGTGAACATGTACAAATGTACTATAAACTATATTTCAGTAGCAACACAGTTGTAAATAAATGTGTACATAGAAATATATTCTAAATAAATAAAGATATATGTATGCCTGTATTAAAGCTTCACTGCTAATGATCATTGCAAATATGATCACTTTGTTGCTGTTTGAATTGTGAATAAATATTTTTTTTCCCCACGAGAAATGCGATCTCTTTGTTTTCTTCTGCAATCGTGACATATAGAAGTTCTTTTTAAAAGAAAATTAATTTGTTTTAAAATTAGTCTCATTTTAACTTTATAAACCTTAATACTTTGACACAGTTGAATTCTTGACACTTTGCATGTAATATAAATATCCAGTCGTGGGGAAAAGAAAGTACACCCTCTTTGGATTCAACAGACTTCCCATAATTCACTAGCAACAACATCTAGCAAAGAATTATGGGATTAAGATTAACTCTATTTAAACAAGAATTGGATATTGGGGTTTTTGTAGTCTACAAGCAACCATCATAGATAAGGAAAGTAAACATATTTCTATCAGCATCAGATATTTCCTAATATAATTTTAACAAATTTCCTCTAAAGTTCCTCTTTACACTCTATAGATTACTGCGTCCCCCATTTCACTAGTTAAAGGGTTAAAATCACTCACTGATATTGCAGCTCTGAGAGAGTCTCCTCTAGGGATGTGCATGGGCAAAAGATTTGGTTCGGTGCGGAAATTCGGGTAAGTAAAAAAATTTGTCTGCTTCGACAATTTGGACCAATGGCATTCGGTTTGGTTCGGCACTTCGGAACTGCCGAACATCGTCACTTCGGAACTGCCGAACATCGTCACTTCGGCCATTCGTAAGCATCCAAATGTCCGAATGGCATGAAATTTCTACGAATGTACATTCAAAACAAAACAAATTGCTTATGTCCACTGGTCACATGAATGTAAGTCAACACCCTGACAGCCTGATTTATATACTATCCCACCTCAATGACTCTGTGTGCCTTCATTGGCCAAGTGTCAGTAACAAAATCACCATTACTTGGCTTGGGAATAGTGAAACCGGATTGGGCAAGCAAGCATTACATTGCACAAAAGAAATTAGCTTATTGGTCAAGATTCCTGCCATCATTCACATCATTTTCCCTCCCTATCTCTTGTTTTGCCACTTTTGAAATCCAAACAATTTCCGAACTACTGAACTTCGTCACTTCGGACATAAGCATCCGAATGTCATGAAATTTGTACGAATGTACATTCGGAACGAAATGAATTGCACATGTCTAGTCTCCTCATTACTCCGCTTGTCCTCTGGTGAAGCAGACTGGGCATTTAGGCATCTCCTGGGCCATTGAGGGTCCATTAATACATAGAGCCATGGAGATTGTGAATTCCCGGAGTGCCATTTAATTTAATAATTACCGTTCACCTGCTTTAAAAAAAAAAAAAAACCTATTCAAATCTTATCTGCTAACCTTGCAGTACACAGTGATTAATCATCAACATCTGAAGATATATTGTGTGTGGAACTTTCACTGTTTAAACCAGGATTCTCACATTGGGGCCACAAAAGATCTACTCTATATATCTGAGGCTCACACAGATATTAAAAAAAGTCATAAAACAGCTAAAACAACTGAAAATGTTTAACTTTGTGACAGTGACATAAAATAATGGCTCAGCACGCAAACGATTGCATCATCATACAGCAACATTTATAATGAATTTCATGGAGAGGTTTCAACATTATCACCCACTCTTTGACTCTGCATTCAATGGCTTCAGGAGGTGAGGGTCTGGCAAGAGATGGAGCCCCATGTCATACAAAATGACCCTTAGAATTATTAGTCCCAAATCCCTACTCCTGGGGCAAGTCTACAGTCAGTCATTCTCAGAGATATCATGTTTCAGCACTCCAAAATTATTTGCCAGGCCGGTTCTTCGGTGATTACTTACTTTGCGGCGGTGGGGACTGGTAGAGAAGTTGTCCCAGTTCCAGTGTATCTCCTGAGCTGCGTCCAGTCAGCAGTACTGAGAATAGTGTCTTCATAGGGCAGTGAGATTAAAGATCTCCCTCAGTGGCCCTTTACACCTTCTGTTGAGGTGAAGCAGGAGTCCAGAGAGACTGCGGTCTCACTCTCTGCCAGTTGCAGGCCTTGTGTAATGACTCCTGTGAACTCTGGGATTACCACGCATTAGAGTAGAGAGGGCTCTGGTGCAAGAATTTTTGTTTTTTGGCCCCTCCAACCCAAGGCCAAAAGGGAGATCGCCATCTGTTGTACAACTCGAACAATGCTTGCCAGCTTGGGATCTACCATTTTTTTTTTTTATTCTTTATTTTTGCTGTGCCAGAAATAACAAAACATGTTTATGATGCCACGACTGCAATAACAAGCAAGGTAGTATCGTACAATATAAGACAGTTGCATGGCAAACAGAGTAAGTTAGCACACTTTTTGTTTTGGTTAGTAATAGAGTTAGGTCTAACGTGCCTAAGCAAATTACTGTATATAGATAGTCGGCAGATAGTGTATCTAAGACACAGATATTCTCAAGTTAAAGATAGAGACATCCATATATATTTAAACATGAATTTTAAACAGGGAAATTTCCCAGGGAGGCCCCTGGCTAGTTGCATGTGGTAAAAAGTGTGCCAGGGGTGATACCAGAGATTAGGAAAAAGATGCTAGAGTGTAGTGTCACAGGAGTTCAAGGGTGTATGAGAGTTGAGTCACAGAAGGGCAACAGCTCGTCTTTATGCAGCCCTGGCACCTGTATCAGCCTATGCCGGATAGTGGTATCGCATTGTCCTGCGGCGGGATCTACCATTTACCCATCCTTGCAGGGTTGTATTTAGCACTGAGGAGTGCTTGTGTGTTTGAATGCAAGTACGGTTTTGTATGGAGTATGTGTGTGAATGTAGGAGCTTGTGTGTAGTGCTGTGTGTGTTTTATGCACTGTAGCTATTTGAAAGCAGTGCTTTACTTGTGTGTAGTGTTTGCCTTTGAACGTAGGGATGTGTCTGTATGTAGTGTTGACATTTGAATGCAGGGGTAAATGTGTGCAGTGTTGGCATATGAATGCTAAGATATATGCACATATACATAGCCACGCACACTTACTAATACACATACAGAAATGTTGACACACATGCAGAGGCAGACACACAGATACACACATTGACACACATACAGCTGCAAGCACTGACGCACATACAGATACATACATACACAGGTACAGACATGCAGACACACAGACACATAAAGGCATACACAGACACATGGGTGCACTCACTGACACACAGATACACAATGACACACAAAGTCATAAATGCAGATAGACACACACTTACACACATACAAATAAACAGACACACACACACACACAGATAAGGCAAACAGATACACACAATACCACACATAAAGATACACACACAATAACACACATACAGATGCACACACCATATGACACATGCAGATACACAGATACACACACAATAACACACATACAGATGCACACACCATATGACACATGCAGATACACAGATAGACACAATGGGCACACATACAGATGCACAGGGGCACACACTTACACACATGCATATTTACAGACAAACATTAACAATTACATATACACAGACACACAGAAAGACATATTCAGATACACAGAATGACCCTCATACAGATACAAACACTGACACACATACAGGTACAGACACACACACATGCACAGGGGCACACACTGACACACATGCAGATACACAGACACACATACAGACATAAAGATACACATACAGACAGGCATGCAAAATTTACACATTTTAAGCCACCGCTTCCTACCATTCAGTTAACGGAGACTGTTGGAAGTCATAAGTTGTCCCACTCTGCACCCCTCGCCTGCCTCCCTCCAGCAAGGCTCTGAGTTAGCTGGGAGGAAGTGCATGCTTCTGTCTGTGTGTACCTGTATGTTCCTATTGGTGTATGTGTGCCTATCTTGGTCTGTGTATGCCTGCCTGCGTATGTGTGTGTTGTTGTGTGCCTTTGTGTGCGGAAAATTATGACTGCTATCATAAACAAATATTTTGAGTGCAGGTAGTACCACCATGAGGGGGTACAGTGAGTAAATGGTCTATATATTTACATTGTATGTTTAACCCTTAGCATAATAATTCTTTAACAGTAACGGCAACATAAAAGGGTCACCTTAGGCTCCATAACTAGTAACTACTACAACACTTTGTCTTCCGGCACCGTGGGTGTCAAACCAATTTTGAGCAGTTTAACAAAAATCAGGGCACTTCCTTGAAACCAAGTTTATTTGCTGAAGGTTAGCTAATACAGAAGTGAACTTCCACATTGGCCAACTTTGGGTGGCAACAAAAGGATGAGAGTGGCAAATTAACCTGCCCCTATTATTTTCAGCAATTATACATGTCCAAAGTCCTGGAGAATGCTGAACTGAATATTCTGAAGTATTTCTCTGCAGATACCATAGTCTGATTAATAACTGAGTGCAACGTTAAAGGGTAAATCATTGAGTGCTATGCTTCATATAAGCATTACCAGTATGCATGCTTTTTGAATTTCTGTCATGCCAGATCAGAGGAAGCTCTCTAATTAGGTGATTTAGACGGCCTTCTAAGGCCTCGTGGCTGCCTATATCGCCTTAAGGTAGAATGACTTGTCAGGAGGAGGCCCTGCGGCTTGCCGTGTGTGCCACCGGGTGCGAGGCCCCTCCTATCTGGCCAGAGAGCCAGCCTTCAGTCTGCAGCTCCGCCAGGTGTGAGCTGCAGACTGAAGTGTCTCGCGATCCCCAGCCAATCAGAGTGTTGCAGTGGGTTACCACGGCAACACTCTGACTTATGGAGATCGCGAAACTCCTATCACCGGACGGAGCTGCAGACCGGATAGGGAGACCACTGGATCACCAGGGAGAGTCGCAGCTCACCAGGGAGCAAGGATACTGGATCACCACGGAAAAAAAGAGTTTTTCTCTCCCCCACACAACCATCTGTCACACTCTGCCCCAATGTCACCTCCTGCCTGCTCGACATACTGAAAGATTAAATGTTACCCAGTTATCAGGATTCAGTGACAAAGGGGTTACACACGCAATACAAAAATAACTGACAAATCATGCTGACTCATCCTCACTCAGCTGACTAACACAGACAGGTCTGTTCACCCCGCACACAAACTTCCTTGTTTGTGCAAACTGGGACATACTTACCTCCACAGAACAAACTGTATGGGACAGACAGGAACAAACACGGCAAACACAAGATATGGAGAGTTTCAGCTGGAGGACAGGAGAAATGGCAGAATATACAGATTAAGGAAACAGCGCACAAGTTTTACATTTTAAAAAGGCTACTTAAATTCACCTATCTCAGCAAAACACATGTGGGGAATTTGGTTTCACTATATGGCCGTATTGTGCTAAGCCCACAACTACGTCACAGTATCCCAATATCGGTGGGTCGTACACTAATTCCAACGTGGGAGACAAATTAAATAGTGCAAGTGCACTAGTGGTAGTGCTAAATTAGCTAAAGTGTATTTAAATAATCTGTTGTAAGAGCCTTGTGAATATATATAATGCAAAATAATGTGATAAAAAAAAAAAACACAATAATAAAAAAAGAAGTGTCAGACCTAAACAATAAAGTGCTTTAATGGATATACTCACTGTTGGGAACCGTTTGTAGGTGACCGGAGTGTCACCAAAGAAAAAGGTATTACAAGCAACTGCAATACTTCATTATTTTGCATCTGTAATCACAAATTTATATATATAGTGTCTGACCAAAGAAACTAAAAATGGCTGCCCAGACAGATCTACAGTAAACCAGATAAAGCACTGGAAAGGATGACATGCGTTTATTCATCATTTTGGCACTTATCAAAACCTTTACCAGATAACCCATAAATACACGGACGTAAAAAATTTCTTTGAAAAATGATGTCACAGCTATATTAAAATGTTATTAAAAAAAAAGATATAGGGCATTGTCAAACGTCACACTTAACATTGCCACATAAATCCTTCCAAACCCTCAGCAGAACTAGACACACTGACAGTGACCCCAACACTAAATAATAAGTAATTATGAACATAACCGACAATACATCACATAACACATAATACGGCCACAACAGGCCTCCATTACCTAACTTTTCAACATTGTATGGGTATACCGGGATACCCCTGCACCCCCAGGTTGTAAACCACCAATGAGCTCCGACCAACCCCAAAAATTTGAAACAGGTAACTATTCGTACTGACTTGAACCATTTAACCTACCAATCCTTCCTACCCACCAATTTAGACAGGAGAAGGAATTAACAAACCCCAAACAAATTAGGGAAGCAGGGTGGGACAACCTACAAGTAAGTAAGGATTAATTAAAAAGGACCCTTTGATCTAAAATGGACGTAATTTATTTGAATCTGATTTTCAAAAAAACAACGCCCCCACTGCAACCAGAACCAATTGGGGGCGTTGTTACCAAGCCGTTTATAATTTGTGCCAGGCTCCTAGCTATGTTAAGGCCCAGTCCCCCTAGCTGTGCTTGTCCCTGAGCTACAATACTTACTTATAAGTATGCATTAACAATTTATACACATAGAGATTGTATGTATATATGAGTGTGTGTGTACATGTAATATTTTAATTTAAATAATAAAAAAAAAAAATTATGACAGTTTTTCTTATATTGTCACTGGCACCGTAGGCCTTAGTTGATCAAATTTGTTAAGAACGTTTTTCTCAAATGACTGTTTCTCTGGCAGTGAATGGGTTAGTTTAGCTATGTAGGTTACATATAAAGAACACCTGGTATAGACAATATAGTTCCAGGAATTGAAGGGCAGGGAGCCAGGTACTTGCTTTTGCACGAATGCAATGTTGCCCAATAAAATCAAGACATAAAAAGACACTATATTTGTACAAAACGCATATAAACAGGGCATTAGGTGGGAGAAATATAATATAATATAAGTGTAAAGCATAATAAATGAATGTTTAACTGGGTATAGCATAAATGAATTTAATCCTCTACTCTGAGTACTGATTGCAGTACTATTTGGAGGGAATGTCGGGGAGTTGATAAAGAATCCGGGGATACCTAGGACTTGAGGGCGCTCCTCTCTCTGGTGTGCCAGGAACCCCTTTTCCTTGTCCGGGACTAAACAGCCGAGTGTGGAACTCTGAGCTGGATCGGAGGATGACTATAACCCAATCAAACTTTAAAGTGTTTTATCTCGGGCTAGGAACCTCTGATCCGAGGACTTTTTGGACTGAGTAGGTCTGAGGTTGTGAGCAGTTTGGGGATACACAATGGGAAGCGTGACTTTTAGGGCTCAGATTCCCTGATTTCCTTGTCTGGAGAGGACAAAGTGTCGGGGGGAAACATGATTAATTCTGAAATTACCCAATTTACTCCTATCAGCCCAGACAGAGTGGTGTTAGCGAGGGAACTTGTCAAGTTAATAAAAGAAACAGAATGGTTTTGCAAACAACACATTATCCCGTTTACCATTGTGTTTTTATTGTAGCTAACTCTAGGTATTTGTATTTCAAGAGACACTGCATGCCACTAATATGTTCACTGAATGCTCCTTCCCTCTCTTAGCAGCAGTAGTATACGCAGTATACATACAGCTGCCCTGTACCGTGCAGGAGGGGGTTTCACTTACTGTTTGATACGTCTTGAAGGATCCTGTACGGTGTGTTGGGGTGTGATGCCACTTCAAATTGAGCCTTGCAGGTTTCTTCACAGGGTGGAGGAAGTGGACTGGGTGCATATTTTGATTGAAGGGACAAACATTGCACGAGGATGTTGAACGTCATGAAATGCTTCCCTATGAGAATGAAGCATTTACCGTGCACGCGCATCTCATCCCAAATGCTTCTCTATGAGAAGCATTGGACAAGAAGCTGAGGAAGCAGCGCCTGCTGGATGACACTGTGGGAGGCAGCACCAAGTGAGACTCAGCGCTGGAAAAAAGGTAAATAAAAAAACTTTTTTGCATTTATTTTAATTATAACATTACATTTAGCGGGGCTCTCTAATCTAAATAGGGAGGATAACATTACATCCTAAGGAATACATGTTTGAATTCCTAACACTATAATGTGATTTTACAGTTCTGTGTTAGCTAAGCAAGGCAGATTGAACCATCTGGACATCAATGATTTTTTCTTGAATGTTTCCAAGAAACTTGAAGCAGCGGTATGGATCGTGGCACAAGCCCACAGTACAAAGGGGCAGACAAATGGCATGACAATAACCTGCTAACCCTATAGCGACCGTCTAACTATTTAGACTATTGCCCTCCCACGTCTGCAAGGGTTAAAATAAGCAATTTCGTTTTGTAACATTCCGTGGTGCACTGTCCTTGATGATCTCAGCCAATCCAATGCTTCTCCATAGGGAACCATTGGAAGGCTAGTGCACATGCACTACGAGCAGTGTTTGATTGAGATGCAAGTTTGAATCGATTCTCAAAGTGTAACTGTCTCTAATGGCTGTCAGAAAGATAGCCACTTAGAGTGTCTTAACCCTGCCGTGTCTATTTTTTAGATTGCAAGGTTATAACTAAAGTACACAGTACCCAGGTGACTTCATTAAGATAAAGTGGTCTTTAAGGTGGGTGGCTTTACAGGTCCTTCAAAGTCTGTTTGAAGACAGTACTCGTGTTTGGACCTTTTTTTGTGTTGCTCCCTGTTTTATCAAACTGTTTTGAGGTGAGTGACAAAAAAAATTGTCTTTTCTTGGCACCCAAAATGGAGTCACATGTTTTATTTCAAAGTTATATGTCCAAATTTGAATGGCAATTATAATGGGCGAGTGCTGGGGTGGCTTAGTCCATTACTCACAGCCATCATCATCTGAGATTGGGTGGATTTAATGAACAATGTGGGATAATAGTTCAGTACTCTAACTGTAACAGCTCAGGGGCTGAGCTTTGCTGATAGATCCCTATTTTTGTCAAAGGGCTAAAAAATGTTTGAGGCAGGCAGCCCTGTAGTTGACGAAATACTGAGGATGTCATAAAGACACAGGAACAGCCAGCCAGCCTGCCTTCTGCATTGCTGTCACAATCCTGGAGGTAAAAATAAATAAATACAATTAAAAATGAAAAAACAATGAAAAGATGTAACTAGCTTATGTACACACACTGCATCTAATAATGAGTATGGTCATGCAGTGCCACACACCCTATCATGGAGTGACACAACCCAATCATGCAGTGACACACACCCCATCATGCAGTGACACACATTCCATCAGGCAGTGACACCCCCATCCATAATAATTATTACTATGCAGTAACACCCCATTCATAAAAATTCTTACTATGCAGTGACACTCCCATCCATAATAATTATTACTTTGCAGTGACACCCCATCCATAATAAATATACCTATGCAGTGATACCCACACCTCATCCAGTAATAATTATAACTTTGCCCTAATAATAATTACCATCATGCAGTGACACACATTCCCCACCATACAGACACCCACCACCATGCAGTGTCACACAAACACCCTCACAAAGAGACACAAACTCTCACACAGTGACATACAAACACCCTCACACAGAGACACACAAGCACTCATCCAGGGACATACAAACACCCTCACACAGAGAAACACACAGTGACATACAAACACACTCACAGAGAGACACATAGTGACATAAAAACACCCTCACACAGAGAGACACACAGTGACATACAAACACCCTCACACACAGAGACACACAGTGACATACAAACACCCTCACACACAGAAACACACAGTGACATACAAACACCCTCACACACAGAGACACACAGTGACATATAAACACCCTCACACACAGAGACATACAGTGACATACAAACACCCTCACACAGAGAGATACACAGTGACACACAGAGAGACACAGACACACAGACACACAATGACACACAGAGAGACACACAGACAGTGACACACAGAGAGACACACAGTGACACACAGAGAGACACACGGTGACATACAGAGAGACACAGACAGTGGCACACAGAGACACACAGAGAGACACACAGTAACATACAGAGAGACACACAGACAGTGACACACAGAGAGACACACAGAGACACACACAGAGACACACAGAGAGACACACAGACAGAGACACACAGAGAGACACACAGAGAGACACACAGACAGTGACACACAGAGTGACACACAGAGTGACACACAGAGTGACACACAGACAGTGACATACAGACAGTGACACACAGAGAGACACACAGAGTGACACACAGAGTGACACACAGACAGTGACATACAGACAGTGACACACAGAGAGACACACAGAGAGACACACAGTGACATACAGAGAGACACACAGACAGTGACACACAGAGAGACACACAGACAGTGACACACAGAGAGACACACAGACAGTGACACACAGACAGTGACACACAGACAGTGACATACAGAGAGACACACAGACAGTGACACAGACAGTGACACACAGACACACACAGACAGTGACACACAGAGAGACACACAGAGTGACACACAGACAGTGACACACAGACAGTGACATACAGAGAGACACACAGACAGTGACACAGACAGTGACACACAGACAGAGAGACACACAGACAGTGACACACAGAGAGACACACAGAGAGACACACAGAGACACACAGACAGTGACACACAGACAGTGACATACAGAGACACAGACAGTGACACACAGAGAGACACACACAGTGACACTCAGACAGTGACATACAGAGACACACACAGAGAGACACAGACAGAGAGACACACAGACAGTGACACACAGAGAGACACACAGAGAGTGACACACAGACAGTGACACAGATCTCGTGGGATATCAGCAGCCCTGGATGAACTTTCATTTCCCCGAACGTTCCATAGCTGTGGTGCGTCTCAGCCAATCAGCTCTCGGCAGATTCTTTGGGACTCGTTAGACGCCCCTCTAGCTCCGCCCCCTTTTAATGTGGTGACGTGTGTGGGCCCCGCCCCCAGCCTGTTATTGTGACGCTGGGTCCTGCTGCTTAGTCACGGTGACTGCTCGGGATATGGCGGGGGCGGCGGAGACCGGGGGCCGGTGAGTAGCCTGCCGCACGGGATCCTGGGTGGGGGGCAGTGAAATGACGGTCTGTGTGGGTGTGAGGGACTGGCCGGGCATGGTTAGCGCTATGTCTCCAGCATGGTCTGTAGCGTCGTACAACACCTCCCAGGGAGCCATGTCAGCATGTCTCGGGACCCGGCTCACCCTTCATAACGGGGTCCCCATACATCGGCAGGGCGTAGGGTAAGGGCTCCAGCTGCAGGACTACAACTCCCATGATCCTTAACAAGCTTTCCAAGATCCCAGGGCATCACGGGACTTGTAGTTCTTTCACCAGCTGGGGATCTTACTACATACAGTGATACTACATTAACTGGGGCAAGGGGTCACCATGCCAGGGCAGGAGGGGGACAGTGGCGGGGGGGGCAGTGCCATGGGTTCAGGGGGCAATGCCATGGGTTCAGGGGGGCAATGCCATGGATACAGGCGGCAGTGCCATGGGTACAGGGGGGCAATGCCATGGGTACAGGGGGCAGTGCCATGGGTACAGGGGGCAGTGCCATGGGTACAGGGAGCAATGCCATGGGTACAGGGGGCAGTGCCATGGGTACAGGGGGCAGTGCCATGGGTACAGGGGGCAGTGCCATGGGTACGAGGGGCAGGGCCATGGGTACGAGGGGCAGTGCCATGGGTACGAGGGGCAGTGCCATGAGTACAGGGAGCAGTGCCATGGGTACGAGGGGCAATGCCATGGGTACCGGGAGCAGTGCCATGGGTACAGGGGGCATTGCCATGGGCACAGGGGGGAATGCCATGGGCACAGGGGGCAGTGCCATGAGTACAGGGGGCTGTGCCATGGCAGAGGTTATGGGTTTATCACTGGGCTATGCTGTGACAGGCTGGGGTGTCATGGGTTCCAAAGACAGCTGGTAAAGGCACTGGCAGAGGAAATGGTGACAAATTTGGGGAAGGATCAAGGATAGACAGGTTGACCCGAATCAGTAATGCAAATCTGTCCTAGACTTAAAAAAGTTTTTTTAAATTTTTTTTATTTTCTTTGTGTGTGGATGTGGAATAACAGTCCAGCATGGTAGTGTAAGCTTAACAGGAATACAGAATAGGTACCATTCTTTGGTTTACATGAGATAGGCACACACTACAACAAAGTATCTATAGACTGTAAGCTCGTTTGCGCAGGGCCCTCTTCAACCTATTGTTCTTGTAAGTTTTTGTAATTGTCTCATTTATTGTAAAAATCTCCCCCTTTGATAATATTGTATAGCGCTACGGAATATGCTGGCGCTGTATAAATACCAATAATAATAATAATAATAATAATGTATAACAGAAAGGCCAAGACATTTATTTGTCATTGTTAGTGAATTGGTATGATGTTTTTTTGTTTTTGTTTTTTTTAAAACAATAATTCATATAGTTCTAGTGTATAATTCATATTTTAGATTTCTGTCATTCTCCCTCCCCCCCTCCCCTCCCCATTTTTGTTATCACAATTAAGTTTATTTAATACGTTTTACATTGTTTAAAAAATAAACAATTGCTGCAAGTATTTGAGAAGAAATAGTTGTATATAGATCAGGTACCACTCACAGACACAACATTTATAGACACAAATGAGGTAAATACCACGTCAAATAATAAGTATAAAGAGTTAGTGGTTGTAGTTGATCAACTTTTCAATATAGTACATAAATGGTGCAGGTAGTGCTCAGCGACACAGGACTATACCAGTAGAAGTTAGGTATATCTCAGATGTAAATATTTGTACACAGACTTTACCACCAGCGCACTCATTGAGTCCATACACGCCTATCACATGCAGACAGCTCCTGTCCTATGCCATCTGTCACTGCTTATCATTAATGTGACACAGCAAGATATATATCAGACAGCACTCCTCTTAGCTCATGTACTCCCATTGCCCACATTTATCCTAGCTCACTAACATTCGTTGCACGCATTCACACCATGCCCATCCTTTCCTTTGGATTCTTGCATAGGTGAAGGCATCATCTTTTGTGGCAGTGCGAATCTAGAATGTGTAATTTGTCTATATAGAAATACGTAGCCACTGCACTCCTGGAAGTGCTTTTCATTTTGTTTGAGGTCATCATGTGATGTCAGCATTACAGAATCATGTGAGTGTATTGTGCAATCAGATGTCAACTTTTTAGAACTGATTAGGAATACACTTTGTTTATGGATATCAGAGTTTTACTTTAAAGGCAGACTCCTATTTATGGGATATAAGTGTACTCAAAGCCGGCCTTAATACGTTGTGTTTGTGTTTTTTTGTTTACCTGCCACGATAATGTGATTGTAAAATGAACAATCTAGAGGTTTGAAGGGCAACAGGACCACAAGTGCACCAAAGTCCTACCAAGATTTATTCAAGGACGAACTTTTGGGTCGATGACCTAGTCTTGAAACAGTGGTTTTTCTTTTTTTTTTCTTTTTTCTTTTTTTTTTTATGCATTGAGGAGAGGTTACTGACCCGACATGTTTATACTTCTGTTTGTCCTTCAATAAATCTTCTTGCACTTTGCTGTACTTTCACTCCCATTGCACTTCATACCTCAGTTGTTTTTCATTTTGTGTACTTTTAACCACAGAAGGAGCAACAGTGGATTTTACAGCTACGTGGTGCTAATATGTTCTTAACTGTTCAAGTACTGCTGTATCCTGCTTGCAATCATTCTCGGTGGCCTGGTATTTTTATAATTCAGGAACCTCACTTGGGTATAAAATGAAATATTTGATACCAAACATTGCCACATAAATATGAATAGGATGCTGTTGTGTTAACATATACAGACCTATACTTATATGCAGTAGGGATCACTAATGTGCAAATAATTATATTTATATGAAATGGTTTTCAAATAATTCTGTTTCAGAGGATATTGCCAGATTATCTAGATGTGGGTTGATATCACACGCTGGCACAGTTTAGATTTTTATCTATATGGCGGTAAGACAAGAGAATGTTACACAATCTGACTAAAATTATATGCAGATTGTGTGTACGTTAAAAGCTTAGATTGCAAATCATACAAACAAGCAACACTAGACATTGTCGTACTATTCATATCATATCATATTTTACAGAAGGGGTGTAGGAAAGATTGGTAAATTATAAAAGCTCATCTGGGTTTATTGAGGAACTAAGGAGAAGGTACATCCGCAGACGTCTATATTAAAATTCACCACAGCTTTTTATTTAAAATTTTTTTGTCGTACTATGCCCTTCGTAGATTGCATATTCTTTTTAAAAATTTAGCCAATTTTAAAATCTGAATTGCAGAACCCAGGAAGAAAAAATAGCTGAGCTGTAACTAACACTGACTGGAGATAGTTTTATTATTTTATTTATTTTTAATCAACTTTATAAATGTATTTTTTTTTTTTTTAATGCTATTCTGATTTTGATCCACTGCAATTTGTAGCTTAGTGAATAAACCCAATAATAGGGTTACAATGCTCCTTTTTCTCGCCATGTGATATAATGTTTCTCTCACACTCCACACGCACTTTCACTAGTATAAACTACAGGCTTGTCGGGGTCAGAGTGGAACTAAAAATCACACTGTATTTCCTGAATTGTTCTTAGTTAGGACTCGCTGAGTGTGATATTGTGCACGGGAACATATGTCTGGTAGCCCTGGCATTTTCTTCTGTCTGTGTTTGCTTGTTCTCAGTGCTTCGAAAAATATTGACTTTGAAATGAAATCAGTAACCAATTAATCTTACACTTTTCTTTTGTCTCTTCACAGTTATCAAACAAAAAATGAACTAGAAAGCATTATCTGGGATTTTATTGAAGTCGTTTAGCTGGATTGCGTTTTAATCTTCTATCTTGGTTACATCCGTTCTTCAACATTGGAATAAATCAATTCAACTGTTTAGAAATGCACCAAACAATGAGATAATGTATTAAAGCTTAAACACCCTTTTTGTTTGCTCACCGATAGCCTACGACCATGGCATAATTCTCTGTTTGGTTTAAGACTTGAATTTCCTTAATCTGAAATCCATGGATTAATTTTCTTTTCATTTACCAGTGACGTTGGTAATTTTTCAACTTTTGCCAAAATGGAAAAATAATATTGACTTTTTTTGTTTTTGAATTTTATTTTTTATTCTTCACAATTAATTTTTTCCCCATTGAATAATGTGCAGCTAAAAGAACCAGAGGAAGATAGGAGGCGATGTACGCCACGGAGTGTCAAGCGGAAGTCACACCCTCCCACAACAATGGCAACCGTCAGTTTCAGTATACACTGGCGGACCACACAAATCAGGCCTTTCAGATCATGAATGAGCTCAGGCTGGGGCAACAACTCTGTGATGTCACGCTGAGGGTCAAGTACCATGAATTTCAAGCCGACTTCGTGGCACATAAGATTGTCCTGGCTTCTAGCAGCCCTGTGTTCAGAGCCATGTTCACAAACGGACTCAAGGAGTGTGGCATGGAGACCATACCCATTGAGGGTATACATCCCAAAGTGATGGAACGACTTCTAGAGTTTGCCTACACGGCCAGCATATCGGTTGGGGAGAAGTGTGTGATTCATGTGATGAACGGGGCAGTTATGTATCAAATGGACAGCGTGGTCAAGGCCTGCTGCGATTTCCTCATCCAGCAGTTAGATCCCAGTAATGCCATCGGAATCGAAAGCTTTGCCGAGCAGATTGGTTGCCATGAACTGCATCAGAAGGCTCGGGAATACATCTATTTGAATTTCGGAGAGGTAAGCCATGATGAACTAAAGGTTTTAGGTGGCAATGTGTAAGGAAGTGATGCTCAAAAGGTTAACCCCCAGATGTTTTAAAACCACAGCTTCCATGATGCTTTAATATTCTAAAGGCATACAAAGCATTGTGGGAGTTGTAGTTCTAATCTACCTTTTGGGCACCCCTGATACACGTCGTTGTATGGCTGCCATGTTTTATTCTTTCTCTATTGGCTGTCATTGATACTGTATGTTGGAGAGAGGAAAGTCTCGGTTCCAACTGAATATTTCTTTCCTTCTTTGTCCTCTGCCTGGCTGGAGTCAAGATATGTGTGTTTAATAATAGACGTTTTTCAACATACTACTATTTCAGATTGTATTCCACCTTTTTATATGTTTGCTATTGTCATTTCAAATTCTTCCAATTGTACTGGTTCTATTTTGCACTTTATTTCTTAGAGCTGTCTATATAAATATTAGACTCCATCTTTTATTGGTTTAGGGATCTCCTGGTACGTGTAGGTTTTTACACCTATTTTTATTCACTTATATACTACTAACCTGCCCTTAAACAAATGGAGTTATTTAGAAAGGGTTTTTTTTTTCCCATTGTGGCATTGTTGCAGTACTGTTTATGGTAATTGTAGCTTATGGGAGGGCTTTAATTACTTGTAGTTTAAAGAGACACTCTAATCACTAAAACCACTATAGTCTGCTGTAGTAGATATTGTGCCAGGGATCCTTGGAGCCATCCCATTATTATATTTTAAAAACCGTTTGACGCTAACTGTGGATGTCCAGAGTATGTGTGATTCAGCCCCTTACTGTCTGTATAGTGTAAATATCCCTTCTGTGTCAGCGTTAAACTTTTCCTTTTGTATTTGGACAGAATTCATTGACTCATAAATTAATCTACTACAGATAGAATTTCAAATTTAAGGTCAAAATAGCTGAATTGGAAAAATTCCCCAGTGCTGTCAGATCGCTTGCTCTGGCCTTAAATTGTAAATTCACTTTGAATTCTTACTTTAGCAAATAAACCTATCAGCGTGTCTGCGGACAATCTCCACCAAGGATTGCTGTCCAGACGTGGTGGACAAAATTGATATTGGAATAGGGCCAGACGTTGTAACCAGTACAACGAGCTGTAGTGATTATGGTGTCTTAGAGTGCTTCTTCATGCACCTGTCATACTTGGCATAGCTTGGTGCCACTTTGGGAGTAGCACTATGTCTCTACATTGTGCTCGCCCTGCTTATAGATGTTAACTATTAAAATCTTCTTAGACTTTACCACTATGTTGTTGGCTTCGAGTAACATGGTGTCCATGGGCAGCTGCACGTAGCAGCCTAGCAACACGTCAGACTGTAAAATTCCACAACTGCAACTTAGCCTATTCGTTTTATTTACTAAAGCGTGTATTCTCAGGAATTCAAAGTAACTTTCAAATTTATTATAGCTAAAAAAAATAATAATCAGGTTAGCTATGTTTCTAAGGTGGCTATTTAAGCCCAAAACAAGTAAAAATTCACTTTCAGGGTTAATATGTATTTTGCATTAGGTCCTTGAGATTTTGCGCATTTTTAAGCAAAATAGTATCTGGGCAGGCCAATAAAGTTCCTCCATAGCAGACTTGCCAAACCAGCTTTCATGGAGCTCGCTTTGCAGAGTCATGCTGGATCGTAGATGTGGTGTTTCTGTTGCAGTGTAAGCATGCAGAAGCCAAACACAGAAATATTGGACACAGGTCTTCAGGAAGTAACAGGCCTTTATTCACATTACCGATCGGGTCTCAGATGAACTCCTGTTCCAAAGGATCTGAGAGACCAACACATGGTGTACATTCCTTATATAGCACTATAACTCCTCCCATTAATAGCTACACCCACATATACCTTTAACCAATCAATGAGCAGAATATAGACTTGTACATCTAGTCAAACCACATGGCCCATCCAAGACAAAGGAAATAAGTGCAATTTCAGTTCCTGCATTCCTGCACATGCTCAGTACACTGATGACAGTATCCTAGCTACATGTAGCTAACCAACTGACACAACATACACATATGCCACATGGAGATTTTGGCCTACTAAATTTTGACCATGCTGGAATCCCATCACATTCCCCCCTTTTGATGCCTCTGATATAACATTATTCCAGATGCATCACCAATCACAGTTTTACCTACATCTCTCAAGTAGCCATTGAACCAGAGTAGACCTTGTAAGCATCTTAAAAACTCCTTCAACATTCTTCATCCTGAATATATTCTCTTCGGGCTAGGGGATCATATCTTCCAGACAGCCATTACATGAGCCGCTGTCTTTCTCTCTATAGTACTCTCTATAATACTACGTAGGGACCTTACCACTAGTGGAATTAGACAGGGCAGGAGGAGGCACAAAAAAAAATAATAAATTCTACTCCTCCTACTAATGTCTTAATTCCTCCAAGCTGCTCATACCAACTTCCAAACCAACTACTTAGGTTATACCCATTCCAGACCTGAGTAGGTACATGCTCAAATTTAACCATGTGGCTTGTAAGTTCAGCCACTGCCTGCCCTTCATCATCTATGTGCAGACAACAGTTACTTAGATTAAACTTTCCGCATACACCTCCTTCTACTGCTAGTAAGTAATCAAGGGCTAGCCTATTCTGGTATATGGCTGATCACATCTTGGTATTTTGCCTAGCTAGAAGATTAAGCACTTGAGCTGTGTCATTAGTAATAATCTCAACTACCGCCTGTAGTCTAATAATGCGGTTGAGCATATATAATCGGAGTTCTATATCCATAAGTACCATCTTCTGCCCAAGTAGTAGGTCCATAATAATTAATAATACGTTGAGGGGGCCACTCATTATCTTCCCAGCTACCTATATTCAAGGATGCTCTCTCCCTTTTATGATTTACATCGTAAACCTTAACTCCCAAGGTCTCTCCTGTTTCGATTGGCAACAAGAAGAAGGATGGCTTTGGCATACCTAATACACATGCCCCTTCCCAATCTTGTGGTAACTCCGAATAAGTTTTCTTACCACAGATCCAGTATAAATTTGCTGGGGCTTTCCAACTAGATGTAGCCGATAAGTCAAACCATACCTCCTTTAAATGAGTGTAATTGGCAAACGGATTAGTAGGTTCCGAGACATTTGAAGCTGACCACCAAGTAGTATTTTTAGTATTAACATTATAGGCTTTTTGTCCCAAGCACGTTAGCTCACCTACAGACGTGTTATACATTGTCCCTTTCTTGGCTATACAAACATGACCTATAATGGAGGTTTTTAACCACCATTCCAATTTACTTCTAGTACTTACTTGATGATCAGACTGGAAAGGTATCTGTTGTTCATATGTCTCAGAGCCAGGGTACCATATTTCCTTTGCCTCCCATGGCCACTGGTCTCCCATATTAGTACCTCCACACACATAGCAATTAGTTACATTAAGACTACCTGCAATACCCTCAGCCAAATCAATAAATAGGTTGTTAACATTATGGGGAATTTTATCCTCAGTACTCATCTCCTCATAAAAGGAATGAGAAACCTGATGAGTTTGAGTTGCCACTGTCTCAATTTCAAGACCTACATATATTATTGTTCCTGAATCTACTCCTGTGCCATATATTTGAAACCCAAACAGACCTCCAAACCTGTCAATAAAGTACTGCAGATTGGAAATGGTCATGTGAACGGGGTTACACACATAGTTTTACAGTATGGTGTGGTAGGCAACCTTTGGATAATCATATCTTGATCCACTGTTTTTCCCAGGTTGCCCAACCTACACATGACAAATAGGGGCAGAAGTTAGTCTCTATTTGGGCAATCAGGATCAGTAGATCTTATACTGGGACATAAGTATTTATCATTAAACCCATAAGTTCGTTCCCATTTAAGATTACCACATACATTCCAAAGTCTTCCACTACCCGAAATCGCCTTACATGCATCAAATAGTAGAATACCCGTGGAATGTATGGTGCTTATCACAGTCCTATTTAGTAATGTCCCCTGGGAGTTACTATTCCGAATTACCAACCAAATTGTACGGGGTTGGAAATGGGGATCAAAACATTTAGACTCTCCTGATATTGGCTTGCACACACTATAATCAATATCCAAATATCTACATTTAGATACAGATCCCTTACATTCATACTGTGAGTGCCAGATGAGAGTTTGGGATATTTGGTTACCTGTTTTAGTAGTCTTAATGCAACTATCGCAATTCGGTATGTCTGTACTCCTACCTTCCTGAAAAATCATAAAAATACTAAGACACAATAAAACACATTATTCCTGAAATCCTCATTTTTCTTCGACCGTGCGATGGCCTCTCAGCTTCCCGATTGTGAGGGCTGCAAGGATGTTGTTCTTCTGATCCTCACTTTCCTTCACAGAGATCCCTTCAAGATACTCTGGCTATGACACGTAGGCAGGTGGTCAGGCTTTATTATGGCCGTCAAAACACCTACTTGATGATCTTTGTAGACTTTTAATTAGAATGTCTCGATATCCCCTCGTCACTCCGACTAAGTTGCACGCTTCAACCGGGTCCTGCAAGGATTCTCAGGATCTGGAGTAGCTTGCCAAGAGTCTGCTGCTGGTTTAACCTTAGAATGATGAATCCAAGGAGTCACTTCCGCCACCTTTACAGCTGTTGGGGTAGATAAAAGAACAACATACAAAGGCTAACAGGATACACCCCGAGCTTTAACTCAATATGTATTGGTGGGATATTACGAGCAAGTCCTGGAGGATTATTTTCTTCCCATACTCCTGGAATGTCAAATAAGGATTCATCACTCTTAGGGTTAACACTTGTCACTATGGAATAGAAGCGTCATTCTTCTTCCCTTGGCACCGATATCACCATTATGCCTGGTAATCCCTTAAACTTCAGAGATGTTAATCCATTAGGTAAAAGGTTATCTGAGCTTAAAGCTTCGATAATAGATCTCGTCCTAAAAGTTGAATCGGACACTCTGGCATATATAGGAACTAATGCTTCACCACATGGCCTCCCAGAATACAAGTGCGACTCTTAAGAACCGGTCTAGCTGCACTTCTCCCAGTAGCTCCTATCACAGTTATAGTCTTCCCCGAAGGCGGAGCCACCATCTTAGTCACCACAGAATGTTCAGCACCTGTGTCGATCATGAAAGAACTTCTCTTTCCCCCTATTGCTACATCGACCATAGGCTCCGCTCGACCAAGTGGGATGGAGCCCAGTCGGTATCAATAGTCTTCCATGATAGTGTCAGCCAGACCCACAAAATCTCTATCCTCTCTTTCTCTAGGTCTCTGCGTGGGTGGATTGTATCTGTCTCCTTGAACACTTCCTCTACTATTCCCATCATTCCCTCTAAAACTTCCTCTTACTCTATAACTACCACTATAACCTCCTCGTACCCTTCTCTCTCCTTGTCTATCACCTTCATACTACTCTCTCTGTGGACACTCACTCTTCCAATGTCCCTCCTTTCTACAATACGCACATTAATTCCTACTTAAAGTCCCTTGCTCAGCCTATTCTCGTCTCCTCTATTCACTTCCCTGTCTTTCTACACTTAAGATAGCTACCGCTAGCATATCTGCCTTTTTCCTCATTTTACGCTCTTCCTCCATCTCCCTATTCATATATACTGTATTTGCAATCTCCATTAGCTGTATTATGGACATCCCTACAAATCCCTCTAATTTCTGTAATTTCCTTTTACTATCACCTTGGGCCTGGCTGACAAATGCTGAGTCTATCATTCGGAAGTTTTCAGGGGCCTCTGGATTAAAGGGAGTATACAACCTATTTGACTCAAGCAGTGTCTAATATGGGACTTCGGCAAGGCTGCCCAATAATAGGTTCCAGTCTAGGATTAGTAAAATAGGTGAAAGGGGGTGAGCTAATTTTATTAGTCAGCATTTGGTGGATGAAAAAACGTTTTTTTTAAAGTGTTAAACCAAAAACCTACCAGTAGGTGTCACCAGAGGGTAATTGTATCAAAATAATCTTTATGGGTCTAATAAGAAAACTCAACTTTTAATATATTTATACATAAAATAAAACCTTATAGCAATAAATATATTAAAATAGGGTAAGCAATCCTACATCTATCTGTTATAAACAATGTATTATCAATGTAACTCCCGAAGATGGCCAGTAGGTGGCCTAGAGTGCCTCCCTAAAGTCAAATGAAACAAATAAACTTTAATTAATTATGTCCTATTTTATTATTACTTATTTTAATCAATGTCCACCCTGCTAGCTAGGCTTGATTAAATCTTTAGTTCTAAGGTAAATTAAACATTTCAGTTTGTAGTTTAGTAAAAGGGGACATTTTGGACAAAGCTGGGAGGGGCCCATCCAGTAACTAAAAAAAACCATATACCATCTGATACCATTGATCATTGATTAGGGGGAGGGGTAGTACAGAAATACAAGAGTTTGAAACACAGGAACAGATAGGTATGTGGGTAGGCGGGGACAGTAGAGCAGGGGAGTGCAAATACTGATTATACCAGCCAGAAATGGGCGTGGCTAATCTGGCTCTGGAGGATGTTTGGGGGGTTGGTAATCAGATGCCAGGGGGGAGGGGATGTCCAAAGCAGTTGTAATTAAGTCCTTAGTTCTGACCACCATATGGCTACATTGTTTCTCATATGACACAGTTTAATTCACCAAGGCAGTTTTTCAACAAATCAGTTTCCAACAGTCAATATATAGAAACTGATCATAGAATTCCAGCCTACTAGTTACAGCCACATGTACACCCTGCACTAAATTTAAGTGAAGACTCCCTACTTTTTTTTTTTTTTTTTTTTAAACATACAAGACAAAGACTTGTGAATCAGAAGATTATTTCAACAGAGCATCTGATTCAAAAAGCTGTACAAATATACACACAGTTTCAACAGTCACAACAATCTCCTTATCACCAGCAACACATTGCGCAGTCACTAGGCCCAAACACACACACAGGATCCTCACATGCTCAACAATATCACGACGTCGCACACACAAAATTAAATCAAAAACCCACCAAAGACTATACACTTATCAATGTAACTATTATTCAAACCATACAACTATCCACGCTATTAATCCATATAAACTAACCGATCACATAACATTTCAACAAATTTCATCTCTACAATTATCTGTACTATAAATCAACTTTTGACTAACCAACTATATCACATTCTAGTAACCTCATCTTTACAGTCAGTGGTTATGGTACAGTTAGTAAGTGGTTATAATACAGTTTTAAAGTCACAGATCAGTTAGTAACAGTTATGGTATTATACATATAACATAAAACAGCAATTGTTAGTAATTTTTACACAATGTCAGTAGTTATGGTACCGTGCGCTATTTTACAGTTATACACACAATTTACACTCCCACTAGACAGCAGAGCTCTAACTTTCTAGTAGGACATACAAGTTAACCAATTCACCAACTACAATATATTTAACAACATTTACAATAATCCCAACTATTCTAACTGGCCAGCACCTCGAGAGCTTTCGATCTATTTATACACCAGAGATTCGATAAGTTCTTCGCTGCCCAGACACCACGTATAGCGAACTAGAGGGCAGAATTTACACAGTACCCAGCTAGTCTATTAAACTATCAATAAGCTAGTGGCTGGATTTACAACAGAGCACACTTAGTTAAGATAGGGTGAAATCTAGCAAACTATAATATACAACAGAGTATGCTAGTCTCCCGGTCCCCCCGACCTAGCGAACAAAATTTACACCCTAGATACGCTAGTCAAGACAGGACACCGGTGTCCGACATGAGCTATTTACACCAGAACTCAGTCTGACCCAAACCACCTATATTAGACGGGCTGACTACAGAGCGTCTAATTTCCAGATAAGTGTTGCGCTTTTCACTTCTTCCTTCTATTGAAGGGGCCAATACCAATAACCGGTTCCAAATATAAAACCCCTTGTGGGTCTACCGCTCTAACGGTATCAATCTCACCTGTTAGTCCTGGACCTGGGTTCACTCATAGACGGAACAATCCGGGACTCACTGCGCAGAAGCCGATGATCTCCTGGACAAAAGGCCAGTGGCGCCGAGACGAAAGGAGGTCCACGCAGTAGAAGTCCAGGATTGTAGCGTAGAAGGTTTGGTAAAAGTTTACCGTCTCAAATCTCTGTGCCAGCTTCCGTGCGATGAGGTTCCCGGCCCAATTGCACCAGAAATGTTGCAGTGTAAGCATGCAGAAGCCAAACACAGAAATATTGGACACAGGTCTTCAGGAAGTAACAGGCCTTTATTCACATTACCGATCGGGTCTCAGATGAACTCCTGTTCCAAAGGATCTGAGAGACCAACACATGGTGTACATTCCTTATATAGCACTATAACTCCTCCCATTAATAGCTACACCCACATATACCTTTAACCAATCAATGAGCAGAATATAGACTTGTACATCTAGTCAAACCACATGGCTCATCCAAGACAAAGGAAATAAGTGCAATTTCAGTTCCTGCATTCCTGCACATGCTCAGTACACTGATGACAGTATCCTAGCTACATGTAGCTAACCAACTGACACAACATACACATATGCCACATGGAGATTTTGGCCTACTAAATTTTGACCATGCTGGAATCCCATCACATTTCCTTTAACTCCGAATTAAAATAAGACTATCCTGCTCATGCTTGTTAAGTTATGGCACAACTCCCGGGATTGTGAAGTGGACATAAGTGTTTTCATACTTCACTCTGCACACCTCAACCCATTAACCGCTTCAGAGTGTAAACCGGGTGAGGTAAAAACAGAACTGTGGCAAAAAGGTGACCTTTCGATTTAAAGAGTTCAATAGAACCGGGAATTCTTGGAAACAAATGTGCTCTTGTATCATAAATCACTTTTTATTAAATCCTTTGAACAGTGTAATATTAGAGGGACACTCTCACCCCATAGCTGCTTTAATATGACTTCTGCAGCCTCATTTTAAGTTTTTTGCTCTGTAGTGCAGTAGATGCCCATTATGGGGGGGAAACGGTACACGCCAAATGTTTCACCTGCTGAAGGTAAGAAGGCGTTGTAAACTCCTGTCCCCATAACAATGCAAATGTGCTTAAGTTGTTATGGTGGAAGGAATGTTCCCTTACAAATAAACATTTCTAATTATAATATTCCTTAGTATCCATTTCTCTGTGATCCAATCCAGTCCTTCTCATACAATTGAAATTTAATGTCTTTCTATGGGAGCGTTTGGCAGCATCACGCTATGCTAAATTATTTAGAATTTTTACCAAGAAGGACCTTTCGCAGCTGTCAGTCTCACAATTAGTTGAGACGTGGATATAGCAAAATGTAAAGATTGCTGTTTTACTGAAATGGCAGTATTTAAAATTTCTAGAGATAAGCGGCAGGGTCTGTTGACCAAAACCACCTCAATAAGCTGAAGTTGTTTTGGTGCTTAGTGTGACCCTTTTTTACCTCAGGGAAAAATATACCTTATTCTTTCAAATAAAAAAAAAAACAGACTGATGGAGGTAGTTAGAAATGTTATATTTAGTATTTTATGTGTGCAAGCAGTACTATGAAAGACAGCACTGAAACTGCGCCTCATACACCTGATGTCACTCATGTTTACAGTGACTGACAAATATTTTGTATGGAAGACGTGTGGCTGAAAATTGCTGTTGCTGAGTGAATAGAATAGAAATATTACAGGGAAATTAAAGGTGAGGGAGCTCAACAAAATAAATGCTGATAATCGTATTCCTTTAAGGAACACTTTACGCACCATAACCATTTAATCAAAATGAAGTTGTTATGGTGCCAAGATGGCTGCCACCTTCCTCTACTGCCATTGGTTAGCCACCCATATTTAGTTTTCAGGGCTTATTGTCAAAATATGCATCCCTAGTCTGAAACAGCTGCCCCGTGAACTTCGTATCGTGGGTATAGATCCCTGAAATGGCTAGGGCAGGCTCCTGTAATCACATTTCACAAGTGATGGTATGTGCTGGAGACATTTACACGTTGTACAAGAGACGAAGAAGAAATTGGATTAAAGGTTATTTTTACATAGAAAATAACGCATATCTGCACATGTGGGTGGTGTATTATTTTAAAATGCTGACTGCAGAGAGGTAAAAGCTAGGAACAGAGAAGCATTTGCTTGTATTTTACAACCAGCACCTTATAACTATGGTATTCTTACATTTTATTTTTTGCAAGACTTGCTACTGTTCTAGGTGGCACCACATGTGTAAAAATGATAGAAATTCGAGCTTTAGTACAGTGATTTGACTTGCTGGCTTTCAGCACTCGTTCAGGTTAAGTACACCCATATCTCTGTTCTCCTGTGGGTTCTAAGGATGGAACCCGTGGCCAGCGATGCAAACTTTGGCCCTGCAGATCACATTAGCCTAAGCTCTGGTGAAGCAACCTGGGAACTGTGGTCCCCATCAACTACAGAGTTCTTATGATTCTAATTCTTGTAGTTGATAATTATCTAATTGTAGGAGAGGAAATGACTTTGGAGAGGGAGAAAAGCACATGCTGCTAGTTAACTAGGTTAATCATTACTTTTGCTTTTATTTAACCCTTTTAAGTGGTTCTAGTGTTCAATATTAAACGCAGGGTCTGAAATCCTTCCAAACAATACAATTTTAATATTTCCTTACATCTGAAAGCGGTGATTAAAATTTAGATACAATTTGTCAAATCTGCTGCCTTTTGTGTTTGGGAGGCCCCAATAATACTCTTAGGGATGTAAGCTTCTCACAAAATGCCAGTACATTGTAAAATTAATATCTTTATGTTGGCATTAATTCATTGGGGTCTGGCACACCTAACTAGAGTGTCTCGTGTTGTAAGACAGGAAGATCGAACATTCTATCTCATGAATAATTGGCAGCAAGTGTTACATTTTATAACAATCTGAGATTTTACCAATTGTTATAAAACTATAACTCCTATAATGCTTTGCCAACATTATTGCATTTGAGTCTAAGACTGGTTACCCTTAGTTAGAGATCCCACCTTTTTTTTTTTTTCATTTATCTAAATTGCCATTATTTTATCATCCCTTCCACACCCATCTCGGGAATACCATCTGCATGACCGTGTCATCGACAAGTCAGATTTTCCCCTGTGCAGTGTCATGTCGAAGGGCATGTTAAAGAATGGCGTGATCCTCTTCTTGCTGAGTCACTACCTCCTCCTCCCCGGCTGGAATTTGCTCTCTGCTGGGTTCATGTATGTAAGAATGACACCACGAAAAACTAGATTCCTGTGAGGATGGGGGGGGGGGATTTGGGTGTTGATTAACTCGTGATCTACTGCGCCATCACGCTCTAAATGCAATCCATTATGGCGAGAATTTGCTCTTTCTTCCCTCGTGCGGCTAAGGGTTTCTGAAGAAATCCATTTTCAGTCAAATCACTCTACCTCTGCCATAGAGCTATCCTAAAAATAATTCTGTCCTGCAGAGATGTCAAGTGTATAGCCTGAACGAGTGCAGGGTAGATGGTTCAAGTAAATGTGTCTAAAAGCGTCATGTCCATAGGTATTCGTTCCAAATAGGGTCGTGGTTTATACTTTTTTTAAAAAGACTATGGGGCACTTTAAGAATTAAAATGGTTATGGTGTCCTTGTAGACCATTATCAAGAAAGATGGAGTATTTTTGTGTCTTTTTGCCTCTCTTTGGTTAACATACAGAAGTCATAAGAAGATTATTCCCCTTGTTAGAGCCGATTTAGTCACCAGTAGTATCTTCTTTAAATACAAAATTCTAGCGTTCATTTTAGAAGAACTTGTTAGTGTTATGGCTTGTTGATATGGAATTCAGAGCAGTTCCTGATTGTACATTTCAATGTGAACGCTATTGATAGTAACTCTTCAAACTCTGTAGTGGTTATTGTATCAGGAGTTCCCTGACACCCTCCCACAGTAAGTAGTTAAACCATTGTAAGTACGGTTTGACAACTTACCCAGGTTCCCTTGCACACCTGTCACCTCTACCCCGCCCCAGTGAAGCTAATGGTAAGATTTTTGCAGGGGTTTCTAGCAGCGGACCCAAGCAAGCTGTAGTGGTTATGGTATTTGTAGTATTCCTTTAACTCCAATAACAATTTCCACAGCTCGTGAGGTGTGTTATGTTTTGTTTTAATTTTTGGGCTTGGTTTATTAATTTTTTATTTATTTTTTTTAAATTTTTTACCGCACCAGTACACCAAAACCACTACATTAGAATGTAGCTGTGGTGTTTTATTTATTTGTATTTTTTTTAAATTTTATATATATTTTTTTTAGAGGGGTTTAATGCTTAGTATCCCTTTAGGGATAGAAAGGACTGTTTAGGCCCCAAAAACTAGGAACAGATCTCTGAAGCTGCTGATCTTTAGGAGAGTCATATGAAATAGGTACCTTTTAACACTTTCCTTACCAACATGGTCCTGTTGCATTCTTCAAAATATGTTCCTGTTTTGCCAAGAATGCTATCGATGCAATCTTCAGTTTCAGCAAAGATCACTTCCCTCTTTCATTAGAAAGAAGTGCTCATTGTCAATAAAATGTTTTTAGCATTTAAAAAAAAAATAAAAAAAATTGCCAGTACATTTTAACGTTTTTAAAAAGCAAAAAAACCCTTTACTATATGTGTGTGTGGCTGTGCAAAAATATTGTATGTGGCCTGTAGACTTCTGGTTTGCTATGGTAAGTCTCTCCCCCACTGTATTCCGGTGACTCCATTTATTTATGGTGCACTGTCATCAAAGATGGACTTAAAGGGACTTCCTGTTCTGTGTGTCTGTCTCGTACGCTGAAGCCCTGCTTCCTTTATGTTGTGTCCCTGTCTGCAGACCTATCGCAGCCATAGATCCAGCAAAAATCCAGAACCTTGTTTTAAATCTCTTTACAAGTAGATGTGGAACTGATCGTCAAGTAACTTAAGGTAATTTAAGTGGTACTCCAAGCACCATAACAATGATGGCCTCGATTTAATATTCTTGGAAATGCTTTTCAAATAATTTAACCCCTGAAGGACACAACTTCTGGAATAAAAGGGAATCATGATGGAATATTTCCGTCATGTGTCATTAAGGGGTTAATATTTGTGTTTCACCTCCCCCCCCCCCAAATAAATAATAAAAAGATAATATATCTCCAAAACAATCAAAATATACATTGTTATTTTTAATTTTTTTTCAAATTTAATTTTAATAAATAAAAGTTGATCCACAAATATTAAATGGAGGCCTCTTGTGTAAGTTATAATAGGTTTTTATTCTTTAACAGTCACAAACACAACCGTTTATTAGTCTGTCCTATTGGTCAGACTCCTCTGACCATATAAGTGTGCACACAATATTTGGGGGAATGCTATTTAAAGGATCACTATAGTGTCAGGAAAACAAAGTGGTTTTCCTGACCCTATAGTGCCCTGAGGGTGCCCCCACCCTCAGGGTCCCCCTCCTGTGGTGCTGAAGGGGTTACAACCCCTTCAGCAGCTTACCTTAATACAGCGCCGGGCTCCCTCGTCAGCAGAGCCGAATGCGCATGCGCAGCAAGTGACGTGCGCGCATTCAAAGTGTCCAAAGGAGAGCATTTCTCAATGCTTTCCTACGGACACTCTGCGCGATGGAGACGAAATGTGCCTCCAGCGTTCCAGATGCGCCTCTAATGGCTGTGCAGAAACTCTGAAACTATGTTTGCATCTGAAGGGTTAAACCTGAGGGACCTGGCACCCAGACCACTTCATTGAGCTGAAGTGGTCTGGGTGACTATAGCGTCTCTTTAAGTCTCCGACTCCTCTCCAGTTGAGATTTGGAGCTGTGTCAATCGCAAATGCTGTGCAAAGCACCATTCTCAAAATCTATTCGTACAGTCAATAAACAACCGCTTATTTGTTGCTCATCCTGTCTGACGAAAAGATTTGCTCTCTCATACTATCTCATGATTAGACTGGTTGCCAGAGGCTGCTATATATCCCACAAGCCCATGAATGAATACGGAAAGGTATGGTCTTGTGAAAAGAAGGCATGCCAATAATGGATGGTTGGGGTAACCTGAAAAGTGTCTGTCTGAGCCCAGTGCCAGTAATTTGGAAATACATTCTAGAACATCAAACATCTCACCTTTACTGTACCCCAATATTACACTCTCTGTATTGTCCTCTCCACAATAGCCATCTGTCTATTTGGTCCTCCTGTATTCTAGATCACTGGTTTCCAGTTTACAAGTTCACATTTTTTTCCAATAATTTAGGAATTGGCCAGTTCCAGTTGCAGTGGGGATGAAACCTAAACCATTGTTGTATTCCACATTACCTGGCATTCTTTGTTCCTGTTGCTCTAATTTATTTATTTTCTTTCTCCCAGATTTCGAAGCAGGAGGAGTTTTTCAACCTCTCTCGTTGCCAACTGGTGAATTTAATTAGCCGGGACGAACTGAATGTGCGCTGTGAATCTGAGGTCTTCCATGCCTGTATAAACTGGGTGAAATACGACTGTGAAAATCGGCGACCTTATATCCAGGCGCTCTTACGGGCTGTGCGCTGTCACTCGCTCACACCCCACTTTCTGCAGCTGCAACTCCAGCGCTGTGAGATCCTGCGAGGTGACTCCCTCTGCCAGGACTACCTCTCTAAAATCTTCCAGGACCTCACTCTTCACAAGCCCACCATGTCCCAACAAGGAAGGATTCCCAATATTCCTCAATTCATATATGTGGCTGGAGGATATTACCGTCAATCTCTTAATTTTCTAGAGGCCTATAACCCAGTGGACGGCGAGTGGCTCAGTTTGGCTCCCCTGGAAAAACCCCGTAGTGGTCTGGCTGGCTGTGTGTTAGGAGGGCTTTTATATGCTGTAGGAGGACGCAATAATGCCCCGGACTGCAACAGAGACTCAGACGCTCTTGATTGCTACAACCCAATGAATAACCAGTGGTCACCTTGCGCTGCTATGAGTGTGCCCAGGAACCGGGTAGGAGCTGGCGTCATAGATGGGCAAATCTACGCAGTGGGTGGATCTCATGGCTGTTTACATCACAACAGTGTGGAAAGGTGGGTACAGCCTCTGTTGAGGTGGAGTGTTTTTTTTATTGGCCAATGTGTGATATACTTTTACTACATACATGTATAGATAATGATATTTCAGTGCTATATAGAATATTTCATGTTATTAGAGGTGTTTGAATTAAAGGGAACTGTGATGGATTAATTTCCTGAATAGATGATGTGCTCTCTGTTGTCTGTAGGCAAAATTAAAGGGACCCTATAGGCACCAAAACAAATTTTAGCTTAACCACTTAAGGACCGTCATCAGCATTTTTGCATTGCCAACCGATGACGGTCCTAACGGTCCAATATACTTACCCGATCGCCGTCGTTCCCCCAGCGGCGATTGGCGGTGCTCCCGGTGTCTCCCCATGGCGGATTAGGACACTTGTGGCCATGTGATCGCACAACAGAGCGATCACATGGTCACAATAGGTGTCCATGTGTATGCCTGCAGGGTGACTGTCTGTGCTGACAGGCAGTCTCCCTGCTAGTGTAAAATCATTTTAAAAAAAAATAAATAAAAGTTAATGTAAAAAAAAAAAGTGTGTATATGTGTATATGTGTGTATATATGTGTATATATATATATATATATATATATATATATATATATATATATATATATATATATATATATATACACAAATAATAAGTAGATTAAATTTAATAATTTAAAAACAATTATATATCTATATGAAATTTTATTCTAACTTTATTTTGATATTAAAATTATATCTGAGGAAGACCTGAACGGATCGAAACGTTGATCAAACAACCTGTAAACCTTTGATGGATTAAAGACTGTTAATATTCTTAAAAAGACCGGAGAGTGCATCTTTCTTCAATATAATGATTTATCAGCATAAGATTGCACCAGGGCACTTTACTATTCAGTACATCAGGAAGGGTGAGTGCCATTATATGAGAGTGCCATTATATGAGATATATATATATATATATATATATATATATATATATATTCCATATACAAAATTACATAAATAATTATATAAATATACACGTAGACTTCAAATATATAAATATGCATATATATTTAAATTCTACGTGCGTATTTGTCATATTTTTACATAATTAAGTAATTTTATTAATTGCAATTTTAGGGACCTGCCTGCCAACCCAGGCCGAAGTCCAGATAATTTAATTTGCTAGCACTGTATTTTACCCTGTAACTTTCTATGACACCCTAAAACCTGTACATGGGGGGTACCGTTTTACTTGGGAGACTTCGCTGAACACAAATATTAGTGTTTCAAAACAGTAAAACCTATCACAGCGATGATATTGTCAGTGAAAGTGACTTTTTTTGCGTTTTTCACACACAAACCGCCCTTTTACTGATGATATAATTGTTGTGATACGTTTTCCTGTTTTGAAACCCTAATATTTGTGTTCAGCAAAGTCTCCCGAGTATAACATTCCCCCCCATGTACAGATTTTATAGCGTTTTGAGAGTTACAGGGTCAAATATTTTTACATTGAAAATGGCCAGGTTGGTTACGTTGCCTTTGAGAGCGTATGGTAGCCCAGGAATGAGAATTACCCCCATGATGGCATGCCATTTGCAAAAGAAGACAAACCAAGGTATTGCAAATGGGGTATGTCCAGTCTTTTTTAGTAGCCACTTGGTCACAAACACTGGCCAAAGTTAGTGTTAAAACTCGTTTTCTTGACACTATATCATCCTTAGAACCCCTCCCCCCTCCCTTGGCGCTGAAGGGGTTAAAACCCCTTCAGCTATTTACCTTAATCGCTGACGGCGGCAGGGGAGGAGAAGTCACCAGCGCTGAGAGAGCCCGGATCTGGTGACCTCTCCACCCCCGCCGAAGTCAGCTCCTGTGGCATTCGCGCGTGCCTTCAAACAGAAATGCTTTCCTATGGACGATCTGCACGCTTGATTAATTTTTTTGCACCCAGCGTCGCAGAAGTGCCTCTGAAACTATGTTTACATCTGAAGGGTTAAAACCTGGGGTCCTGGCACCCAGACCACTTCATTGAGCTGAAGTGGTCTGGGTGACTGTAGTGTCCCTTTAAATTAAATTTGCTACATTTTTATTGTACAAAGGAAGTATCAAGTGAAATAAAGGTTAACAGCAATTATAGGTGATTTTCAATGTTCTATTCAGAGGTGGAATTTCCAGAGAGCTGACATTTACCCTTTAACTGTAAACATTTAAAGGGACACTATAGTCACCTGAACAACTTTAGCTTAATGAAGCAGTTTTGGTGTATAGAACATGCTCCTGCAGCCTCACTGCTCAATCCTCTGCCATTTAGGAGATAAATCCCTTTGTTTATGAACCCTAGTCACACCTCCCTGCATGTGACTTGCACAGCCTTCCATAAACACTTCCTGTAAAGAGAGCCTTATTTAGGCTTTCTTTATTGCATGTTCTGTTTAATTAAGATTTACTTATCCCCTGCTATATTAATAGCTTGCTAGACCCTGCAAGAGCCTCCTGTATGTGATTAAAGTTCAATTTAGAGATTGAGATCCAATTATTTAAGGTAAATTACATCTGTTTGAAAGTGAAACCAGTTTTTTTTTTTTTTTTTCATGCAGGCTCTGTCAATCATAGCCAGGGGAGGTGTGGCTAGGGCCACATAAACAGAAACAACGTGATTTAACTCCTAAATGGAAGTGAAATTGCAGGGGAATAATCTATACACTAAAACTGCTTTATTTAGCTAAAGTAATTTAGGTGACTATAGTGTTCCTTTAATATCCTCTTACTAATTCTTTCCCAATCTCTTTTGGTACTGAAGTTATTTAAGTGAGTGAGACTAAACTCCGTAACTAATTGGTGGTTTATTTGTTTTTTAATCTCCCTCCAAGTAGGGGTTCTAATTGCCTCCACCTGCGTGCTATGACAATTTGTAACTGCAACCAAACAATTAGTTACAAAAAATGTATCTATTTTAGTTAAATTTGGCCAATTTAGGTGGAGGAGAGCTACTGTGGGTGACCTTATAAGTCTAGGAACATCTATTTGTGCAAGGCCTTCAAATATTTTATTCCAAACTGCTAGAATCAATACCAATCAATGCTTTCCTATGGACGTCACCGTCTTCTCACTGTGAAAATCACAGTGAGAATCGCGGAAGCGCCTCTAGCGGCTGTCAATGAGACGACCACTAGAGGCTGAATTAACCCTGTTGTAAACATAGCAGTTTCTCTGAAACTGCTATGTTTACAGCTGCAGGGTTAAGCCTAGATGGACCTGGCACCCAGACCACTTTAATGAGCTGAAGTGGTCTGGATGCCTATAGTGGTCCTTTAACCAAAGGAGAATCCGGCCGGGTTTTGAAGGCTACTAACAGAGCAGGAAATGAGAAAATCTAAATTAAATTAAACAGTCTGTGCAATAAAGAAAGTGTAAAAATTAGAACACCGGAAGTGTTTCGGAAGGCTGTGCAAAGAGTTGTGGGGCTGTATAAGTAATTTAACTCCCAAATGGCAGCAGTGCGACTGCAGGGACATGACCTATATACCAAAACTGCTTCATTAAGCTAAAGTTGATTTAGTGTTTATATTGTCCCTTTAAATAATATTTGTTATCAGTGATTTACATCACTGATTATTAGGGATCGACCGATATTGATTTAAAAAAAAAAAAAAAAAATTTTTTTAGAGCCGATACCGATAATCTGTCACCTTTCAGGCCGATAGCCGATAACTTGCTGATATTCAGTACATTTACCATTTGGAAAAAAAAAACTATTTCTAAAGGTAAATGCACAAAATAAACATGCCACATGTAGTGGATGCAGTGTGTGTGTGTGTGTATATAATGAATGCAGGGTTTATTTGTGTAGTGTGTGTGTGTGTGTATATAGTGTATGTAGTGTGTGTGTGTGTGTGTGTGTGTAGAGTGATTAAAGTTAATGCAGTGTGTTTGTGTGTATATAATGAATGCAGTGTGTTTGTTGTGTTTGTATAGTGTGTGTGTGTGTGTGTATATAATGAATGCAGGGTTTATTTGTGTAGTGTGTGTGTGTGTGTATATAGTGTATGTAGTGTGTGTGTGTGTGTGTGTGTGTGTAGAGTGATTAAAGTTAATGCAGTGTGTTTGTGTGTATATAATGAATGCAGTGTGTTTGTTGTGTTTGTATAGTGTGTGTGTGTGTGTGTATATAACGAATGCAGAGTGTGTGTGTGTATATAATGCAGAGTGTGTTTGTGTAGTGTGTGTGTGTATATATGTGTGTGTATGTATGTGTGTGTATATGTATATGTGTATATATATATATATATATATATATATAAAAAAATTTAGTCTTCCTTATTTCCACTTGTTACCTGGCCAGGGAGGTGGGGGGGGCTGTGGCATTCCCAGGTGGTCCAGTGGTATGTACTGAGCAGTGGGAGGGCCCAGCAGCAAGCTGTTACTTGCCTCCCTTCAGCTCCCATGTCAAATCTCGCGTCCCTTAGTGCCGCACGGAGCATTGCTATGGTAACCCGTGGCAACGCTCTGCAGCCGCGGGTCTTGCGAGATTTACACGGGGAGCTGCTGGGAAGGTAACAGCTTGCTGCGGGCCCCCCGGTATTGGCTGATACCGATATTGCCGAAACTACCCAATATCGGCCGATAATACCGGTAAAACCGATAATCGGTCAAACCCTACTGATTATTTATATGGACCGGTGGGACGTAATACTTGGTACATAGTAAAGTTAAAATACCATATATCATTTGTTTGTTCAGCTTTTTTGTTTTATATAGTATTTTGCAAGCATCAAATCTTTGCTATTTTATTTTTTATTTCATTTCAAAAGCTTCTATAAACATAAGAAATAAACTGGACCATTTTCTGTTTCCATGCTGACTTAATCTGCATTAAGTTGTCTAAATTTGACATATATGGGTCATACATATTGGAATTTAAAAATAACATTGTTTATGTGAATGGTAAACTCTCATTTTTAAAGTCTGTTATTATTTCAACTGTTTCTAAATGAGCCAATTTCAATAACTGGGGCGGAAATAAAATAAAAATGCAATGGTGTTTTCTTCTACTTATTACAATGTTTTTGCAATCACGGAAGATTGTTTATATATTTTTGTGATATGGTGTGTGTTTGTTTTGCCTCCAATTGCTACACTGCATTCACTGGAAATAAATGTTTTACAAAGAGGTGAAAAACAATATTTAAATTTAAGAGCAAACATTTAAATGTTTCAAACTAGACACTTTTTTATTTATTTTTTTACCATTGAGTTTCAGACACAGGTGGGAGTGGCGGTGGATGTTTATAATGGGGATGCATTAGGGTTTGTAGATGAGTTAAGTATTTCATTATCATCTCCTAAAACATTTTAAATAAATTTTTTTTTTTTCATAACTTAAAGTTGCAGTCTCCGCATCTTTTGTAGTAGTTATGGTGCTATTTGGTAAAGGTCTCCCTGTTTTGGGTAAAATGGTTTGAAGTTCTTTAAATAAATCCAAGGATTGAAGAGTCCTTGCTCACCTACTGGTAATGTGAATATTTTGGAGAGCATTGATAGGCTGAGCTGGGGGAATGATGCACACCGTCTAATGGCACCAAAACCATTAATATGCAAATGCCCTTTAAAGTGATCCGTGTCTGGGGCTTCCTGTTCATGCTTTTATCCGTGTCTGGCGTGCATGGTATCTGTGCTCTATTGCCAACAGGATGTTCTCCCTCAGTGCCAGTAAAACAAACTCATAGGCTTGTACACGTGCACAGGCCTTGGGTAAACACAGAACGTGCACTGCCAGCTCTCAGGTTTGGTTTTGTATTGACACTTTTAACAATCGCTTATTTGGACGCACTGCCAACCTTTCATCACATGGCTGCACTCTGCCAGTGACGTGATGTTTGTGAAGGTGCTGGCACTTTTCCAGAGTGTTTAACCCCAGTTTTCAAGCAGTTAATCTTTAAATAACTAATAAAAGTTTTTTTTTTTTTTTTTTTTTTATAGATTTAACTTTTTAGTCACAGCTGATTATTGTGTGAATGTAACATGAAGAGTTTGTCTGTCCCTCACACCCCATCTCCCTCTCCCGAGATTACTGCTCTGTTTTATACCAGCAGTATCCGTTTACTCACACACAGTGATGTCAATACAGCTTGGCTGTGTGTTCACTGTACAGCCTAACCCTAAATAATAATAATAATGGTAGTTGATTGTTCTGGAGTGATTATCATAAGTTAAATGTATGAGCGCCTCAAATACTGCTGTACATGTTGTTATGACGGTTTGGTTTTTTGGCAATTGTAATTCATGTATTGGTTTTCTAAAGTAGGAAACTCATAAAGTGAACTACAACTCCCAGAAGCTCTTGCTGCACATGTTAAAGCACTGCTTATGGAATAAAACTAGCTGTACTATAGAATGTGCGATAAACATTAGATTGGCTTGGTTATCTTTATTTGGTAGCAGGTCCTGCACAATCTAGGGGTTTGTAGATAATGTAAGAGCTTCCATTGTGAGCAAGGATTTTGTTTTATCTAGTCACAGCATCTGCAGGATTATTCACTAGCGTGTAAATTATTGGGAATTCGTATTACATTTCACATCTTAGATCAAAATCGCCAAATTGGAAAAATGACTCAAAATTGGATGTTTCCAGTTCAGCTATTTTTGCCAATAATTTGAAATTCACTTTTAATTCACAACTCATTCATTAGAGAATCTCTCTCCCCCTCTCCCCCTCCACACACCAATACACTGTATAATGTGTATTAATTAATTGGCAAAGTAACTGCTGAGTTTGTATCTTTTTAGCTATCCCTTACCTTCAACACATTTAAAACAGAATAGCATGCCATGGTACTACAGGGGATTCTTAAATGAAGTTATCTCTCAATATTCGGGTTTACAGGATAAAGCACATATAGTCCATATTACGTTCCCTCGTAACTCCTCTCGTGCCCACAGGTATGACCCAGAGAAAGACGAATGGCAACTTGTGGCCCCGATGAAAACCCCACGGATTGGAGTCGGTGTGGCGGTGTTAAACAGGCTTTTATACGCGGTGGGCGGTTTCGACGGGACGAATAGACTGAGCTCTGCTGAGTGTTATTACCCTGAGACAGACGAGTGGAAGGACATTGCAGCTATGAATGTTGTACGGAGTGGAGCAGGTGAGTCTTTTATATTTCTGGGAAAGCCGTTTTAGTGGTTTCTCTATCTATAAATCCTTTCTTCATTTATTTATTAAAAACATCCGGTTAGTATAATCTTATTTTCAAAGCACTTTGTCGCTGATATAAAATAGTGTGGATTGGAATCTAATGTTTGCGAATAACCACATCAGTGAAAAATATATCACACATACTGCAGCTATTCAATTATTTACATACCTGGCACCGAACGCTAGGTCACTACCAGAATCCGGACAGCGGTAACTGGGATTGTGTGTGTGTGTGTGTGTGTGTGTGTGTACATTAAAAATAAATACAAATAAGAAACAAATTCACAGCTGTGCACATCTAAAAAAAAAAAAAAAAAAATGTAAACCTGATTTGGTGTTCATCAACCCCTTAACATTAGACAAACACCACCTTCATTTGTGCTATGTCTGTTCCAACATAATTTAAGGTTTTCTATTTAAATGCCTCCATACAAATTATTTTTTATATATATATATATATATATATATATATATATATATTTTTTTTTTTAATTTTTTTTATGGAATATCCTATGTGTATGCCCATCACAATCTTCAATGTTGAGTGTGAATAAAAATGCAGGAGAAGAAACATTTTTCAAATTTTTGCCTATTTTTATACATTAAGCTCAACTAAAGAAAAATAACTCAAAAAAGATTAATGTATCATTCCTGTTTTGTTAAAGGACCACTATAGTGCCAGGAAAACATACTCGTTTTCCTGGCTCTATAGGGGCCTTGGGTCATCCTGTGGAACCCCGCCGGGCTCTAGGAGGAGGAAGGGGTTAATCCCTTTTTTCCAGCACTGGGGACTCTCCTCCTCCTCCTTTCCCGTCATCGGCTGAATGCATGAGTTGCGCGCGCATTCAGACAGTCTCATAGGAAAGCATTCTCAATGCTTTCCTATGGACGCTGGCGTCTTCTCACTGTGAAAATGAGACAGCCACTAGAGGCTGGATTAACCCATTTGTAAACATAGCAGTTTCTCTGAAACTGCTATGTTTACAGCAGAAAGGGTTAACCCTAGCTGGACCTGGCACCCAGACCACTTCATTAAGCTGAAGTGGTCTGGGTGCCTATAGTGATCCTTTAATATCTAAATTAAGTTTTGGTAGTTAAATGGTCACTATAGTAACCCAGACCACTTCAGCTCATTGAAGCGGTCTGGGTGCAGTGTCCCTGTCCCTGTAAATCATTGCAGTTTTAGAGAAATTGCAATAATTACCTTGCCGGACTAAGAGTGCCTCTAGTGGCTGTCAGCAAAACGGCTACTAGAGACACTTTCTGGATGCTAACGGACACCAGGTCACCTAAATGACTCTGGACGTATTCACTCTCTGCATTAGGCCATCCAGTGTCTGTGAAATCCCCATGGGGAGGGCCTAATGAACTCGCAGCGCATGCACATTAGCACCCCCCACCTCGGATGCCGTTGGAGGAGACTGAGCGACGACTGACATTGGCACTGGAATTGGATAAGTGACTTATCTTTAACCCTAAAACATCATTAACCATTACCCAGCATTAACCCTTGTCTTACCTTAACCCTAAAGGTTTCTCCACTGCCAATATCCGTATTGAAAACCGCAGATGGGCTCCCTACCTATAACAATAGAGCAGTCTGTGACTGTTATCTACTGGCTGTTTTTTAGGATGACCAGGAGATTTCCATCTCATGGTGAAGTCCAGCATGCCGTCTCTGCCAATCACACTGATCGTTGATGGGCAGCTTGCAAAGCCCATCAGTGATCACAATCGGCAAGGCGACCCTAGGGGTCTTCCTTGTCAGCTTGCAGCCTAAGAATCACGAGGGCAGTGCGTAATCACTCGGCTACAGTGTTATCAATCAATTTTTAAAGGGCTGTATGCAGCGCCCACTTTAAGCACTGCATACAACTCATCTGTCAGTCTGGGGCCACTAAACCTGTCCCCAGGTATCAATGTATACCTGGGTCTCCCTGGTGTGAGCAGGGATTTAACCAATTGCATTAAAACCCAGGCTTTCTAGGATATAATAGAACATCCTAATGTCAGTAAGGGGTTAACATCCCCCAAGTCCTGAGATAACTCACATTTTATTCGTAATGTTACAAGTCCTAATTCGAGAAATGCATATTTGTTTCCATAATTATAGAGATGATGAATTCTTAGATTCCCAGCCCGTGCTGATGGAAAGCCCCCCACACAGCATGATGCTAGCACCGCCATACGTCTTTGTAGGGATAGTGTTTGAGTCACGAGCCGTGTTTTGCGGGGGAACATTTTACTTCCTTCTTATACTGGTCAAGCTACATTCCATTTATGTTCTTTCGTCCGTGCTTTAGGCAAAACTGTGAAGGCACCCAGACATCCTTAACTGTTTCAGCCCACAATCTTTACATGTCCTGTTACAGAATGGCTCTAGTAAGCACCTGGCCTCACTGGTTTGTCTCAGAACTGCGTCCTGTCTTGTAATGAAAGCAATAAGGAACTGTTTGGACACAATATCTTTTAATATCTTACACAGGAACGGCAACTTCCTGAATTTGCATAAGCAAACAGCCAAGTACAGGTTAGCTAAGGGTTGTTCATGTTCCTGTCTTTTGTCTTCTGGAGATTTATTCTGGGCGGTTTTGTTCTTTCTGGCAAATCATCATCTTGGTCAGAAAGATATGAGACTGTCTCCTACGATACCGATTCACCTGAGGAGTCAATCTTGGTGGGTGTTTGAGTCCTCCGAGTTCTAGGAGGAAAAAACTCTTTCTTTTTAACTGGACTTTCAGACAGCACCTGGGGGAGAAAAAACAACAACAAAAAACCCTACCTTCTAACAAATAACCAATATCTCAAACTATTGGCATACACCACTAGGGATCGACCAATATCATTTTTCAAGAGTCGATCCAGATAATCAGTTGCCTTTTGGGCCAATAGCCGAAAACTGGATCTAATATTCTGTACATTTTAAAGTTTTAAAAAAACTACACAAATCTAGCATTAACTGAGCATACTGTCAGCAATCACACTCAAATCACAGACAGCCAATACATACTTGGATCACTGAGAGCACTCTCCGCAGCTGTCTGTGATGCAGTTGGAGACCCTTTTGAAGGTGTTGATTTTTTTATTTTTATTTATTTATTTTTTAACCTTGCAGTTCTATATATGAATATATGTTTAATCTATGTATATGCTAGCAAAATTGATAAACTATGTATATGACAATATGTATGATTTTTTTTATTATAAATTTTTTTATTTTAAATAGTGTAGAGCTAATCATAGAACGTTAATTGCACATTTAATTTACATTTCTTGTATAATGATTAAAACGTTTGTGTTAATTTATGTTTTTGGTGACTTCGCTCTGACACACAATGCCCCAAAACACCTTACCCCAAGAGTTTTATTTATTTATCTTCTTTCTTCAAGACACACAAGGATTTATTCATTTCTGATCATTGCAATTTACAAACTTGCCTGTAATAAATCATCCGTTGTGACCATACCATAACAATCTACTTGTTTGTGCTTTGTGATATGGCCCAGCACGGTAAACCCAAGATGAAGGAATTTTAAGCTTTTTATAATTATACATTTGGTTACACTGTGTAAAACTGGCATGTAGATTACAGGTGTGTGTGTGTGTTTCATATTCCTTGATGCCTGTCTGTGTGATCTGTTAGACAGGTAATGGTTGTTGAAGGGATAGCTGCTCAGTGAGACCCTCTCTCTCCTACAAAATCCATACAGAGCTGTAGACAGAGTTCATTTTAATTCCATATATTGCAGGTAACCAGTGAATGATCATCACCTGGCACCTAACCATTCAAGTGCCTGTGAAGGGGAAAATGGCATGTATTGTAACGTACATGCCAGAGTGGAGAAATTTGGTTTAATGGCTGTTTTTAGATAACATTGTGTTTTTTGTGTGTATAGAAGTTATATAAATTTTTTTATTTCTCTCCTCCAGGAGCATGTGCCATGGATACCAGTGTATACGCAATGGGCGGCTACGATGGGACAGACCAGCTAAATAGCGTGGAAAGATATGATGTAGAAAAGGATACCTGGAGCTTTGTGGCCTCCATGAAACACAGAAGGAGTGCACTGGGGGTTACTGTGCACCTGGGCAAGATCTACGTTCTGGGTAAATATTCCATGCAGTTATATCCTGGGCGCGCTGAAATCCAGGGGTTCATTAGTCCCACTCTGTCTGTTTTAATTGGAACACTGCAAGAGACGAGCATTCTCTCCCTGCGACAGGAAACTCTACATTCTATTGGTTATAGTGCCATAAGTGCACTTACTTTACCCTAGTGTAAGTAGTCAAACACCTTATTGATGACAAAGCGTAAAATGTGTTCAGGTTCAGGTGTGTCCCCCTCCCCCTTTATTTTGACTTCATAGCTGGATTCCGCTGGTTGCCCCTCCCTGCTCTCTGCAGCTATTTAATTGGCTAAGCCCAGTGGTGCAAGACTTGGCTTATTGGCTGAGAGCGTTGGCCGATCTTACACTGCAGGGCTTGGATAAGTGGCTTCTGGTACTCGCTCTTGGCTGCAGAGTGACAGGGAGCAGCGCTGGTAGAACCCAGGTTAGAAGTCAGACTGATGGCAAACTGATTATTTACATTGGGAGGGCACCAGGACAATCCTTGCACCATAACCACGACAGTGCTCGGAATGTTCCTTGAAATGTATAAATGGCATTTACTCTGCTGAGGAAACGCCACTTTCTGGGAAGTGACGGTGCAATCAACAGGCACAATTAGAACTAAATCTAAAAGGTAAATGATACTCCAAAATATTCCCCATTTGAGTGAGTAGGTCTCGCAATATTCAGATTTTGTTTCTCCAGAGCGAGCTTTTAAATCGGGTATCAAAGCTGATCACATTTACTCCTCTGCCTATTTCTTCACCTCCTGCTGTCTAAATAAACATTTGGTTGTTCTATAAAGTAAGTGAGTTTAATATGGTTAAGCTAATTTCTATAATGATTTCCATCATCCTTTACACCAGTGATGGGAAATGTAATTAAGAACATGTGGAATACCAAGATAAGCCATTGCTGCTCTGCTTGTTTGAGCAGGGTTCCTGCATGCCTGAATAGGATTATTTACTTGTATGTTTAATTTAGCAGTTGTACAGCTCTCTCGCCGCTCTGTAATTACTATAACCGCGTTTAATTCTATCGATGCTTTTACACTGTTAGGATTATTCATTAAAGTGAGAATTCAAAGTGAAATTTAAATTTAAGGCCTAGGTAGTCAAACGGGAACAGTAACCAACTTACAGAATTTTTCCTATTTACCCTTTCTAGTCCTAAAAAGGACACTATAGGCACCCAGACCACTTCAGCTCATTGAAGTGATCTGAGTGCATATTCCTAGGTCCCTTAACCCTGCAAAGGCAATTGCTGCAGCTTTTAATAAAGCTTTGAGGGTTAAACGACCACTATAGGCACCTAGACCACTTCAGCTTAATGAAGTGGTCTGGGTGCCAGGTCCAGCTAGGTTTAACCCTTTTTTTTTTTATAAACATAGCAGTTTCAGAGAAACTGCTATGTTTATATTAGGGTTAATCCAGCCTCTAGTGGCTGTCTCATTGACAGCCGCTAGAGGGCTTCCGCGCTTCTCACTGGGATTTTCTTGCCGCGCATGCGCATTCAGCCGGTGACGGGAGGAGAGGAGGAGGAGAGCTGCCCGGCGCTGGAGAAAGAGGTAAGTTTAACCCCTTCCTCTCCATCCAGCCCGGCGGGAGGGGAACGAGTATAGTGCCAGAAAAACGAGTATGTTTTCCTGGCACTATAGTGGTCCTTTAACTCCACCTCTAGTGGCTGTCTACCAGACAGCCACTAGAGGGACTTCTGGTTCATTAGGTAACTTTTGGTGACCTGACGCTGTACGTCCTCACGCTATGTATGAGGCCATTCAGCGTCACCCGACAACCAGAGGAAAGCAATGTATAATGCTTTCCTGTGGGGAAGAACTAATGATAGTGCGACCATTGCACATTAGGTATCTCCTGCCGGCTGATGTCTGTGGGGGAGGAGCGGAGACAGAGACCCGTTTTTTGACCCCGTTTTTAAACCCTTCTGCACCACTGGGTGGGAGGGTTGGACATAGGGGGGCACTATATGGAGCTTATAGTGCCAGTAAAAAAACTATAGTTTCCCTTTAAACCTTGGAATTCCCTTTGAATTCTCACCTTAGCGGATAACCTTGTGTGTGTTTTTTATACCACCATTTGAAAGTCTTTTTCTATTTTTGATACCCAGGTGGATATGATGGGAGCACATTTTTGGACAGTGTTGAGTGTTACGACCCGGCCACGGACGTATGGACAGAAGTTACTCATATGATGTCAGGACGCAGTGGTGTCGGTGTAGCCATTACCATGGAGCCGTGCCGTACCGTGGAGCCACGTGGGAGTCTTTTCTCAGAGAAACCCAAAGATGTCTACCTCCAAGAGAAAGCCACTGCGAGTGGCTGCTGTTTTTCATCACACCGAAAAAAATAAGGCTAATAAGAAAATAATGAGTTAACTAACAGTTGTTCAGTGTTAAAGAATACAATTGGATTTGGTTTTTAATCCGCAGGTTAGAAGACTTGTCTTAAAACAAAAAAAAAAAACTTAACAGAAACATGTACAGATGGTGCCATGGAAACCAGCGACTTTTTAAGGCCATATGCGATATTAAGAATACAATGTGCAGCGTTTTTTTGTTTGCTTTATTTTCCCCCTGTGCCTTTCATTAACGTGATATCTGGTCATAACAATATCTTTACATTAAGCATTAGGGATTGGCAATTTGTTTGTCTTAACATTTTTATTTTATTTTTAGATTGTTCAGCAGTTGAAAATCATTTTAATAATCACTTTTGACGTGGGAGTATTTGGGGTCTAACGTCTGAATTCGTCACAAAATGGGTTGATTAAACAAAATATATATTTATATGCTGAATCATCTTAAAAAACAATGTTAATACAACTTGCATAGACTATTTATTTTTATTTTTTATAATGCTGTATTTTTTTCCACACTTACCCTGTCTGCTTTTAAAGGTTCATTCCTTTCCCAGCATGCAAAATGTAGCAAATATCCAGGATTGGTATCCATGCCATTAAAAGTGTAAAAATAAAAATAACAATAAATCTTAAAGGAAAACTACCATTCTCCCCCCAATACTGAATATAAGATGCCACGTAGTATAGCACTGTATTACTTTGTAATCAACACCTATAAATATTAATAAATAAATAATCGTTCAGTGCATCTTCTGGCTAGCCTTGATCTGTGAGAGCAGCCATCTTTAGTCCGCTGTTCATAATCCCACTTACCAGCCCATGCCATGCTCCAATTGCATTTTAAATGCTGGACATTTGCATGTTAGGTCAGGATTTGTAAATGCGCTCTAGCTCTTGATTATATACATGTTTTTGGACAAATAGAACTTAACATGGTCTCACCCTTACACCGAGGTGCATTGAAACGAGGTAAATACTTTATATGTATACATTACAAAGTAATGGGCTATAATACATGTAAAATTTTATTTTCAATAGTCTTAAACATAATTTTCCTTTTAACACCTTTTCCTTCTTGTCTGACATTAGTTTGTGTTGTCTGAAGAGCTTTAGCAAACATAAATCTGTGCTCAACGGTTTATCATGGTTGGTGATCCGCATGCTCGGTACATCAGCGCGGCTTTCCGTTCAAGTAAATGGAAGCACGTCTGGCTGTATTATGTGTGCCAGTGCAGTTTCATGTCATTTCTATGAAGTGTAGTGGCCCATGTAGAGAGTATTGAGCAACCAGAGTTTCTATGGGCATCAGTACCAGTGATCTGTTGCAGAAAAGACACATCTAGAGGCTAGTATCGTTTTAAATATTTTTGGCCTTTTTTTCCCTCCTTTCTAATGGATTTCCAACTAAATACTGTGGAAGGTGGTAAAATTCCTCCAAATCCTCCCTGCAGAGTCCATATAAAATGCAAAAGGGGTGGCACCTAGGCTTGAAAATAATTTTATGGTTCAAATACTTGGATATTCCAATTTTGCAATTTCTAGTGTAGTGGATGATCCTGACCATAACTGCCTACCAAAGATTCATGGGAGCTTATAGATTTACAAATGCAGGCAACTCCTTTCGTGAATCCTATCAAACAAGTCACTGATAGACCTGGTGAAACAATGTTCCATATTGGCTGAAAATCTGTAAATATAAATTAACTTTTTTTTTTTTTTTTTCTCTTTTAAAACTTATCTTGCAATATATTTGAACTTTTTTTTTGCATTTTTATTTATCTGCTGATATTATTGTGACCGAATATGTGAAATTTGAGGTTTTTTTTTTTTTTCTTCTGTTCAATGTAAAGTCTAACATTTTATATTATTGCATAAATCTCTGAAACTCTCCACAAAAATTATGTATACACAGACCCGCCACCTTCAAAGCTTTAAGTTAATAGAGCGTAAACTGTCACTGAGTTAATAGTTTTCATTAAGCTATCTTTTCTAATAGCATATCTGCTATAAACCTGAGCTACTCATTCAATATGGCCACTTTAGCGTTTTCCTAAACTAGTTTTTCTTAACCTTTTTAATAATAGCAGATTGTCGAGAAAAATCAAACCAAATCGCAACATCATCTGCCGTAACGGTGGTAGAAAAATGCTCCATTTGAAATTTATACCCAAATTACCTGTTCTATAATGGTTTTATTAGCAGGTAGAATTAAATCTATTTTAAAAAGTATTAAAGGCACTTTTATGATAAACATGTCAATCCTGATTTATAGACATCCTAATTTTATTTTATACGTTGCACCAGCAAACGTATAAACGAGTAGTTGATAGGAACAAGTTACATGTATGATAGTAACTTGACGCCCCGTTTTTTCATTTGTAAAATTATCTCCGTGATCCATTCTTCAGTTTTAATGCAATATAAAAAAAAAAAAAAAAAAAAATTGCAAAACTACTTCATTAAACTCTACCCAGTGGTATGGTGCTTTTGATTGGTTGTCCACTGGAAAAGCAAGTGGACCTACAACCACTGGTAAAAATATAAATATTTATTTACCTGTGCATTTATGCTGCGGAACTTCTCTATGGAAGAAAAACGACAAGCTGCAATGCTGCAGCCATCTTGGAGGAGGCAGACTTGATGTTAGGATGTACATCTGATGGCAATTTTTCTAGCACAATGTAAATATTAAATATTTTGATCTTCCTGAAGGGACAGTTCATTTATTGTGTGGAATATAAAGTCCTTTTTTTTTTTTCAACTGCTGAGCCTTCTGTATTAATGGTGTATGGACATTTTTAATATTTTATGAAAACTTTCCTTTATTTCAGGCAACAATAAATTAAGGGATTGATTTTAATGTGAGTTTGCTTTGTATATTATAGCAGATTGTTGTTCGTCTGTCCCATGTGAAAGTGACTTTTTTTACTTAATGACAGCCAGACTCCCATTGAGTCAATGATGTTTCCATTAGGTGCTGTATTGTAAAGAATGGCGAAATTCAATCCAAGCATACATTTTAGCATCATTGGTATACTTTTGAATTGAAAATAGCTTTATGAAAGGTCTATGCTGTATAAAAAGATATACACAAGGACTGAATATACATTACTCAATTGCTCAAGCAATGCAAATAATAATGTGCAGCTATGCTACCATAACTACCTTCTGGAATCCTTGAGTGTATTGTATCGCGACTCGTGTCCTACAGCTAAATGTAGTAATTATGGGAAGAGAACGTCAGCATCTACAGTATGTTGTAAAAGGGACCAAACAAAAGATCAGGCAATGTTTTGGGTCTATACTCCAGCTAATTCACAAACATTTGTCTCAATAAGTTGGGAGCTCATTTTTGATGACCAAATAATCCGATCTTTCCTCAAACCATATCTTAGCAAGTCCATTTGTGACCTGCTAACCCAGTTAAATCAGGTTCTCCTGCCTGTTTAAGAAGGACCTGGAAAATTCTTGAACATATTGAAGTCTACTCCGTTTTGTTAATGCTTGCTGAAGTGTTGTAGGGGCTAAAGCGTCCCCTCTTTGTGACTTTATAAAATTGCTGATTTTAATTGAAACCACCATATCTATTAAATGCCATGATCGTACCATCTTGATTGTCAATAAGACAGAGAGGGAGTGCTGTTCCCAATTGCTTTATACACCAGCTCAAAGGGAATAACTGTGCCTCTCGGAGAGAGGCATTGGATTCAATGTTTCTCAATGCAAAGCATCACATGTTCAACACAGCTATTACCGATCATGATCTCTGCATTCTATCCACGATTGGCCGGAAACCGATTGGTACTGATTAGTTCCTGGCAGGAACAGCAGTGCTAACGCTAGGATTAGTCTTGTGCAGGATTACTGATTTATTCACAGGAAAGGTCTTGCCACGATAAACAAATATATGGAACGTTCCTTAAGGAATGTAAAGGTGGATCTGGCTTATCCAATCTGAGTTCTAGGTCACTCCTTGGCTTATTCCTTTTAGTCAGCCATCAGTCTAAAGGCTAAAAAATTTTTTAGCTCATCATAAACAGAATAAGCGAACCCTTGACAGCCACCAAACTGAACATTTAAAACCTATTGATATTGTCAGTTGTTGACTTATTCAGCATATTGAGCTGATAGGAGTCAAACTAATTCTAAAAATATAGGCAACTCCTCACTTCCATATAGTGACAGTCTTTGTCTCTCCAATTCGCTCATAATTAAAATTAATCTCAATTTACGAGTAACACAATGACATGAACCTGACCACCTTATGTAAGCTCGTTCACTATAATTAGTTTGTTTATAAACTTGGGTTGATTTAATCAGATTTTACCATACTTTCTATGTTTACCTTTTTATTCATTTCTTTATTATTTTATCAATCTCTTCTCAATTTGGTTTAGGTAATGTTCATTACAAATCATTATTCAGTTTGTGGATAGCTGAATGTTCACTTGTAAATTATAACAGAAAATACTATAACTGTAAGACAAGCGTATACATATGCTAGCTAAATGTACATAATTATAATATTTAATTCTATTTTGTGTATCTTCTTAACAAACAATGTTTTTGCTTTTGCACAAACTGCCCAAATTGTTAATAAAACATTTACAAACTGAAAAAGTGACTTTTTTAAACCTCTATATATTTTGCCCCTAGCTTGGACTGAGCTCTCTATCCTTCTTGTTGAAATAGCTTTGCTATAGCTGTGCCCATTGCAAGGTGGTAGAGGAGGGTTCTCCTGTTCTTCCATCAATCCTCTGCATGAACCCGGTGGGGGAGGGACCACATTATATAGAGCAGTAACAGTTTGACTGTCTGTGCAGGGCATGAAGCAAGGAAGACCATAGAGACTGTCAGATTGAAACATTGTCCGACTGTAGGTGTATGTATATGGCTGAATGATCCTTTCGCGTACTTTAGGCAGGGATGAGATTCTCACATTTTTCTTTTTTTATTAACATAAGGTAAATTTAAATAAAAAATATTGTTTCAATGCTTGATGAAAGGATTATTATATTAAATATTTTTGTGGTGACTGTTGTCACTTAAGCTGTTCTCTGGATCACTTATTTAAAGGTTTACTTCAGCCTTTTTTAAGTGTTGGGGTTTTTAGTTTATAATATGCCCTATGTGGCATTTTTTTTCCAATAGGTTCCCCCCTTTAAAACATGCAAAAAAAGTGATACATGTACCTGTAATCCAGAGTTGGACAAAGCTCCGAGCACTGCCCCTGAGTCCTCTTTCCAATGCCATCTCTGCCCTCGGGAGGTTTCAGAGAGAAGCATTTGATTAGACTGTTTCACTGGCTCAGCGTGCATGCGTGTGTTCTGAACCAGGGAGAGGAAAGAACAGGGAAAAACAACTAGACGAGCACAGAAGGATGGGAGATCAAGTTTAGAGCTGCCTAAATCATGTGTGCTGGGAGTGCAACTAGCCCCCAGCACAAAAACAACAACAAAAAATACATCTGTTTCAAGCAGAAAGGCTGCACATACAGACTCCACCACTGTGACCACTTGAAATCTCTGAAGTAGTCATGGTGGTTGAAGTAACCCTTTAAGTATATGTATATGACCTTAACCCCTTAAGGGCACAACTTCTGGAATAAAAGGGAATCCTGATGGAATATTTCTGTCATGTGTCCTTATGGGGTTGAACTGCATTGCTATGTTTAGCATGTTATGAATCTATATGCCAGAATTTCTTTTAGAGACTGGTTTGGAGCATAATTATTGCCGTGAAGAGTAAATAGAATTGTTTTTTGTTTTTTTTTTTTGATGGGAGGAGGAAGTGTTGTGTTGCCTCAAGTTGGAAACCCCTGTGTGAGATGTTGGATCATCTACTTTCTGTTTTTTTCACCAGATGGCAAGATTGGAGAGGTCCCAGTTATTAACCTGTAGGGGTATCACGGGGGAGAAGCAAAAATGTTAAATATATGTACGACATTACCATACCTGTCCCTTTTTTGTCTTGAGCTCAGGGGCTGAAATACCAACACTGCCCGAATTGTAGTATCAGGAATCGCTATAGACCTACTCAAGAGTAGGGTTGGTATTATCTCAGGAATCCTCAGCTCTCTTGATAGAGTGAGAAGAAATACAGCTTTATTGGGGGGGAGGGAGAAATCAGGGTAAACACACAACAACCAATCTCCTTCACCCCTCAGTTTTCCTCTATTGTTGTCACATCATGAGGTTTGATATCTCACTGTGCCGATCTTTCTTTCTGATAGGCCATCCTGGCATCAAGTAATTTGTCTTATTTCCACCAGAATATCTTCTTTAATCCCTCAAGCCCTGGGTGTTGGTTAGCTCTTTTCTGCCACCCACTCAGTCACAGGGGCGGAAGTGACATGTATTTTAGTTTTTACCAGGTTGCTGTGATATTTCTACCTGTGTCAACATTAAAATAGAAACATAGAATGTGACGGCAGATAAGAACCATTCGGCCCATCTAGTCTGCCCAATTTTCTAAATACTTTCATTAGTCTTCCAAGCTATACATGTTAAGATCCTTTAACCTTTCCTGGTAAGTTTTATCCCGCAATCCATGAACCAGTTTAGTAGCCCTTCTCTGAACCCTCTCTAAGGTATCAATATCCTTCTGAAGATACGGTCTCCAGTACTGTGTACAATACTCCAAGTGAGGTCTCACCAGTGTTCTGTACAATGGCATGAGCACTTCCCTCTTTCTACTGCTAATACCTCTCCCTATACAACTAAGCATTCTGCTAGCATTTCCTGCTGCTCTATTACATTGTCTGCCTACCTTTAAGTCATCAGAAATATTCACCCCTAAATCCCTTTCCTCATATGTTGAGGTTAGGACTATCAAATATTCTGTACTCTGCCCTTGGGTTTTTACGTCCAAGATGCATTATATTGCACTTATCCACATTAAATGTCAGTTGCCACAATTCTGACCATTTTTCTAGTTTACCTAAATCATTTGCCATTTGGCTTATCCCTCCTGGAACATCAACCCTGTTACATATCTTAGTATCATCAGCAAAAACACATACCTTACCATCAAGACCTTCTGCAATATCACTAATAAAAATATTAAAAAGAATGGGTCCAAGTACAGATCCCTGAGGGACCCCACTGGTGACAAGTCCAAGATTCGAATATATTCCATTAACTACAACCCTCTGTTGCCTGTCACTCAGCCACTGCCTTACCCATTCAACAATATTGGAATCCAAACTTAAAGATTGCAGTTTATTAATAAACCTTCTATGTGCAACAGTGTCAAAAGCCTTACTGAAATCTAGGTAAGCAATGTCTACTGCACCACCCTGATCTATAGTTTTAGTTACCCAATCAAAATAATCAATAAGATTAGTTTGGCATGATCTCCCTGAAGTAAACCCATGTTGTCTCTGATCTTGAAATCCATGTGTTTTTAGATGTTCAACAATCCTATCCTTTAGCATGGTTTCCATCACTTTCCCCACTACTGAAGTAAGACTTACTGGCCTATAGTTGCCCGACTCCTCCCTATTACCTTGTAAATGGGCACAACATTCGCTAACTTCCAATCTTCTGGGACTACTCCTGTTAACAATGATTGGTTAAATAAATCTGTTAATGGTTTTGCTAGTACACCACTAAGCTCTTTTAATAGCTTTGGGTGTATTCCATCAGGTCCCATTGACTTATTTGTCTTTTACTTTTGACAGTTGAAATAGAACCTCTTCCTCTGTAAACTCACGTGTAATAAATGACTCATTTATCCTTTTTTTCAACTGAGGTCCCTTTCCTTCATTTTCATCTGTAAATACAGAACAAAAATATTCATTGAGGCAGTCAGCTAGACCTTTATCCTCTTCTACATACCTTCCTTCTTTTGTTTTTAATCTAACTAAACCTTGTTTTACTTTTCTTTTCTCATTTATGTATCTAAAAATGTTTTTATCCTCTTTTAGCTCTGTCCCTGTCTGCCTGCTGACATCATCAGAAGTGGTGGTCTGAGCCAATCACAATGCCCATAGGATTGGCTGAGACTGTCAAGGAGGCAGAGCCAAACACAGCCCTGGCCAATCCGCATCTCATCATAGAGATGAATTGAATCAATGCATCTCTATCAGGAAAGTTCAGTGTCTGCATGCAGAGGGTGGAAACACTGAATGGCAGTGCTGCTCACTGTGCAGCACTGCCACAGGAAACACCTCTAGGAACCATCTGAGCAGTGGCCAGTGGAGTTATCACTAGGCTGTAATGTAAACACTGCATTTTCTCTGAAAATACAGTGTTTACAGCAAAAAGCCTGAAGGGAATGATTCTACACACCAGAACAAATTCAATAAGCTGTAGTTGTTCTGGTGATTATAGAGTCCCTTTAAATTGTATTCAAAATAATTCAAACCATGTCCCTAAAAGAATAAAAACGACTTAAAATTTTAATTTTGAAAAATAATAGTAGCTTTTATTAATGTTTCAGATACACAAATATGTACAGTACAGAGAATACTTCAGGGTTTTGCTGATCAGCTAGCATGCTCCTGTGTGAGCATGTATTTTATAAAAATATAAAATAATTTCTTCAGTTTTTGCTAAATGTTGATCAAGATTAAAACAATTGTTAAAAGGTCAATGTGTCACACATAAGCTACATGGAGAATTCCATTTCATGTATTTTAATGGATGAACAATATGCCAAGATGAACATGCTTAGAGGTCAAGGGTAATTCATGGTGATTATTGGCCTCTGGGAACTTGGACTAGCTCTTGAAATCAGCGTTTTCCGTAGGTTGAGTTGCACTCACATGAAAAATAAGTAGAAGAACAGGCATCTTTTCAGAAATGACTGTGGTACGTGCCATGCACAACATTTAGGTGCAATTATGTTGTCAGAGTCTCACGCCTTAATAAAATTTTTTAAAAAAAAGTATTTAATATATAGGTTTGTGATGTCACCAGTCCGTTGACAGAAGGCTCCATAGATAATCACAAATGAAAATTCGGGAGTGTTGGGTGCTGTCAATACTGATTGGCTGAGCAATCTCCCCTCCGTAGTGGACTGAAGATTTTTTTTTCTGGTCAAGGAAAGTATGGAAACATGAAAATTGTTTGTGCCGTGCCAATTTGCTGATCAAATGGTATGAAAAATTAATGTAGTCAGAAATAACGCCAAATTATCAGAAATAATGTCCCTTACAAACATATTCAAATATCTCCAATAGATGGAGAGGTTTCTATAGTTTACAGCACTAGCAACTTGTTTATTCATGCCAACTAACCGGATGAGGAAGGCTGAACTTGATAAACACGTCTCTTTACATCCTTTGTAACTATGAGCATTACGCAAAACATGTGGTAGTTACCGCTGACAAGCACTATGCAAGATGTGTGTAGGGGAGCAGTTTATATTAGCCTTGTGTTATTGGATAAGATAGAAATGTTAGCAGTTGGATTTTTCTTTTCTTTAATTATGGCTCTGCTTATTTTCCTGCCTGCCTCTGTAAATCTATCAGCTCCTTTCGCTTCAAATATCACTTCTATTCGGACGTCACGCAGATCTATCTGTCCTCTCCTGATCTCTCGCCATTCCTCTCGACTCGTGTCACTGACTGCCTCTCTGCTATTTCTAACTGGATGGCTGCCCACTTCCTTAAACTCAACCTGTCCAAAAATCATTACAGACTAGGAGCATATCAATTAAACTGTTAATAGCGTTCCTTCCCCACATCTTGGTAAACCAGGCTGCAACCGTCATCCATAAAACTAACACTTCATTGTAAATTAGTCTATCAATTTACATGAAATACAACGTAACCATATCTTTTGTGTCTCTTTATCCCACTCCCGCTAGAATGCAAACTCATTTGAGCAGGGCCCTCAACACCCTCTGTTCCAATGCATCTTACTCGTCTTGCTGCAAATACTTGTCTGTTAGTCCAACTATTGTACAGCACTGCAGAATTTGTTGGCACTTTATAAATCACAACAACAGCCAATAAATCAGGACATATTGGCTTTTCTACGATAATCAGTTCCCAAGGATGCCCACTGGTGGCTAACTAATAGAATTAGGTAATATTTTGTGTGTAATTGGTATGAGCACAGGATTTTAATATTAATATTTTTAATGTCAAGTTATATGCGTTCCATCTGTTTTCACTTTTTGTCCAATTATTTAGGTTTTGTGATTACTCCCTTCTTTTAGGTAACTGATTGGGTAAACATTTTCATTAAAATTGTAGACTATGTTATTTTATTACTAAAATAACCGGAAAAGTTATTATTCTGGTTACAAATATTAAAAACCAGCAAAAAGGAGTCTTTATGTTTAAAAATCATGATTTAAATCGAGTCTTAATGACTAGTGATTTCATTCAAAACCGTTTGGGTGTAAACAGGGAGACATACATATCATTCAACCCTCCACAATATAGTATGGTTGGCCAGAAACTTGATACTGAGAAACAGTTTTCTACTTAATGGTGTACTCCAACTCTAATAAGAAATATGTTTTTTTCTGAAATAGCCCCCCTGTAAAAAGCTTTAACACTTACCTTAATCTTAGTCCTGACGTCATCCCGGCACTCGTATGGTCTAATCACAGGCTTCTCATAGAAAAGCCGTTTTGCCGGCCTAGAGCGCATGCGTGCAAGGTCAGGGAGGAGGGATATTTTAATTTAAAAAACCAACAAATACAAGTTATGAAGGAAAGCAGAGGGGAGCGCACAGTGGAAGGGAGGGAACAACTATCATCCCCTTGCAGGCACAGAATTGAGGTTAGGAAGTCCAGAACTCTGTTCCAGGCTGCCCAAGGCACGTATGCTGAGGTGCAACTAGCCCCCAGCACACAATTAATAATAAATCTGCATGAGCAGTATGTCAAGCACTTCAAATCACTGAAGTGCTCATGGTGGTTGGAATAACCCTTTAATGTGAGAAAATTCTTCGGAACATGGCAATCTGAACAGCATGTGGATCTGTGCCAGTATGCATTCTGTCAGACACATGCATAACGGCACATTGCACGAACAGCTCTCATATATGTGAATGTTGTACAGTGACAGCATGCGCAAGTTAGGAATTTCATGAGCTGTGTGAATGTGGGAATAACCACAAATGGTGGTAAGGATACTGCCTTTAATGAGAGTGGAGTCACAGTTGTAATCCCAGTCAATCTTTGTTACGTTATGAAACAGTTTTGCCAAATACCTGCAAAAAGAAAACACAAAGTGTTAAACATCACTATAATATCATGGTATCCCAGGCAGGTTAAAGGAACACCCCCTCGTCCCCCAAACGCATGCATTTATTAATCTTCTGTCTCCAGCCTTTACAAGCACTCCCCTTTTTTTCCCAGCATCTGTGCCAAGGAAATTACCAAAAGGATTGAGTTGCAAGTACACACACGCACTTTCCTGCTCAGTGAAGGGGGAGCCCTGGGAGGTCTAGGTAAAATGGAGCTTGTGATGCTTGTGGGAGAAGGTAGGCGCACTCTAGCATTGTGTGCCTGCCACTTAGTGGAGCTAACTGAAGAGGAGGAAAACCTCCGTGGCTGTTTGATTGACATTTAGGGAGGTGTTTCCTGATTTATATAAGTGCCAATTTCTCACTTTTATAAAGTGCAATTAGGATGTGATATTCTTCACACATACATTATGTGTATGGACTAGTCATTTAAATAAACACTCCAAAGAAGCATTTAAGGAATCAAATATTTTTAGAATGGTTTTACTTCTAACTGGGATCTGCTAGGCACCTCTCTCCACCCTCTCTACAACTCAGTTGATTGTTATCAGACAATGAGTGAAACAAAGAATAAATAATCATAAACATAGAAAACATAATTTAGTATGATGACCACCATTCTATATAATGCACCATATTTATGTATCAGATTTGCGAATCACACTGGCTCATTACAGCTGATATATTAAACACAGCTCTGACATGCCATATAGATGCAATTTCTAAACCACACATTGACTGAACAATAACAATTAAGAAGATCTGTATGGTTTGTGTAAGGCTGCTTAATGGCACTGAATGCATTCTTATCAACAGGACAACACATTTAATGATTCGGATTCTATTTGGTGAGTGGGACAAAACATTGCCCGTTCCTCTTGACGGTTTGTAATAGACAATGTGTTAGACTCTTTGAAAGGGACACTGTAGGCACTGCAACTGCTTCATCTCATTGAAGCAGTTATTGTGTATGGAGTCCCCTGGTACCATCCCGTTTTTAATGTTTTACTGATAAACAAGTGTCTCCAGCAGCCCATCCCCTCCATGCTGCTTTGGCTAATGATGAAGCAGCCCCAGCAGTACTGGATGGCTGTGATTGACTGCGAGTGTCAGCTGACCACTTTCGACCTATCACAGTGCCAAATGGTGGTATAAATTGGCATGGCTAGAAGAAAAAGTGTAATCTACGCCTTAGCCACAACTCCACTGCTGCCGGTCACAGACCGTTATTTAACACTGAATGGATAGAAAGGACCAGCAGAACCTAGAAACTAGTCAATTCAAACAGTGAATTCAAAATCGATTTCAAATTGTAGGCCAAAATGGAAAAATTCTCCAAGTTTGCTATTCATTCACTTAGGAAGTTTTAACCTACAATTTGAAATTTACACTTCAGTGACTAACATTAACAAAGAGGTTTCCAAATAAAAAAACCTGGAAAAGGTACGCACAGTGCAGATGGTATTATTACAGTAGTATCTTCATTTGATTCTTTATCCAGGTCTGCAATCTCTTCCTCCATTACCTTCAGGTCATCCATATCTTTTTTTAAGAATGTATTAAAATTTAAGGAAAAAAAAATATTGAAATTTACCCCTGGAAGCGGGAGCAAAGGTAAGTCACATTTAATAGAAAGTCGGATAAATGGACTATCAAGTCTGAATTTCTCATACATGTCCCCAAGAGCCTTTAAGTCTGTGTCACCCTGTGAAGGGAGGGATCATATATGTATCTCTGTCTGTGTCACCCTGTGATGGGAGGGACAAACTCCATGTCCCATAGCTCCCTCCTGTCTGTGTCACACTGTGCTGGGAGGGACAGACTCCATGTCCCATAGCTCCCTCCTGTCTGTGTCACCCTGTGATGGGAGGGACAAACTCCATGTCCCATAGCTCCCTCCTGTCTGTGTCACCCTGTGCTGGGAGGGACAGACTCCATGTCCCATAGCTCTTTCCTGTCTGTGTCACCCTGTGATGGGAGGGACAAACTCCATGTCCCATAGCTCCCTCCTGTCTGTGTCACCCTGTGCTGGGAGGGACAGACTCCATGTCCCATAGCTCCCTCCTGTCTATGTCACCCTGTGCTGGGAGGGTCAGACTCCATGTCCCATAGCTCCCTCCTGTCTGTGTCACCCTGTGCTGGGAGGGACAGACTCCATGTCCCATAGCTCCCTCCTGTCTGTGTCACCCTGTGATGGGAGGGACAAACTCCATGTCCCATAGCTCCCTCCTGTCTGTGTCACACTGTGCTGGGAGGGACAGACTCCATGTCCCATAGCTCCATCCTGTCTGTGTCACCCTGTGCTGGGAGGGACAGACTCCATGTCCCATAGCTCCCTCCTGTCTGTGTCACCCTGTGCTGGGAGGGACAGACTCCATGTTCCATAGCTCCCTCCTGTCTGTATCACCCTTTGCTGGGAGGGACAGACTCCATGTCCCATAGCTCCCTCCTGTCTGTGTCACCCTGTGCTGGGAGGGACAGACTCCATGTCCCATAGCTCCCTCCTGTCTGTGTCACCCTGTGCTGGGAGGGACAGACTCCATGTCCCATGGCTCCCTCCTGTCTGTATCACCCTGTGCTGGGAGGGACAGACTCCATGTCCAATAGCTTCCTCCTGTATGTGTCACCCTGTGCTGGGAGGGACAGACTGCATGTCCCATGGCTCCCTCCTGTCTGTGTCACCCTGTGCTGGAGGGGACAGACTCCATGTCCTCCTTCCTATGTCACCCTGTATTTGGACGAGATATGTTCCATCTCTCCATGGCAAAATAAATATTACCTACATACACCCTCACTTATTCATGAGGAATTTTAGGGGCATCCTAAAGTGTACAAGATACAACAAATACAGGGTGCGCTAAGTTGGACAATGAAAGATAATAAACAAAAATCAGCAATAATATAAAGAGTCACGAGCATTTTTAACCGCGGGAGTGGGTTGAGAGGGAGTTTTAGAGTGACAGGAGGTGGGCGGAGCCGGCAGATTGCCGTGAGCGCCGCAGGGCAGGGTGGGGAGTGTAGTTATGATCGTGTCAGTTTGCAGGACGTGATCAGAGGGAAGAGGGGGTGGTCCTAAGCGGCCGAAAGTAGGAGGGAGTGATTGTAATCACTCTTCTCGTAGGAACAAGAAGGGGGATAGAAAATAGCAGGGAAGTGGGATGAATACGTAGGTGGCCATTTTACTTAAAGGCAAAGGAGTTAAATAGTCTAGTGATGGGGGATAGGGGCAGGGTGAAATAGTGAAACATATATAAACATACAGACTCCATATGAAAACAAAAATAGATTGATTAAGCCATAGGAGCTAATAAAATAAAATGAGAAATAAATAAAATAGACCCTATACACAGATAAATAGAGGGTAATGAATAATAATAAAAGTACACTATTATTAAGAAAAAAAGGGAATAATAATATAATATAGCATAAAGCACCAGTATAAACAATTATAAAAAATTAAAAAGGTCAAAGTCTGCATTTAGACCTTCAGGGGTTAATGTCTTCAAGTTAAAAACCCATTCCATTTCTGATTTTCCCAGAATATTTTTTTATATTGCCACCCCTCCATGGGATATTACATATTTGGATAGGGGTGAATTTAAGAACATTAGGGTTTTTTTGGTGATGTGTTAAAAAGTGCTTACACGCTGTATGATTCTCAAATCCGTTCCTGATGTTACGGCAATGCTCGGATATCCTAGTTTTTCAAAATCTGGACGTCATGCCCACGTACTGGAGGCCACAAGGGCACTCCAGTAGATATATAACATTTTTAGTGCAGCATGTGATAAAATGTTTAATATTGTAACTTATATTGGTAATATTAGATTTGAATTCAGTGATCTTATTAGGGACTGACATTTGGGTAGTCTTGCAGACGATACATTTCCTGCACTTAAAAAAACCTTTAACATTAGACAGAGTGGATGGTGTTTTTTTTGTGTGAGTCTTAGTGAAATTTTTGGTTAAAAGAGTTTTAAAATTAGGAGCACCTCTAAAAATGATGTTGGGTTTTTCTGGAATGATCTTATTGAGAACGGGGTCTTCAGATAAAATGTGCCAGCGTTTCTGGATCGTTTTCCTTATGTCCCTATTCTTATAGTCAAATATTATGGGGATAGATGGGGTAGTATTAATACTTTTATTTTTATATTTCAGCAGGCTACTCCTGTCATTAGACTTGATTTTAGTAAGTATGGTGTGAAATTTGTCCTCTGGATAGTGTTTTTCTAAAAAAATTGTTTTTTTAAAATGTTGCTTTGTTCATAAAAATCTTCGTTGAGTGTGCAATTTCTTTTTAGTCTTAAAAATTGGCGTTTAGGAGCACTTTCCAGCCAAGGTGTGTGATGACAGCTATTTTGATCAATGACTGTGTTAGTACACACTTCTTTTAAAAAAAGTTTTTTTATTTCATTTTCCTTCTTTAATAAAAAAATTTACATCTAAAAAGCTGATTTCTTCTTTGCTAGATTCTGAGGTTAAAACAATGCCTCTGTCATTCTGGTTGAGGTGTTCTAAAATAAAAGGTTTAAGGGAGCTATCGGTACCTTTCCAGATAAAAAAATAGGTCGTCGATAAGGTCATCCTAAAGTGTGATGTCACAGACATGATGTGCTTACTATGTCCGCTTTCACTGTTTATTAGAGCTCAAAAGGATATTTATAGTTTGTTTCCAGGGAGGCGTTCTTCTCACAGGCATCTCGTAGCTCCTTCTCAATTTTCTGCAGTTTGGTTAAAGTCTTCTGCTTCTCTTCTTCTGTATCTAAAAGGGTGTGTGCTACCTCCTCCTCCACAGACATGAGAGCTGAAAGAAAAGTTTTTATTTTGTTATCATCATGTCAATTTATTTTACATATCCATACGGATTTCTTTAATCACTGGATCGTCATCTCGTCTCCTTTTTACTATAATAACCGTCTACTTGGGAAATTCTTCTGTATTTTGTTCCGCTACCAGCGGTACTATATTTTATCTAAAAGACCAGAATTTACCCAAACACTTTGGACAGTTCATATTGATTGTTTATATTTGTGTACTTAATTTATGTTTTTGGATATTTTACTAACTTTTCGTACTAACTTTTTAGCAGCCTTTTTTTCTTTTTGGTTTTTGTTTATATTTATTTAAAGGGTTTAGGAGGGATCCCTTTTCTTTCTGGTTTGCTGCCTCTCCTAAACATTGGTTTTATGTTTGGCTTGCTAGATCATCTTTTTATTGTTTCCTTATATCATGTCATGCCCATAAGTTTTATTTATCAGTATATATAGAAACAAGTATACATAATATTAAAAAACCTGGGAAGCGAGTTTCCCTTTAAAGGAACACTCAAGACACATCAAACACTTCATCTTGCTGTAAATTGTCACAAATATGACAGCCTCTAGACACATACAATAGGCAATTTCAATAGAAAGTCAGCATTTTTATAACAGGGCAGAAACACATCCCTGGCTGTCACTGAGACAACGAGAGAGGTGTTCTTCCCCTTCTGTTAACCTCACAGAGCTAGTGGAAGTGGCAGCCGCGCTGGGATAACACTCGCATGCATCCCCATTCTCAATGAGTTGTAATACAGCTCGCAGCCTCTCACTGGGAAGCTTCTGATTGGTGTATTTCCAGGAACGACAAAACCTGTGCTAGGAATAAGAGAAGACTTGCAAAGGCTGCAGGTCAGCAGATTTTGCAGGCTGTTTTTAAATATACTCCCAAAGAAAATGCATGCAAGTTTTAAAAATCTTCCTTTAAAGGGACACTCCCATTGGAGTGGTCTGGGTGCCAACTCCCACTACCCTTAACCCTGCAACTGTAAATATTGCAGTTTTCATAAACTGCAATAATTACATAGCAGGGTTAACTCCTCCTCTAGTGGCTGTCTACTAGACAGCCACTAGAGGGCACTTCCTGGTTTCTAGTACAGGTTTGTGAGGACCTCCAGCGTCGCTAAAATCCCCATAGGAAAGCATTAAAAATGCTTTCCTATGGAGAGGTCTAATGCGCATGCGTGGCATTGCCGCGCATGCGCATTAGGTCTCCCCAGCCGGCGGGCGGGATCAGTCTCCCCCCCCGGCTGACGTAATGAAGGGGAGGAGCGGCGGTGGATGAAGAAGCAGCGACGTGGGACATGTCGCTGCCTTTGGTAAGTGACTGAAGGGGTTTTCACCCCTTCAGCAACCGGGGATGGGAGGTGGGAGGGGACCTGCAGTACCAGAAAAACTGATTATTTCCTGGCACTGGAGAGTCCCTTTAAGAACCGAGAGGGGAGATATTGGGGCAAGGAAACGGTACACGAGTTTTATGTGAGAGGGGAGAGACTGCAAGCATGAATGACGTACACCTAGCAGTATGAAAACTGAAAATTCTGTTTTGGTTTCACAATACCATAGTTTGTGCTAGTGACCTATAGTGTTCCTTCAAATGTAAAAACATACAAAACATTCCCAAACCTGTAAAACTCATTGAAAAATAAATCAAAGGCAAAAGATCCAGTTTAAGCCTAGTTTGAAAATGAGTCCACTAGTTCTTTTCTTACTTTACTGAAAAGTAAAAAAAATAAAAAAAATTATAATATATATATATATATATATATATATATATATATATATATATATATATATATATACACACACACACACACATCAAACCAATGCTTATCAATAATTAGTGTAGTTACCTCTAATGAGCTGTGAAGCCTTTGTTTCAGTGTCAAGGAGAGTATCGATCATCGCCTCCTGCCTGTCTAGACTTTTCTTCAGTGCTCCGGCTGCAGTGTCCGACACCATCACCTTGACTATCTCCCGACTCACTTCCAAATACTCATTCATCTGCTCACGTAACATGGTGCTGGATGTGTGAAAACAGGCCAACACACCAGAGAAGCAATTCAGAGATGGCTAGCTGAGCTGGTGGACAGATAAAGGGCAAGAGCGTTAAAAAATACAAAACCAACAAACCAAAGACATCATCTTGAATATAAAATTTTTTAAAAAAAAAACAAATCAATTTATAAAGAACAGGGAAACACCCCCGATAAAGGAAGGGAGAAGAGGGAAAAAAAGGGGCAAAACAGCAGTTTCAGGGGTGCAGGACAGGTAACAAAAAAATTCTTGCAAGCAAGGTGATGACTTCATACAAGAAATTGTTAAAGGGACACTCCACGCACCATTACAACGTTAAAGGATCACTATAAGATCAGTACCACAAACATGTATTCCTGACCCTACAGTGAAAACCCACCATTTAGGTAGCTTGCCCCCCTCCCTTAGAATGGGTTAAAACTCACCTTATTTTCAGCTCTCCACGGGTCCGCCGGTGCTGGCCCCGCCACCTTGCTGACATCAAAATTGCAGATTTTTAGCCAATCCAATGGTTTCCCATGGGAAAAGCATTGGATTGGCTAAAATCGGCAAGGGGGCGGGGCAAAACACAATTTTGGCCAATCAGCACCTCCTCATAGAGATGCATTGAGTCAATTGTCTCCATGCAGAGCGTGGGGACGCTAAACAGCAGGGTTGCTTGCTGTGCAGCCCTGAGCCATGAAGCTCCTCCAGTGGCCATTTGAGGAGTAGCCACTTGGAGGTGGCCCCAGGGGCAATGTAAACACTGCCTTTTCTCTGAAAAGGCAGTGTTTACATGAAAATACCTTAAGGGAGCTATAATACTCACCAGAATAACTACATTAAACTGTAGTTGTTCTGGTGACTAGTGTCCCTTTAATATATTTGATTTATTGCGCCCTCATTAATATGATATATTTTTGTATGCTCAAATCTTTATAGTTTTGCAGACAAAAAAAAAAAATGTTTTGCAGTCTGCAGAATTCTGCTCCATAAGCCTGCCTCCTTAGCCACCCCCCCCCCCTTATCCTAGAAAGACTTCCTTATCAAATGTATGTACACTGTCTTGGCTCGAAACAGTGCTAAGTGAGATGTTTTAATTCACAACTTGGCTGCAGACAGTCAGAGAAACTACAAACAGGTAGTGATATCTTTATACATCTCCCTGAGTGTCCTCTCCTTTTTAAAAAAAAAAAAAAAAATTTATTTTAATTCGACACATATAAAAGACAATTTCCATCGACAGTGAAAAACACAATTTTCTTCATATTGCACAACATATATAGATACTGTATTAGAGGATTCTCAATAAAAAAATAGTCCAACTCATTTCACTTTTAAACAAATGTTATCACAAAAATTTATCCCATGTAACTTAATAACGTCATTTGCCAAACAGGCTTAAACTTTACTTAACCACTCTCTTTTAAATCCAAGTGCAATATGCACAATTCTGTGTAGACAACCCTGTTTGTTACTTGCACATAAAACACTTCGATATTGGATAACTTGACATCAAATATCTTAATTACTATACTAGACATGACTCACATTACATTGACATAACTCACACTGCGTTGCAAAATCTCCTTAGGGGATTACAGTGGACCCTCTATTATATTACTTCTTAATATAATAAACCAAGAAAAATAATCTAAACACTCTGTCCAGGGGTTTGTGTATCTGAATTCTCCATTCTTTTTCTCCAAAAATTGCTGATATCTCTAATTTTATTTGTCTGATATCCTAAGGCCTCCATAGTTAGTTGATATTGAACTTGTGAGTACAGTTGGGCCTGTGTAAAAATCTCACTGCTCTTCCAACTCCTAGCAATTATTATTTTTACTGCTGCCACAAAGTGGACATATATAAATCTTTCTTTAAAATGAAGTGATTGTAGATTTAGATGGAACAGACCATAATGTATTCCAATGCCTCAAAGGCCATGCACCACAACCTTTTCACCTTACCACATTCCCACCAAATATGGCCAAAAGTCCCTTCCGTCTCATTCCATCTCCAACACGTTGGAGAATTGGAGGTATACATTTTAGTCAATCTGCGATTCATCAATTTAAATAATACCTCAAGAATACTCAAACAACGAATAGCTTTACTAGTTTGTATTAACACTTGATCCCATTCAGTCTTAAAAATCTGTATATTTAGCTCTTTACCCCACTTCTGCATGTTTACGTTCATAATTGGTGCTTCAATCTGAAGGAGAGCACTTCTTGCTTTCGAGGTTATTTGAAATACTTTCTCATTATTTATTAAAGCAGTCATTTTTTTCTAAACCCTCTATAGGTCGAGCTAACAAAAATTGTTTGATGAAACCTCTAATCCTTAAATAATTATACCACTCCTTCCTGGGTAACGAGTATTAGCCTCTCAAACAACTTAATCTTGTCTCCTAATATAATTTGATTAATATGATTTATACCTTTCCTTGACCACTCATTTGTATTTATATGCTTCATCCTTAGTTGTATAACACTGAAATTAAAGTTTCCCAGTATTTTATTACCTATGCCGCTGGCTGCTAATCCTCAGCCTTTCCCATTCCAACAAGATTGATTTCAAACAATTATTTAAAGAACAGATTTTTTTTAATTCTCTCATCTCGATTAGTTATCCATATCAGTTGATGCAATTTATCCATTTCTGACATCTCCCTTTCTAGTTGATACCAGCCCTCTTTCTCAGAACTTATGAGTTGCGTTTTATAGATATGGAACATCATATTAGCTAAATAGGTAAAATTCACATTTGGAATATTTATACCTCCATTCCTACTCTTCTGCATCAGAAGTTTTTTTTATTAATTCTTGGCCTTTTTCCTTTCCATATGAAATTATTTATTTCTCTTTGTATCATAGCTAACCATGGTTGGGGCATTCTTAAGGGGATCATGCGAAAAAGGTAAGACCATTTGGGGAGTAAATACGAATCAAGTTAATTCTTCCCCACCAGGATAATTGACCTGTCTCCATTTTTTTTAAAGACTCATGGGTTAATCTAAATGTTTTTAAGAAGTTTGTTTGCATTGTATCCCTTAAATCAGTAAATATTATTCCCAAATATGACAATTGATTTTTATCCCAGTTAAAGTTATAACGTTCCTTATGTGGAGTCTGCATTCCCTTGAGATGTTGATAGCTAAGAAGGTGGATTTAGTTACATTAATTTTGTAATTTGAGATTGAACTGTATTTATTTACTTCTTCCATCAAGGCAACCAAAGATTCGACGGGGTCGGTTAGGGTCATAATTAAATCATCCGCCTATAAGTTAAGTTTGAATTCTTTATCTCTACACCTAAAACCTTTTATTCAGGAATTATTTCTAATATTAATAGTGAGGATCTCCATTGTCATAATATACAAAGTAGGCGAGAAAGGACAGCCTTGCCGCGTTCCATTATTTAATGTAAACCATTCTGCGCATATGTTTGGAGCCACTGTTCTTGCCATTGGACCTGCATATAAACGCAAGAATTGCATTAAGCATCCATCCCCGTATACCGAATTTTTCCAAGGTTTTTCTTAAAAAAACCCAACCAACCCTGTCGAAAGCCTTCTCAGCAACAACTGCCAATAGGAATAAAGGCTTTTTATTTCTTCGGGCAGCGTCTATTAAATCTAACAGTCTTCTGGAGTTATCTACCGAATCCCTCTCCTGTACAAACCCAATTTGATCATTTTTTATGATATTAACCATTACTCCCTTTAATTTGTGGGCCAAAACTGATGAAAAGATCTTAACATCAGTGTTGATTAACGAAATGGGTCTATAATTTTCTACTTTTAAGGGGTCTTTATTTGGCTTAAGGATTGGAAGGATATTTGCTCTCAGCATTTCGGTGGGAAATTTACCTACGGACACTATTTCATTAAAAATGTTAGGTGAAAGGCTATACGATTTTTGAAAGATTTATAAAATAAATTTGAAAAACCATCTGGGCCTGGGGTCTTATCCGATTTTAAATTGCCTATTACCTCCTCCACTTCTTAAACTGTGATGGGGGTATTTAAATAATTTTTTTGTTCTAGGTGTGTCAGTTTTGCTCAGATAATCCTCCTCTATTATGAACGAGGGAGAAAGATTATACAAAGCCTCGTAATATTTATTGAATCTCTCTCCTATCTTTTTGGGGTTCAAATATTCACCATCATCATCCACTATCTTCACAATTTTACTAGATCCAATTTTATCTCTTAACTTTTTTGTCATTATCCTATCTGCTCGGTTCCCCTTATAATAAAAGTTAGACTTAAGTTTATTCAAGACCCGTGCATTTTTTTCTAGGAGGAGATTATTAATTTTATTTTGAGCTATTTTCAGGGCATGTTCCCTAGAAGGGGACTGTTTGTTCTTAATTGATGCTTTATTTAATTCTGCTTGAAACGTCAGGAGGGCTTTATTATTTTCTACTTTGTGACGTGCTTGTATACTGATTATATTGCCTCTCATGGTAGATTTAAAGGCACACCAGTTATTTATGTATGAGGTGTTGTTCGGGTCATTGACAAGAAAAAAAAATCACCAATTTGTTTATCTAATAATTCTGAATTAGTTTTATATTTTAAAAGATTATCTATACGCCAAGTTTCACGGTTGGTCTTGGCCCATTGATTTTTCATTTCCCAAATATTTATACTATGATCTGACCAGGTATTGTCAAGGATCTTAAAGTAATTAATATTTGTTAGTGCTATTGCATTTCTCCAGACCATATCTATTCGAGAGTAAGACAAATGTACTCGCAAAGAAAACGTATACTCCAGTGATTCAGGATTAAGCGTTCTCCATAAAATCAAAATAATCATAATTAATCATATTTTTCTTAATAGATTTCGCTAATGTATCTGTTCTTTTATGATGTAATAGTGTTGAAGTAAACTTATCTAGTGTCGGGTCCAACACACTGTTGAAATCCCCAGCTATTAAACATATACCTGTTTTATTGGATTCCACTAAGTCTAAAAAATTTTTTAGGGTTGG